CCCGGCCCTCCATTCCATTTTCGGCGGGGGGTTGGTTTGTATCTTTTTTAAACTTATCGGCGTAAACCCCCCCCCCCCCCCCCCCCCCCCATCAGTGGCTTGAAGCTCTATTCTCCGCTATGTCAGCAGAGGTTCCTACAGGCGTGGAAGTTCTGGTTACCGCGCGTGAACGCTGCTATATTGGTGCTTGGGCCCGAGACATAATAGTTGTTGATGATGTATGCGTACCTCTATCCGGCGGTATCTCCCGTAATGTAGCCGCCTCCTCGACCCTCATTGTAGATGAGATGGTTTCACGTCCTGTGTTAGACTTACTTGTGCGCTTCCTCGTCTCTCCCTTGGCATTCCTACTCAGCCGCTGAATAACTTACGTTGTTTTTCAAGTCGTTCGCGCCCTTGACCTTGGGGTTTCTCGTGTTGTTGTCGACGCAGAGATTCCTGAACGGGCTGATGCCACCATCAGTTCCCATGAGGCCACCGCATGAATGCATCTCAAGCCCCTGGGCGATGAGGGTACCCTGGACTGTGACATTAGCTGCGGTGCCGCTGATGCTGAGCGTCTCGTCGCGGCCCCAGGAGACGCTGACATGGTCGAAAATCATGCGCGCGCCCTCGGCGATGGTGATGGCGTCTTTGCCCGATGCACGCCACGACTCATGCGGATACGAATGTAGCGGGTGATGGCATCATTGGCGTTGGACCAGGACCATCCGTCACCATATACTGTGCTTCCCTGTTTTTCTCATCAGCAATTTTTTGTTCCCTTTTTACCATGATCAGGAGCAGAAGAGGAGGGAGACGATTGCCGGGTGCCATACGTCGCTTGGTGCCGTTTGGCCGTCAATGTGCACCATTTTGGACACGACCACGCGCGATTTCATGTTGATGACGCCACCCACGTCAAAAACGACTATGCGTTTGGGCTGAGAGACAACGTCACGCAGAGAGCCTGCGCCCGAGTCGGCGAGGTTGGTGACCTTGTAGACTTCACCGAAGCGGCCGCCAGTGGCAAAGCGAACCATGCCCTCTGCGCCGGGAAAAGCCAGCTGCTGGGCAGCGGAAGTCGTCGTGACAGCAATTCATAAGGACAAGGTCGGCTTCATGGCTGTCTGGTTGCTGGATTTGGAGGGATAATGGCAAGTGTCGGCAGTTGGTAGACACCACGGCGGTCAACTCGACGTGAACCTCCCCGAGTTCTTATGTTCAACGCACCGACCATCAGAGGAATCTTGCATAGCTCAAAGGAGCACTTCGGACCTTGTTTCTGCATTGTACGGCCCATTAGAGGTCAGATCACCACAGGCAGATGAGAGAAGATTGTTGGAGTAATGTAGTATCACAGCTCAGTCGTACGACAATGTACCCCGGTTGGTGGGACTTGAGTACCACAGATTGTGTATGCCTGCGCCGAGATCGCGCGGGGAAGAGGTTACTACGCAGCATTAATCAAGAGGGTCACTATAGACGTGATTGTTGACAAGACTGTGCAACCTTAGTTTGTCACGACTCGGGAGGGATACATGCGATGCTTGAAGCCAACAGCCCATGGTGAGACAGCGCAGACCAGACATTTCAAGAGTTCTCTCCCTCGCGTGAGATTAATTTCATTGACCCCATATTAGCAAGTCGACCCTGCGCTCTGCTAAGATAGACTATCAAGGCGAGGCGCATATCCATCCGCCTGTCAACGCCCATCGTGTTCAACGAGCTTCTGAACACTCGGGCGCATGCGGAGGAATAAATGGCCGGACTATACATATTCCAGCGCTTCTTCAAGGCACTATGACTTACTAAGACTTTTCTACAGTTCATGTGTTCAGCAAGGTGGTGCGAAACAAGCGCGCCGTTGCTCCCGGGCCGTGTCTAATGTGGATCCATGGTTCGGCATCGGCTCCGGTGCGCCGGTACGAAATATGGGGCCGTCCGACCACGGCCCAGGATGTTGGAAGGGACGTGATGGGCATGTCTGATTCCCTCATTGACAAGACAATCAAACTCTATCTCGCCTTTTTTTTTTTTTTTTTTTTTTTTTTTTTTCCTCACTTTCCCCTGGGATTCTCTTTACTGTAGAAACTAAGCGCTGCCAGGCAGCCACGAATAATGCCTGAGATGCGCAGGCAAGCTCAGCACGAGACCAGGTTATCACAGCGATGTGGCTTTTGGGCGGCCGGCTTCACCAACAGCAGTTTTTAAAGCTGACTGTGTATCACTGGCGTTGCAAGCTGCAGGTCTAAATGTGTACGCAACAGACGTAGTTCTCGAGTCAGCATGGCGGAAAGGATCGCGATTGGGAATTCGAAAAAGGCAGAATTACAGCCATCTCTTTCCAGAATCCCAAGGACCCTTTCACTTCACTTGGATCCTACGTTGTGTTCTAGCACTGTTCAGATTTGACCGTGGCTGGTCTCTGAAACATCCAGTGGCCGGCAACGATCGTGACAGTCATGTACCGGTCATCCACGGGTCGAGCCGTCAGCGATAGTATCTATAAGAACCCCAGGCACCTCGCCGGTGCCCACGTCGTAAAGTGTCCATGCGCAGCTCATTCCTCATATCTCTTTTCATTTCCTGCCTTTGGTTCTCCATCTGTTCATTTCCGAAGCTGGTCTTGGTATCATTCCATTATTTACCATGTGGCCTCGGTGCGCCTACAGTCAACAGCACCGGAATCCCATGATAACACATGCGGCAGTGAGCTCATCGCGGAACTCTACTCTCAGGTCGAGGACAAGCGCGACGAGCATTCCTCCAAGACCCCTGTTCGCCACATCTTTTGAGGCAGTTCCCTCACCTACAATGTCCTGGAGAGCGAGGATCTCATGCAGCCCCGAGCTACAGCCTGCGTGCTGGCAACAGCTTCTAGACTGTCCCATGGGTCAACGACGAGAGCCGCTGGACGGTATGATATAACAGGATAGACAAGATTTGGTGTTGCTTGGGTTTCAAGTCAGTCAAATTCACAAGGGTCCCGCTCATTGCTTGGCCAGCATGGTTGCTATGGTGAAGACAAGAGACTAAACCAACCTCTCCATCTTTATGTGATCATATTCAATCAAGGCAAACAAAATGGAACGTATCTTCCTGCCAGTAATCGTTGAGCTACATGCACAACTCCAGCATGGCATGCGCGCGATACGTAATCAGGAGCAACTGCCAGCCATCTAAAAGTTCGACAGATCAGGCGTTCTGATACCGTGAGATGAACAGATCAACGTCATCCAAGCAATGCGTAGCACAGACAGGCGCAAGACAATTGAGCCGTGACAGCAACTCCCCGCTGGCTAGACTAGGATACCTGCCCAAATCAATTGCACAAAAAGTAAAAAATAAAAGAAAAAAGTACCTCCACCTCTATGAGTCAAATATGCAGCCGGCTAGTATGCAAAGAAATTGTGAGTGAAAGAAATAACAGGTAGCTCTTTAGAACCTCAACATATCCAGCCATTGCATCATCAGCAAACACCATTCCTCTATGCAGTTCCCTCTAGTCCACCGGACCATCTGAGCGGTCCAGTCTTCATGTGTGTACGCTTCTTACCTATCAAATCGACTTGGCCTACCGCCTTTTTACATAACCACCTGCGCACGGTCAGCACAATGAAGAGATTTCACTTTCACACAAGACTTACGCAATCGCCCTCCTGCTTCCCTTGAGGGATGCCCATATCCTCAAATGTAGCAGGTCCCTTTGAGGGCTGCTTGGCAGGCTTAGACGGCGCAGACGCTACGGACGGTGCTGACGGTGAAGGGCTTGGGACCGGACTGGTCTTCGGCTCGGGTCGAGACATGTGTTGCCCAGGAGGAGCGCTTCCCGCCCTTCCAGGGCCGCCTGCACCAGCCATGTGAGGAGGGATGGCGCCAGGCCCCGAGTGCCCTGTCGGGGGACGGCCTGTTTCTGTTGGTGGACGGGATATCCTCTGCTGCGGCGGATGTTGAATCCGTGGGTCAGGGCGGCCGTAGCCCTGCTGAGGTGGTGGTTGGGAATATCGAGGGTCAGGGCCACTACCACGGCCAGGGGTTGCTCCGGCAGGCGGAATGGATCCGGGAGTTGGTCTCCCTCCAGGCTGTTGCTGGGGGTAGGGTGCCGCGGAGGGCGGGCGGCCATAGTTGTCCCTCGGATGGTGGCCACCCGTCGGGCTCGCTGGACCAGGACTTGGCTGTCGGTAGCCCGCAGGACCTTGGCTCGCCGACACGATTCTACCGCGCGGATCGGGATGGGGCTGGCGTGGCGCTGGATGCAGATTGCCCATAGACTGTGAAGTAGGCATTGGACGACCCCCTTGACCTTGCGTATTGATACCAAATGCGCTGCTTGTTCGGTCCGCGGAAGGGCCTGGACCGTAGGCGGGGCGACCTCCAGGCGGCCCCTGCCCGCGCATGTCGTCCTCTGGGTACGGCGCCGCGGACTTTGGACGTGAGCCTCCCTGCGGGTAGCCTCTATCATCTTCTGGGTAGGGAGCTGCCGAATGCGGTCTCAGCGGCAACTGATGTTGTGGCTGCTGGCCGTCAAGGCGCACGTTGAAAGCAGGTGGTCGGTCGCCGGCAACTGGGACGACGACCGAGGCTCTGGACGGGTCGGGGAACGCCGCCGGATCGTTGACAACAGTCGGGCGTAGGCCGGGAGATGGCTGCGGCGAGACGCCTGGGGAGGGACCGTGGCCGTCGAGCTTGAGTGGCTTGGGATGTCCACGCGAGTCCTCACTTAGTGTCGGCATTTGCTGCGCTTGTTTGAACCGGTCGGGTCGCTTCCCCCTTTGTGAGCCGTGTTGTGACTTGATTCTTGTTAGAGTTGTCGTTTCATGGTCCTGCTTTGACAGGGTTTGATCTTGTTCTAGCGATTCCAGTCGACCAAGTGCGTCGGTGTTGCCATGCTCCGCAGCGAGCTGGTACCATCTTTGCGCTTCCGAAACACTCTTGTCGATATGGATTCCAATCTCGCTGTAGTAGCCCATGGCAAACTCGGCCGTCGGCAGCTTTTGTGCAGCCGCACGCTGGGCATACTTGTATGCGAGCTCCTCATTCTTCTTGAAAAGGCCTTCATAGCCAAAGAGAAACCATCGGCTCACGCCCAGGGCGGCTTCGGCATTGCCCTGGTTGGCGGCCAAGCCATAGTAGTGTAGCGAGTAGGAAGGCTTAAAGTCACAGCCAAACTGGCAAAGTTCGTAAGCCTGGCCCATTTTATGCTGCGCCTTGGCGAAGCCGAGATACGCTGACTTCTCAATGTAGACAAACGCCGTCTTGGGATCGGGTGGCAACATGGAATCCGGGACATAGATGTCGGGAAGCTCTCTGCCAACAAGCATGCCGTAGACGAAGGCACCCTGCGGTGAGTCCTCGTCAGCGCTGTCAGCAGCTGCCTTGATCCTCTCGAGCCCAGTGTTATAATCCTTCACCTCGCCAAGCTGGCCGAGAAGACTCATCATACCCAGACGATACAGTGATGCCGAGTCTGACAACCCGAGACCCTTGTAGTAGTGCTCCTTGGCTTTGGACGTGTCGTTGGACTGCTCGAACAGCATGCCCATGCGATATTCGGAACGGGGGTTGCCTAGCTCGGCTGCTCGCTTGTAGCCACTGTAGGCCTCCCGCTTGTCGACGCGGTTCCCAAACTTGCCAAACTCGAGCCATTTTGCTCGGATGTACAGGGCTGCCGGGTGCTCCTGGCCGGCTAGGTACGTGATGATATTGAGAGCATCGACTCGGAGCTCATGCTCTTTCCGCGGGGTCGATGGCCTAGGCTTGTCGGGGTTTTCGCGAGCAGCGGCTTCCATGCAGATCTCGGCCCAGTTTAGCACGTCTCGGGCCCATGTGATCTGCATCGACACATTCTGGGAGCCTAAGACATGCTGGCGCGCATTCCAGAGAATATCCTCCTTGTCTTCGTCAGACGGAGGCACATTGTCGCCTTTCACCTTGGGAAAGGGTGAGAACGAGGGTCCGGCGCCGTCCGGCATGGCCACTGGGTCGGACTTGTGGTAGCTCTCAAAATCGGTGTCCGCGGACCGGGTGGTCGACGAGGGCGCGTATCGCTGTTGTTGTTGTTGCTGCTGTTGTGGCTGAGGGGTCGTGTCGCTGCTGGGTTGCACCCACGTAGAGAGCGACGGCTCTCGTGTGTGCCTCGCGGCTGGGGTGGTCTCGTCGTCGGGTCGGTTGACGTCTCGTGCTTCAAGCTCCATGCGCTGAAGATCTTCTTGCATGTTCTGAGGAACCTGCGGCGTCACTCTGTAGACCAGGTACGCAAGCGCGCAATGTTAGCAAATGCTACCCCACTTCCAAGATCCGACTGAGGGATCCGAACCCGAAGGGAACGCGAGGTACGTAGGTGGTTCATGCGTCGGTACATTCATAACATCCCCAAGACGACGCATTTTGGGTACGTCCTAGCACAGGGCAAGCTGTTTGCTGAATGATCACGACGGCGCACACAGCGCAGCAGCAGCAAGAGGAGGAGCGTCGTGCAGGCTAGGCGGCGTCCTTGGCGGGGCTGACAGAGACATGGACGAAGAACCTCACGTACCTTTGTGGAGAGGGCGCGACAACCTCAGGCATGTAGTAATCGTCCCAGCCGCCTGGGACAAAGGTCGCGCCCACGCCTGATGGGGGCGGCATAGCGATGGCGGGGCGTGCTGGCTGGTCGAACAGAGTCGAGTTGTTGGTCTGCACGCAAGGTCGAGCAAGCGAGCAAGTGACTGAAGCGAGGCGATAAATATGGGTTTCAGGCCGCTGAAGCGCTGGTGTCTGGCTGTGCGGTGTTGGTTGGAACAATTGGTGGTAGAACAGGCTCCGCACGCTAACGAGAGAGTGTCAACTGGGAAGCAAGAAGCTGTTACTGCCCTCACAGTCCTCTTGGTTCAAGCGCCTTTGTTCGAGGAAGGGAAAACAAGGAAGAGATCCTGAGGTCGACAAGACCAGGAAGCTGCAGGCAAGTTATGGCTAAGGCTTCACTGGACCATGAGAGGCAGTGCGCAGCCGCAGAGGTGAAGAAGATCTGAAGTAGGCATGAAATAGCTATCCCGAAGGAGTCGTTTTAATCTAACTGCCCCAGGAGGAGTACCAGTAACAACAATAATTAGACGACTCTGTTGATGGCCAAGGCGCGTATGAGCCTCGTGGAGGGGTAAGTAGCACAGGATGCGCCGTGGCTGTGGCGGTGCAGGCTAAAAATAAGGAAAGTATCTTCTTACCTTGCGTGTAGGTACAATACCGGCATTCTTGCTCTGGCTCGACAGGTCTACCCGGAACAGAACTTACAATGAGAGGTCACAATGCTTGAAATCTTAATATCGTGGATGTCCCGAGGCTGAGATAAAGGCAGGGATATGCGCAAGGTTAACATTTCTGAGCTTACATTGGGACTCAATTGCTCATGGGTTTGACGTGGATTAAATTCGACTAATTACTACGTACGGCTCTGGCGCTCTTGTAAAGTCACATTTGCAAGGGGAACAGAAGACATTGTGACCCCTAGTCACCCTAGAAGAGACCATTTCTTGGCTACAAAACAACAAAAAAAAAAAAAAAAAAAAAAAATTGAAGGACAACGTCTATGATATCTAGCAATCACCGTCGTGAGCAAGTGAAATGTAGGCTTTTACGCAGTAATAGCACTCGTGGTTTGGAGTATACTACATCTGTCGTGGACCGTGGTAGCTCAAATGGATCAACAACGCTCCGCTTCCGACTTGCCCCACATCACCCGGCAGGGGCTGCAGTTGCAACTGCGTCAGCAATCCTCAGCCTGGTCGAGCTCCAGCATTCTGTCAGTGGTCGGATCTAAACACTGACGGCCTCACCACGACAGAACAACGACCACAATCACCGCACCCACCCTCTCAGCATTTCGCCCCCCTCAACGAGCAGATCCGACAACGTACGAAAACATATCAATCATCCGCCGCCATGGCTGAACGCAACCTCTCCCAGATCGTCGCACAGCTCAAGAAATCCCCTTCTATGAGCTACAGCGATGCGAACACGCTCCTCTCCAAAGCCAAAATCGCACTCCTCAACCTCAAAGCCCTCACGCCCAACGCTGCCGTACCTCAGTCCACCCTTGCCCTCGCACGCGAGACCTACGAACAGGGCGCTCTCTTCGCCATCCGCGCTCGCAATCCCGAGGCCTTCACCCGCTACGTCCAGCAACTACAGCCCTTCTATGAGCTGCCCTCGTCACGGCTGCCGCCCAACCTGTCGGAGAGGAACAAGGTCACCGGTCTGAGCTTGCTGCTGCTCCTCACACAGGGCCGCTACGCAGAGTTTCACTCCGAGCTGGAGAGCCTGGCCAACCGCGAGGGAGGAGGTGGTGACGTCGAGGGCGATAAATACCTGGGCTACCCCATCCGCCTGGAGAGGTGGCTGATGGAGGGCAGCTACGATCGCGTGTGGAAGGCTATGAAGAGCAGCGAAGTGCCGTGCGACGAGTACAGTGTCTTTTCAGAGGCAAGTTGACCGCGCTCCCCCAACTGAACTTTTACGAGAAAGCAGAGCTAACCGATGCTGCAGATTTTGAAGAACCAAATCCGCTCCGAGATCGCCAGCAGCAGCGAGCGTGCGTATCCAAGCCTGCCCATCAGCTCGACCAAGTCACTCCTCTTCCTCGACTCGGAGGGCGACGTCATCTCATTTGCTCAACACAGGGGGTGGATAGTCAGGGACGGCAGCATCTTCTTCCCCGATGCCACCGAGGGCGAGGGTGGCACGCACACCAAGGAGATGAGCCAGATGGTGATAGAGAATGCTCTGGGCTACGCGCGCGAGCTCGAGACGATTGTGTAATCAGACTAATTTACGGTCGGCGTTTTGCAAGCATAGAGGAATAGCACCCAGTGTCACTCGAAAATCCGGCATGAACTTGATAGTAGTTGTGACTGTGTCTATTCATAGACGTTTTTTCTCTTTTCTACAGCCAGCCCTATTTTGCAAACGGTGCTGAAATCCATCCATCCCCTTTCTAACCATATTTCAACTCCGTGTCATCATCATAATGAATTACGCGAACAACTTCAGCCCGCTTCCACGCTTGCCAATCTCGCAGACCTGACACACACGGCACACACTGCCCTTGAACTTAGAGTGGTATTTCGACCCGTCAAAGGCGCACTCCTCGAATGAGTCGCCGCTGTAGATCGGCGTGTGGCTAGCGGCGCAGATCTCAAACTCAGCGTGTTGGTCAAAGTCAATCTCTATCGCATCGCTTGGGTTGCGCTCGCACTGAGCCTTCGTCTTGTTGGCCTAGGAAGGAATTGTTAGCAAACCGAGCATAGGTGTATCTGCGCCTGGGTGACTCACCCTTTCAATAGGCATCCTGGATCCGCCGTTCGCAAGAATCCTGTTCGCGAAGCTGAGGGCGGTGTTGTAGTTTTTGTTTATGTATGCTTGTTGCATTGCACTCATGAGGGTAAGCTGGCGGTGAGGAACCTCAATCTTGGGTATGGTGAAGTATGCTGACAACTCAAGACTCCTCTTCAGGGCAGCCGGGTCCTTGGCAACAGCATCTGGTGCCCCGAGCTCCCTCCGAGCGAGCTCAATGCCCATAGCCACTACATACTCGCTTGCAGAGGCAATGAGCTTCTTCGCCTCGGCGACCTCATCCTCGCCAGAAACAGCGTTGACAAGGATAGCATGGAGAATGCCTCTGAAGATGGTGATACCAGCCGCTAGGTTGTTGGACTTCATTGACCCGTAACCGCGCTGGAGGTCGTCCGTAGCAAGGTGCTCCAGGTCGCGTGGGATCAGAGGCAGAACCTCGCGGGGGTTGGTCTCGTCGAGCGTGCGACGGACATAGTTGACCAGAGGAGGCAAGCCTGCTGATGCGGGCAGGTATGTCTTTGAGGCTTTGTATATCTCCAAGAAGCGGGGCTTGAGCGGCGAGAACTGCACGGCACCGACCTGGCGATTCAGCAATTGCATGGCGGATTCAAATGAGCCGCCGGCAACATGGTCAGCAGCCAAAGGCGAGTTGCGCGCCCAGAGATCTGCTTCGCTGCTACCTGCTCCACCGGCATCTGCACTGTCGACGTTGACGAAGTCTCCTTCGACTTCCGGAATGACATCTTCGCCCATGTCCCAGCCTGCGACGTCTTCATCGTCTTCGCCAAGGAGGCCACCATTCCGCTTCGCAGCCGACTCGTCAGCCGCATCGTCATTGATGTCCATCAGATCAGCCGCTGGCTGATCCTCCAAAGACAAGCCCTCAACCTGGCCCATGAGCGCCTTTTCAAACACTGACTGTGAGCCAGCCTTGGTTGGCCAATTTGCCTTGTGGGTAGGGACAACTGGCTTGCAAGGGCTGAGAGGAGCACCGATCGTTGGCATGGTTACCTCCTCTTCAGTCAGACCCGTAGCCTCGAGAATCGCCTGGCACTCCTCATCAAGGCCATGAGACTTGGCGGTCATGTATGCCAGAGGATACAAGTCGATCTCCTTGAACATTTGAATCCGGTCCTCCACCTCGCCGAGATATACTGCGTTCTGGAACCGGGAAGTGAAGTCTCCACGGTGCTCGGCAATTTTGGCCATCCTAGCCAGCTTCGCGTGGTCTCCAGTGGCGAGATAGAGGAAAGAAAGCTTGTCAAACTGCTTGAGCTTCTGGTAGCTTATCTCCACAATCTTGTGGTTGCCGTGTGACAGCGCTTCCATGCCCAGTCTGGTCCAAAATTTCGGTCGATCCAGCTCTTGTGCCATCTCCGAAGCAACCTCCAGGTTGCCACACTCAATGGCGAGATCAAATCGTGTGGTAGGATCTTGGACGAATTGCAGGGCAATCTCCGGGTAACCCTTCTTTTGCAGGTAGGAAATGATTGACTGACCAACAAGGCTGGAATTCTGGATGATGTGGAGCATCTCCTCATAGTTCCGCTTGACAAGCGCAAGCTTAAAGCGGTACTCGGTAGGATCAACCTGCAACACTCTTGGTTTCGCAGACCGATCCAGACAGTAGACGTTGCGGCCCTTTACTCGGACCAGGTAGACCGTCTGGTCCAGAGTACGAACAATGCCGTTGTCGCCATTGAGAAGAGTATACTTGACGTGGTTCAACGTGGAGTACAGGAGAACACCGGCATCATCCCATGTGGCGCTCTTGATCCGAATGGTTTCGTGGAGGGTGCTAACCTGGTCAAGCGTCTTGGTGACAATTGTCACGTTGTGCTTGCTGAGCAGAGCAGCGTAGAGCCCATCGTTTGACCAGACAACGTATTTGACCCCGTTGACAGACAGCTCGGCGGTGCTCTTCTTCTGCTGAATGTCGTACAGGTGGACCGCGGTAGGGGTGATGATGAGAAGGTTTCCAGTTCCTCCGAAGTAGATGTCCGTGGTGCCAGCCGGCGGCTTGAAGGATCGAGTGATGTTGTTGGATAGGTCCTTGATATCGATGACTTGGCTGCTTGTGTTGAGGACGGCAAAACGGTTACGCGCAACGAAGATGGCCGAGTTACCAGATCCCCTCTTCGTTTCAGTAGGTTCGATAGCACCAGAACCGTCCTTGGGGAGATTCACGAGCTCGTATGTGCCACCGTCAGCAGGGGAAATGACCAAGACAGACTTTTCCGCAGGGTTGTAGGAGAGTGTCCTCGGAGTAACCCACGGGCTGCCAAGCTTCTTGAGCGACAGTAGCGTGGGGCTCTCCACGTTCTTCTGGAAGTCGTACGACTTGACAGTCTTTTCCTTTGAGATGTAAAACAACTGGTTTAGGTGCGTAGCAGATGCGGGTCGTTCACGCTCCAATTTGAAGACCATGACACCGTTGTCATGACCCGCGGCGAACAAATTGATTTCTGGATGAGCCGCAATCACCCAGAAACGGTCACTCTCCCTTTTAAACGACTGGACGGCCGTGCGCTTATTGAGATCCCACACCCTGATCGTCTTATCTTCACCACATGAGAGGATCAAGTCCTGGTGGGGATGGAATAAACATCCTTCTGCGTTCTGGAAGTGGCCTCGGCAGGTATCGACCTCCCAAGCCTTTGTCTCGCTCATTCTCCACAGTTTGACCAGGCGATCGTCACCGGCCGAGGCGATGAGAGGCATGGTGGGATGGAATGCGACCCAGTTCACGCCCCGATCGTGACCCTCGAGCACGAACTTGACGACGGCGTCCGTATTGCCAAACATGTCCGTCTGGTTCTGATTTTGACGAGCGATTTGGTCTTCGAAACTCATAGACGTCGGGGCCGAGTGCTTCTTTCGCAGACCAGAGATATCCCACACGCGCACGGATTGATCGAGAGAGGCGGAGACGACAAGGTCTTCTTTAGGATGGAATTGTGCACACATGGCGTAGTGATTGTGGCCGGTCATTGTGCAGACTATATTGTTGTTAGCCATGATGTTAATGCTACAGGAACAGCTGACGTACTCAGAGATCGATTTTGCCAGTTCCAGATGCGGATAGTCTGGTCGTCTGACGCTGAGAGAATCCATGGCAGCTCATGGTGGAAGAAGACTGTTCGGATATAGTCGAGATGACCATTCAGTGTGAAGAGGCAGCGGCGCGTTTGGTAAGACCAGACCTTGATCTTGTAATCGTCACCACCAGAGACGAACAGGGGCTGTGTTTTGTGGAAGTCAATGCCTCGAACTGGGCCATCATGTTCCTCGAATCTGTCAATCAACGTGCCCATTCGATAGTCCCAAAGCTGGATAGTCGACGAGTGTAGAGATACGAGAATCCATGGTCTGATCAAAAGCGATATGTTAGCTGGTCGAACTTCGATGGTTGATTCGCGTTGTAGGTAAACAGTTCGACATACCGCTTGGGGTGGAAGGCAATGCCTTTCGCTCTCGACGACTTGGATTCGAACTGCAGCAGAGATCAGCAATGCATCAGTACGGAAGTTTGAAGCTCCTCGCACCTTTGTGAGCATGCCAGGAGAGGACTGCATCTTGGCGGGGAGGTGAAGCCGCAGCTTCTCGCATCAAAGTACCAGGCAGGTCGGAACACAGAGCAGAGATTCGCTGGCAAAAGACGGTCAATCTGCCCGAGTCTTCACAGTGTGCAAATTGACCAGCAATGCAGCCCGTATCGTTGGAGTGTTGAGTGTTGGGCTTGGTGGAGTTTCATGGGGTGGTGCCTGTCCGCCTCCTGTTCAGTTGCGCATCGTGTCCTTCGGTCCAGTCGCCTAGCACCAGCTTCCAGCTGAGAGGTTGTCGGTGGAACCTTATTCCGTCTAGGAGAGCTTCCACCGCCTGCTTGCTTGGGTGACACCCCACCAACAGTCTAACATTCTGCCGGCTATGAACCCCTGGACGTCATTGCGCTAAGCCCATTCGAGCCTCGAGTGAGCTTCGTCAAGCCGTCGATGCAAGGTGGCACCAGCCAGGGCCATTCTATGTTGGTTGTGCCTATTCTCCGGTAAGGGAGCAGTGAAAAGATCAACGAACTCGCCCAAGATAGTTAGCTGACCTACTGCCAATTAGTTGAAGCAGCCCCCTCGGCCGAAGTCGCATGCCTGGACCATCTACTTGCCGCGCTGCGTGACAGCCTCCGTACGGTGCAGAGACACAGGTCCATCGCAGAACAAAACAGGGACGCCAACCGACAACATGTCCTTTCCGCCATTAATAGCCTGGGGCCTTAGGCTGGTTCTGGCCAGCTCAGCAACAGTTATGGCAAGTTCAAGTGTGAACATAGGCATGCAAGCGGCCTTCCCTGCGGCTCCCTTCTTGTTGGAGCTCATCGAGACCGCTGCGTCTGAAAATGCAAGCAGTTACTTTCCGCTCTTGGATCAAGTTGCCAGCCGACGTTTTGAACAGTTCACCACGGAGGAGGCTGTGTATCAAGCATTCGTGCAACTCCTACAAGAAGAAGGGCACGTTTCCGGTCCTGATGCTCTGTCGACCTTTGACATGGCAATGTCTCTACGATCCGCCTCGCCGCGCATTGAGGCCCACTACCAATACTTTGAGACGACTGTTGCGCCCGTTATAGGTGCCTGGGAAGGGTGCCCCAACCTCGTCTTGTTCAAAGGACACCAGTATTGCAGTCCCACATTGAACAAACCAATGTCTGAGAATAGGATTGACCTGGGCAATATCGACCTGACTTTTGACCGCCCAGTGGGAGCTGGTGAAGATGTAATCCTCTATGGGGATCCAAGCTCCGAGTCTTTTGGGGCCTTCCATACCATGCTCTCCATTGCAGCGTATGACGGAGCCTTGAGGTACAAGTTGCGGTATCGTCGCAATTTAAACGCCAGCCACGAACCGTTGCCGGTCAGCGGATACGGAGTAGAACTCGCGCTGAAAAGAACCGACTACATTGTCATTGATGATCGAGAGTCACAGCGCGGTGGGTCACAAGAACGATTGACAGCTGGGACTACCTTGGAAGAAGAAGACAACATCACTGATGTGAAGCCACTTTCTACCTCGGAACTTGCCGAATTAGGGCTCAAGGCTGCGACATTCGTCGTCGAGAGCGACCAGCCATTGAAGAACCTCGTTAGACTCACACAAGATATTCCCAAATTCGCAGCACTTATCGCCACCAAGGAAAGCTCCGATGCCTTCGCCAAGGAGCACAGAAGCAACCGACAGAAATTAGTTGCCGCAGGTGCAAATTACCTGTGGATGAATGGTGTTCAGCTCATCGAGAGACAAATCGAACCCTTCAACTTGGTGGAGATGATCCGCAAAGAACGTAAGCTCCTCCGCGGCGTCCGCGATCTTGGCTTTACTGGGAGTGAGGCAGTCGCATTGATAGGCCACAAGGCCGTGGCCGCTTCCAAGTCTGAGACCGGCAGTCCCAGGTATGACTGGACGGATAGGACGGAAGATGGCCAGGCTATCATCTGGCTGAACGACTTGGAGAAAGACGAACGGTATACCAAGTACCCGAAATCCGCAAGATCGTTGCTTCAACGGACATACCCCGGACAGCTCCCACCAATAGGACTGAACATCTTCCACATAGTGCTGCCTGTGGACCTTGGTGACACAAATGACCTCGAGGTCATCAAGCAGGTACTGAGTCTGATGGAGCGGGGTCTGCCTGTTCGATTCGGTCTAGTACCATTGACGCCCAATGCTGATGCCATCACAAGAGCCAAGATGGGTTACTACATGGCAAGCGAAGAAGGAGGCAAAGCTTTCGCGGAAGCCTTGAAGGCCGGCCACTTTGACACCGACACTCCGGCCCTCTTGGGAGCTATGGACCAAAAGCAATCCGTTGGCGATGGCTCAAAAGTTGTTGACAATGTACTCTCTTCCAATGAGTATGACCAAAACATCGAGTCAGCGTGTCAGTGGCTTCGACGGCTCAGTGTCAATAGCCAAAATCGATCCGTCTTCGTCGATGGTTTCGCGATATCGCGTGAGAGAAACTGGATGCAAGCGGCCAGCTTAAAGTTGTTTGAAGATTTGCAAGTCCTCCAGATGGGATTGTTCCAGGGCACAATCGCCGAGACTGCTTGGCTAGCGGGTCAATTACTGGAGGATGCTGCTGTGACTCGCAATACCTACATTGCCCCCGAGGACGAAAAGTCATTGAAAGTTCTGGACGTCAGTAAGATCTACACCACACATGCGAGTCTTTTCGACCACATTGCTGTGGTTCACTCCCAAGAAGGATCAAGTCGAGAAGATTGGGCGTCGCTCACCGTCATTGCGGACTTGTCCACCCAACACGGGCAGGAGCTTCTAGTAGCGGCACTAGGCTTCCAGCGCGAGAACCCTGGCGTTCGTCTTGATGTTGTTCCTAATCCCCATCTCACATCGACAGCCTACAAAGTGAATAGTGCGCTGTGCAAGGCGAGGTTGGAGCAGTTGGGCGAACAAGAAACGCTCGCTGAGGCTCTTGACGCGGTCGGAGACGTTGGAGAGAACCCTGCGTTCAACATGGCCCTTCAAAATTTCCTGGACGAGGTGCAGCTGCCGCATAGTAGACAAGCATTACTGTTCAATGGCAGGCTTATCGGCCCCATTGCGGAACAGGACTCGTTCGTTCAAGCGGACTTTGGGCAGTTGTTTGAATTCGAGAAGAAGACTCGCTTGCAGCCGGTGTATGAGGCTCTCAAAGACTTGGGCCTACAGGACAAGCTAACCGAACCACTGGCGGCAGCGAAGTTGACGTCTCTGACCGCACTATCCACGATCTCGGACCTGCCTGAGGGGATATTTGACTCAGCGCCTACAGTTCGCTCGACCTTGTATGACGAATGGACGTCCAAGCATACGGCTATTGAGACGGGCGACCCCGACACTGCAAGTGTTCACCTGGTGGGCCTGCTAAACCCGCTCAGCGAGCAAGGGCAGCGATGGGCTCCCATCCTGGAAACTTTATCACAGCTCGACGGTGTCTATCTGAAGCTCTTCATGAATCCCGAAGAGAGGATTGAAGAGCTGCCGGTGAAGCGATTCTTCAGATATGCCCTCCAACCGAAGCCCTCTTTTGATGAGGCCGGGCGGCTGAAGCCCATCAACGCAACCTTCAAAGGCCTACCGTCAGATACTCTGTTGACAACCGCCATGGACGTGCCCCCGGCGTGGCTTGTTGCTCCAAAAGCATGCGTACATGACCTAGACAATATCAAACTCAGCCCTCTCAATGGCGATGTTGAAGCACTTTATGAGTTGGAAAACATCCTCATTGAGGGACACTCCCGAGAAGCCAGAGGGGCGCCCCCAAAGGGAGCGCAGTTGGTCCTGGGCACGGACGCGCAGTCGAGCCTGACTGATACCATTATCATGGCTAATCTTGGGTACTTCCAATTCAAGGCCAACCCAGGTTACTACGCCATCAAACTAAAAGAGGGGAGAAGTGCAGACATTTTCACTATCGACAGCCTGGGCACTCGTGGTTGGGAAGCTGCGCCTGGAGATGAAGGTACCCACGTTGCTGTGATGGACTTTCAGGGAACGACACTGTATCCACGCTTGCGACGCAACGCCGGCATGGAAGAAACGAACGTACTCGCTGACGATGAGGCGGAGGTGGAGGACAGTGTGATCTCCAAGGGGCTCAAATTGGCCGAAAGTTGGTTCAGCGGCAACTCGAAGAAGACGTCGAATTTCAATCAGGAGCACGCCGAGATCAATATTTTCTCGGTTGCCAGTGGGCATTTGTACGAACGGATGCTGAACATCATGATGGTATCGGTCATGCGCAACACCAAGCACACTGTCAAGTTTTGGTTCATTGAGCAATTCCTGTCACCAGAGTTTAAGGACTTCATCCCTCGTCTCGCCCACGAGTACGGCTTCAAGTACGAAATGGTGACCTATAAATGGCCTCACTGGCTCCGGCATCAGAAAGAGAAACAACGCGAAATTTGGGGCTACAAAATCCTGTTCCTGGATGTTCTCTTCCCCCTCTCACTCGACAAGGTCATCTTCGTGGATGCTGACCAGATCGTCCGTACCGATATGATAGACCTCGTCAACCACGACTTGGAAGGAGCTCCGTACGGCTTCACGCCCATGTGTGACTCACGCACCGAAATGGAAGGCTTCCGTTTCTGGAAGCAAGGCTACTGGGCCAACTTTCTCCGAGGGCTGCCCTACCACATTTCGGCGCTGTACGTTGTCGACCTTGGTCGCTTCCGCGAACTCGCCGCTGGCGACAGGTTGCGCCAGCAATATCACACCTTGTCTGCCGACCCCAACAGTTTATCTAATCTTGACCAAGACTTGCCCAACAATATGCAATTTCAGATCCCCATCCACAGCCTTCCGCAAGAGTGGCTATGGTGCGAGACCTGGTGCTCGGATGAGAGTCTCGCCAACGCGAGGACAATCGACCTGTGCAACAATCCCGAGACGAAGGAGCCGAAGCTTGATCGGGCAAGGCGGCAGGTTCCAGAGTGGACTGTATACGACGAGGAGATCGCGGCCCTTGACAGGCAGCGCCGTGGATTGGGTGACAAGAAACCAACTACAAACATGAACACGAAAAGTCGCAATTTCGAGGAACCGCCACACACGAAGGACGAACTATAAAGACGTATACTGCTTGGTATAGGCCCAGAAAATGAGTTTGTCGATTCCTCAGAACCAATCTTCCCAAGATAGCATTTTCAAAGCGTTCTGCTACCTACACCTTGTCTGCCGCCGGGGACCTCCATGGGAAAGAACATGGTGAACACCTCGATTCGACGGGCTCAGTCATGCCTGGAACCAGGAACCAGCTCGCTAACGTATCCGCATTCAATGAAAGTTTGGCATAGATTCAGTTTACTAGCCTCAAATATAATATACCCTGGATCATATTCACCTATCACACTAATGTTTCATGATAGCGTCCGTCACCACCGTAAATACAAAAAATCACCGCTTGCTGTCGTCCTCTTACACATGAGCATGTTCCCCAATATTCCGTCATCAATAACATGTACTACTGCCATTGTTGCAAACGAATTGCGCTGTGTGGAACGTCCGTAATGGCAGTGAGGTCAGGAAGAACCACCCAAAAATGTAGAATAGACCTGCTACAGGCCCCAACGCTCAGCAAAACAAACGCCCGATCGTGTTTACGAATACAACCCATCTAACATGCCCTGAATTTTTCGTGTATCGCAACGCCAAGCCAGAACCTGTGTTGCATATTGAAGCACTACCGTGGTCGAGAGCTCTGTCCTGCAGCAGAGAAAACGATCAAATCAAGAATAAGCTAGATGCCCAAGGTCGTATACTGGGCATCCGCTATAGAGATAGATCGGGAAAGAGATCGAGAGTAGCCATGGTATGACATAAGAGAAGCGGGTATCATGTGTTTTAGCCAGTATCAAAAGCAATCCTGGTCGACGCCCCGGCGCAGCATTCCCCAAGACAAAAGGAAGACGAGGGAAACCCCTATGCACGCGTCTGGCTTGATTCTCGCTCCTCCTTAATGGACGTCATCGAGGAAGCGGCATTAACCCCAGCCATGGATGAATGGCTCGGCGGAGGCATTGTGGTCGCACCATGAGCCGACGGTGCACCGCTGGCAGCTTTGGGTGTCATGCTGCTGCTGCTCAGCTGTGAAAGGTTGACGCCTCCCTCACCGTTGGCAGTCGGCCGGATAGGCGTCCCGCTAGACAGCTCCTTGTGTAAGGGTGATGAGTGAATCGGTGAAGCTGACTTCTTGCTCTGCGAGTCAATAGTATTACCTCCCCGAGAGGAATTCCGCGGAGAAACACGTCCGGTCTGGATGGTTAGCAATGACAGCGTAGTGCAGGCTGGGGGGCAACGTACCTGTTTTGCCCAGCGAAGTCCGCAACTGTTACAAAGGTCCCTTTGCCCGCTCGGGCCACGCCGCCACTCCGGTGTATTGCGTGTGTGGCAATTGGCACAGTCTCTGACTATGTTGCCAACGCCTTTCCTCCTCTTACGTTTCTTCTTGTTTGACAATAGGCCGCCAAGCTCTTCTGCCAAAATGCGATTGATCTTCTCCATTTGACGCAGTTCAAACTGCCAACTGGAGCACTTGGTCGTTCTCAATTCGTCGAACATGTTGTCCTCCGAGGCCAGTGCCGCATCTTGGGATCCCGGCAAGAGGCCGCCGCCGGCAGGTTGCGATACATAGCCATTTTGTGCGTGGTGAGAGTCGGATTTGCCCGTCACCGATCCAGATTTCGTGCTTCCAGCTGGTGCGAGGCTGCGCGAGGAAGCCTTCAGCAATTTGGTCTGGGCCAGCATGAATGAAGGTTTTTGTCCTTCCGAGGCATCACCGGGATACAGGGTCGTCTGCGCTTGTAGAACTTGCCCGCGTCTGTTCTGCACTTCGTGCTTGCAGGTGACAATTCTGCCTCGACGAGCTTTTTCGATAGCTCGGCCAAAGTCGGGGCGAGATTCCTTCCGCATCAGGTCCTGGATGCTAGTACCTATGAGGGCTTCGGGCTGTAGATCGAGGAGTGACCTGATGTTAGACGACACGAAGAGGAACATACCCGACGTCGATAATTTGGTCCATAGTTCGCTGTCGCCAATACCACCGGATGAGCCAATACTCTGCTTACTCAACGCGATGACTGGTCGCTTGCGGCCAACCAAAATAATGCATTTCCGGCCCTTCCCTTGCTCGACGAACAACGAGCCATGGCTTTCGAACCACGTATATCCACTATTCTTGCGTCTGATTCTGAAGACAATGTTGACTGGGTTTCCGACCGAGGTGTCCTTGAGCTCGCGGGTGACTGGCACGATATCGGAAGGATGACAGACAGTTGACAAGGAATTACCGACAAGATCAGTTGTGTCGTACTCCAAGATTCTCTTACAGGAGGGCGACAGGTACAAGAATAGACCCTTCAACGACAGCACGTGGACCACGTCGTCAGTGTTCTCCAAAAGCATCTTATCCCAAGATTGCTTATGCCAGTCGGACACGACACCCTTGGGGCTGAATTGCTGCAACAGGGTTGACACATCGTCCACACCAAGCGTCTGGCCGTTGTCAGGTTCAAGTTGACCGGAATGTGGTGGAGTCCAGATGTATTGGCCAATGTCGCTGTGCTTATAGTTGACCTGAACGTTCCCTAGCTCCTGTCCGGAAGCAATAGCGTCAGGGCATTCGACCAAATCAATCTGGAAGCCGATGAAATATCGGATCTCGTCAGTGTCCCATGGGATGGGGATCATGGTCAGGAGATTCAAGAATGGTTTCCCGCCTTTGCGGTAATTGATCAGGCTTTGTTGGACTTCGCGACCTTCGTGGATCATCTTCTTCAGGTTGTAAACGGCCCCCTCGTCAACGAACTCACGCTTGGTTCCAGCTTCCACTTGCCCGTCAGGGGCCTGGAGAAAGCGACAATTCTGGCCCACAATATCGTGGCGACTATAGCCAGTCAAATTCTGGAAGTTGTCCGACACATATATGATGGGACAATCGTTCATTGTCACATCGCAGACAACAAAGGCACAAGACATGTCGACGGCACCCAAATGAATCTTGGGGCTCTTGCGCGTTGCGACGAGCCACAGTGCTTTCAACATGTCGAAGCCGCTTTTAGAGTAGATGGTTTTCTTGTCTTTAGGATCTTGTGGAGGAGGCGCCGGACCGTTCGCAGGGGTCGTAGGATCCGATGAGGCGCTAGGATGTGTCATGCTCGCCGACGACGGAAGCTTTTGGGGGGAGAAAGCAGAAGCGACAGAGGATGGTTGCTGAGAGGCTTGTTGGTCCCCTTGGCTATCGCCCCTTTGCTTGGAGTCGAGAGTTGTGTTGCCCGCGGATTGGCTTCTATTTGAGTCGATTGGGGTATATGGTGGGTGTGAATGCATGACCTCGTCTTCGCGATCGTCCAAGGGTCCAGTACCTTGTGGTCCATTGGTCGGCGTAGCGCTCAGAGGCCCGTTGTCAGACATGGCCATGGAGTAGTCGTTCCCCATGTCAACCAGCTGATTTGGCGCATATTGATTCCCCATGTTTGTGTTGCCATTTGCCGAGAACATTCCCATAGCCTGAGCATCGCCCGTCAAATGGTTCATGTTCATGTTGGAAAAGGTAGACGGGATCATGTTTGACATGAGGTCGGGAGACATGGCCGTATAGTCTGCAGGGTTCATATAGTTGCCCATTTGCCCTGCCATGGACATGTTGTTCGAGTTGACATGTGGGTATCCTCCAGGCACGGACTGATTGAACTGGTATCCGCGCATATCGCCATTACCATCTGCAAAATTCATCACTTCGCCGGGGCCTGTCAAAGACATTCGCCTTGGCCCGCTCGGATTCGACATGTCATTTGCATAACTCTGAGGCAAGCTTCTTTTTCTGTGAAGAGCGCTGTGGTTGTCATCGATGATCTCGTCAAGGGTATCGCGCGCCTGTGCCGGCTGGTTGTTGACCATATTCTGTGCCATGGGTCCCGCGGAGATGGCTGACCCTTGAGGCCCCATGTTCATGGGGCCCACGGGAGGTTGCATAGTCTGGTGTTGCTGCTGCTGCGCTTGCTGAACTTGCTGGTGCGAGAGCCGGCGTTGCAGCTGGTCGGTGGGATAGTAGTTATCCATGACAGCGGCATTAGGCCAAAGGCCTTCCGTATCGCTTCGATACTCGAGCTTGCAGTGCAACTCGCGTTGTGAGGACTGCGATATGAACTAGGATCGTTTAGGAGCCGGGTGCGTACGCTAGGTCTTGAGTCTACGCTTGTCGTAGGTCGAGTGTTACGGTGCCCAGCTTGCGGAGGTGAAACGACTTTTCCTGCTCGACGTGCAGCCTAGAACTGGCGTTACGTGTCTGGGCTGGACGAAAGCAATTCGAAATTGTTGGCCAACTCGACCGAAGGACCGGTGCCCAGCGGTTTGATCGTCTTGTCCGACGCGCGCTGGCGAAATTCGAAGGAACGGCAGTCGTCGGGGTTGCGAGTATGACTCGGAGCGCTGGCTAATTTTCGGTGATCAGGCGGCAATTTGTCTCAGTGTCCGGGGTGGAATGGGAATACGCGGCAGGATTGCACAACGGGCTGTATGAAGAGATAGTACCGAGAGTAACTGATGGATGGACTTGTCGGTTGAAAGTGAAGGGGGCGCGAATGCGACGAGAGCCCCCCGCCTGCTGTAGTGCGGAAAAGCGAGTCGTGTAATGGCATGCAAGGAGCCAGAAGCCAGAAGCGGGACAGCACTGGTATCCGTACCTAGCTGGGTAATTATTACTGATAGCCTGACGTCTAGGTAGTAGATTGGAGCGAAGGGAAGCAGCGTCCCGGTTCTAGTCGTGGCTGTCCATACAGTGGGGTTCGGCCTTTGCTCATGTCCGTGTTTCTGTGTGCGTGGACGATGCGGTTTGCTGAACCCGGGCCACGAAGTTGCATAATGGCACTGGCGATGATGCTGATTGCCGTGTCGTTTAACAAAAACCCATTGTCTACGGATACGGTCAGCCACCTCATACAGTAAGGATCTCTGACTCTCATGCCTAATCGAAACAGGCGGTGGCGGTCGCGCAACACTGTGACTGAAGCCCCGTGGCTCAAGACCCAGCTAGCGGGGAGGACTACGACAACCCAATCAAATGTCTGCTTGTGGGGCCGTTCTCGCAGCATGCAATCTATCATTCGCTAACAGAAGATGTAGTGGGTTTCTCGATGACGCAATATCCAGTCCTTCCTGCCTATAACCGGTACTCCGTGCGGAGTAATTACGCCGGGAACCAAAAAGACCGCGACACTAAATAACTATCTCGATATTTCGTAGCCTCAATTTACCTACTAGAGTTCAGAGCTAAGGAGTCAACAATGCCACTTCCATTCGCTGCGGTGAAGTTAGCGTCCCCTAGAAGTATGTCAGACGAATTATAGAAACCACTCTTTTTTCCATGCGCGTTACTTGAGGCCCTGGGAGACGTATCGCGATAAAATGTGTCCAAATAACTGACAAAGTCTTGGAAAGTAGTACGCTGCTGATCGTTCACTGGGCAAGGTGAAAATTGAGATGCAGCGTTAGCATAGGGCTATGTTTGTTTCAGCACTTATCATTAACGCTACTATATCTAGTGACGGTGGTTCATTCCGAAACTGATCATGTATCCATCTCCTACCTTGACTTGGTCCCCCAAATTTCATAAGTTTGTACCTGTCATACAGTCGTTCCTGCCCAAGCCTGATGCGTGTCCGTAGTCGACGCCACGGACAAAGACCAAAAGCACCGCAAAAGCTCCCCTGCTTGTGTCATCACGAGAAGTAACCTTTGATGACCTGCTGGGCTTCAGGTCCAAATTGTTGCTCGAGTTGGGGTGTAGGGTCTACGTTCGCCTTTTGCAGCAACTCTTTGGTCGCAGCAGCAACCCGGGTTGCGGTTTGACCCTGCAATGCCTCGGACTCTAGAGCTTGAGCCACGAACATGAAGATTTTGCTCGCTTGGTTTGCAACTGCCGGGTGTGGTCTGGGAATGTTAGCATCGTGTCATCCTCGTCTATCCTTGTAGACTCACGTTGCCATCAGTGTTGTCAAATACCCGTAGGCGTAGGGTGCAGCCTCTTCGTCGTTGATAACTGGCATAGTTTCAATCCATTGCGGGATAATCGCCTGGACGTCTCCAACACTTCCGGCGTTGAACTGCAAGATCTTGGCGATAGCTGCGCAGGCATTCTCGGTGGCATACACATTGTCCTCGTTTCGGGCATCAGCAAATTGGGTGACTTGGAACAGGTACGGGAGCGACCCTCCTAGGAACTGGGACCACGTAGGGCCACCGCGGTGCGCGGCAACGCCGACGCCATATGCTGCGGCCTGCCTGATGGCGGGGGCCTGGTCCTGGCATCCATCAATCAGGGGCTTCTGAATATAATTGGCATATCGCGCGCTGTCCTCGCCGCAGTATTCCAGCACGTCGTCCATGATGCACAGCCCCCATTGCCTCTGTGTCTGGTCTGGGGAGTTGAGGAATGCTTCGTAATCAGACATGAGGCGCTGCCAGGCTGGGAGGAAAGCGGATCCATGGTTCTTGAAAATTGCATGGAAAGCCTTGTTCATGTCTGAGAGCAAGGTTTGGTCGTCTTCGATAGCCATGGCCAGCTCCTCGTCGTCATCCTCAATATCCTCTGGGGCGAGGCCTGCCCTATCCTCAGCACGCTGATCGACGCGGTCTTTGTAGTCGGAGATAGTGGACTTAACACCTTCGATAAACTTCTCCATGTGCTCGGGCGTAAGACAGTTTTTCCCAACGACTTCAACCGACTCGTAGAAGCATTGATACATTTCTGCGAGGGTATCGATCGCTGGTTCTGCGACCAGCACCTCGAGTAGCTTATCGACGGAAGCTGTCCAGAGCCCTGCTAGTTCGTTTGAGGGGCATCCGTATGCCTTTTTGTAGGAGCTCAAGAGCTGCGGCACAAGCTTTGCGGAGATGAACCGCACAGGATCATGGAAGAAGAAGGCCAATCCGGGAAGAGCCACTTGCTCCATGAGGTTGGCGACGTAGGGCGCGAAAGAACCCTCAAGGACCTTGGCGTAGACAACAAGAAGCTCTATGGCCATATGCTTGTCGTCCATGGTACTCGTCCGAATACCAATCATCTTGCCCTTCAGAGGTACCAGTTCCCAGCCATCTTCGCCATTCATTTGCTCCACTTGGTCCTCGTCGTCCAACAGTTGAATATCGGCCTTGGCAGTGGCGAGCTCCAGCAGTGGTGGCATGACGCTGTCGAGGAAGGGTAGGAAGTCTGTTCCGAGGACGCGACACATCCTCCCCCAGCAGTGCATCAAGTACTGCGCCTGAGGATCATCGGCATCGGTGATGTTATTCTGGATGTTAGCAAGCAGGTTGACCAGGGTCATAGCATCCTGGCCAAGTCGCTCCTTGCCAACAGCCAGGGCAATTAGCGTGGCGCATTCCATGGCCTTTGCGCGAAGGAGTCGCTGTTCCTTGTCGCCCTGGTTCTGCAGGACGTTAACGAGCAGAGGCATCAGGGTGTCGTAGTATTTTCCAAAGGCCTTCTCAGCAGCGTCGGCGATTGTGGCAATGGTGGACAGCGCTTGTTCCTGTACATAGCGCTCTCCGTTCTGGAGTAGCTCAAACAGGTGAGACAAGAGCTGGTCGAGATACGGAACAAGCACGGAGGTCTCTGCCTCCTCGCAAAAGTTGACCAGGGCGGCAGCCGCATGCGACTTGACTCGGCCCTCTGGGGAACCGAGGACAGGAATGATTGCTTTCAGGACACGATCGTAGAAGTCGGTCTGCATCTTGGGTGCAAAATCCGTGCTCATCTGACCAAGAGCGTTACATCCTGCCCACCGCACGCGAGGATGAGAGTCCTTCAACGCAGGCTCGACGAGATCAAGGACCTGACTCAGCTCTCCAATCATGAGGTCGCGACAACCCTCAGAGATAGCCGAGATGGCCATGAGTGCTGCGTGGCGATCTCTCCATGCCATAGACGTCATCATACGGGGGAGCCAGCCAAAGGTTGGGGCAAGAATGGTCTGTCCTCCCAGTTTGTTCGCGAGACGGTCCATAGTTTGCTCTCCAGCAACGTGGTTCTGGTCGCTCTCGTCTTGGTCGAGCTGAGTCTTTGTATCAGCAACATCGCTCAAGTAGAAAAGATAAGTTGCCAACTCACGTCGTCATTAGCGAGCCATTCTGCCGCGTCATCATCGTCCTCTCCCAGGTCTGTCATGAGACTCAAGCACTGGGTGATCATGTCGCTGGTGTACGAGGGATCCTTGCGGCACATGGTGGGCGCATAATCCGCGAATGTGGCCATGAGCTCTAAGGCATTTTGGCGACAGACATTGTCTAGCTCCTTGTCCTGAATCACCGAAACGCTGAAGCTGACAAGATTGGAGAAAAGCGGCTTGAACATTTTGGGAGCGGCCTCTGCCAGGTCGATCAAGGCAACGAGAGCCTTACTCAAATCGTCGGACTCTCCAGATTCTTTGATTGGGACGAGGATGTTGAGCACGCTGGGTATAAGGTTGTAGTACTTCGCTTGGGCCTTCTTGCCTAGGGTGCGGAAGAAGGCTGCGAAGGCTTCCATGGCCACGAGGCGAACCTGGATTCGATGCGTTAGCCAACCATGCTATAGGACGGATCATTTTGTTAGCGGCATACGCTGACGGCCTCATCGCCGAAGCCTTTCTGGAAAGCCTCCAGGACAGTACTCTCGTGTTGTGATTCGATGATAGCTGGAGTTGTTGTAAAGACTCGGAATGCGCATTCTCTTTTTGTGGGCTCCGTAGCCTGGCTCAACTGAAACAAGCTCGCAAGCAACTCGGGCCATGGGTTGTCTGCGTACTCTCTTTAGCACCCCAACACAACAGGGCTTCCGACGGGAGCTCACTGTTTTCTGTATATTGACGAGCCAACTCTGCAACAGCGTGGCTGATCTTGTTCCGAACGTTGCGATCGGTTTCAGTCCCCAAAGCCTCGAGCAGCTTCTGTCGGATAGCTGCAGCTTGTTCAGCGGGAAGAGATATGAAGAAGTCGACGTTTAGCCCTGCATCATTTTTCCGGGTTTTCGAGGCGATTCGGCGGAAGATGACAGCAGCGAAGGAACGGGTCTTGAGGTTGCTTGTTAGCGAAGCGCCTGGGAGGCAGGGAGACGTCTAGAACTGACAGGTATTTCCTGAGAGCCCTGAATCTGCTCAGCTAAACCCATCAGGAGCATTTCTGGACGCGTATTGGTCCAGTTGTTCTGGAGGTGTTCCTCGGCCTGCGATCGAACGCCATTGTCGGGTGACTGAAGCGCCTGTAGGAGCTGGTTTAGCTCCGCATGGATCTCGGGGGACAGCACCGACATGACGGCGATGGTCGGCCCACGATACGTGGAATTCAGCGCAGGTAGAATACTATACGTAGATACGTGTCGAAGGGTTGCCAAACCCAAGGGCGGGTTTCAAACAGTTGTGTGTTGATGGCAATTGTTTTTTTGAGGTGGGGGAGGGGGAAGGCCAGGCGGGCGTTGGTAGGCTAACGAGCCAGTCCTCCAATGGAATGACCCACCTATGCGCTTGAGGGAGTCCGAGCCCGCCTCAGCGAGTCCACGGTCCAGCTGTGAGTAGTGATGAGCATGTCTCGTCCCGCTCTGTTTGGTATGTTTAAGGACGCTTTACCTATTAGTCTAGCACTACTGTTATGAAAAGCATATCTGTGTCTCTGGAAGCTCGTTGAATCAAGTAGCGGCACCAAGTCAGTCCATTTTGGATGGCTTGACATGGTGTCGCGTACGCATAAATGGTTGGACAGATGAGATGACCCGCGGTTAGCCCCCTTCAACGTTATTGGGCGCTATAATCAGAATCGCAGATCTCTTTGATGGTGCGTGAAAGAAACATCCGGCTACACTTAAAAGGATACTTTGCCCATCATTCATTCACTTTAAGCTGGGCTTTATTATACAGTTCAGGAATTGCGTCTCAAAGGGTGGAAAGCAGGTCTGATTCCACAAATTGAGATAAGCCTTATCGATAAGCTTTCTAAAGCTCGTATCAGACCCCGCTATTTGGACTGCCTGACGTACCTGAGGTTCACCTTCCATTAACTGAGTTCGGGGGACGACCATCGCTCTGCCTATTAAATCTCGATGACTCTGCTCGTGATTACTTCGCGCTGATCTGACGTCGCACTTATCGAGCGGACTTTGACATTGAGTCTAAGTTCTTTCCAACGTCAAACGCATTTAAGCTCAAACAGATACCACGTAACCAAACGCAGTCAACGAACGATCCGCGAGCTGAACCACGACCGTCGTATCGCCGTAGACGGACACTACACTGCCCGTAGCTTCGACCGCTTCTGCAAGTACTAGCTGATTGGCTTCGTAACGGCTAAAGTCCATGGAGCCTCAACCAACGACATCGACCGGTCCTGGGGATGCCACCCCTCAGTCTAGGGACCCTCGCTCAGGCAGCGCAGGCAGTCTAAGCTCCTCAGCGTCAACAGGCGCAGCTCCACAGAGATCGCCCTCTGTTTCGAGTATCAACCGTTCTGCGCATCGACAGAGTTTCGCTGAAAACCTACGCAACATCCCCCCGTCTCCAAGGCAGCGACACCCCTCGTTGACGCAAGCTGCAGTTCAAGACCTTCTCAACAATCCTCCGGTTGCGAATAGGCACTTGCATTCCAAGTTTGCCAACCGCGAATGGCGTGACATTACTGTTGGGGAGCTGGTCTCTCCTGCTGACGTGCGATGGGCCGAAATGGACACTACTGTTGAGGAGGCTACCATGGTAAGCTTGACTGCTTGTGAGTGAACGAGGATTGCCTAACTTGTGGCTAGTTGCTGTTGAAGAGTCGCCCTACCGTCGTTCTGATTCGCGAGGATGCCCAATCCAGCGCCGCCGTCTCGACATTCGATTTCAAGGATCTCAATGCTTATCTACTAGTTGTGGTTGGACTGGCGAAGCCCGAGGAAGATCAAATCGAGGCCTCGAACAACGTCGCTGAAAAGGCACAGAAAGGAGAATCCATCACTTTGAAGGAGATCCAACCGCTGTGCCGCAAAGAAGCACTCGTGACGCTGCCATCGCTGAGCAACCTCGCTCAAGCAATGGAAGTGCTTGGAAGCGGAGTCCACCGATTACTGGTGACAAATGAGTCAGAGGAAGCAGTCGGTATAATGAGTCAATTACGCCTGGTCGAGTTCTTCTGGAACGAAGGCGTCAACTTTGCTTCCATCGACCAACTGTACCCGCTGAGTCTTAGGGATCTGAACATAGGGACAAAAGACACAATATCTGTGAGGTAAGCAAATGATGTTGCGATGCGGCTGGGTATAGAACGTTGATAAGGACACAGCTGTGATGCTCCGCTTTCCGAGGCCTTGACAAAGATGAATGAGGAAGGGCTGACAAGCATCGCCGTTGTGGACAACGGACACAATGTGGTTGGCAACATATCAACACGCGACGTGCGCCATCTTACCAACTCGTCGAGTGCGCATCTGCTATCCGATTCGTGCATTCATTTCATCTCCGTCATTTTGAATGAAAGGGGCGTGGAAAACGGGAAGGACGCTTTCCCGGTCTTCTACGTCAACCCCTATTCGACACTGGCCCATACGGTTGCCAAACTGGTGGCGACCAGATCCCACAGGATGTGGATTGTGGAATCGGCATCACCATCGTCTACAGCTCCCCCTACACCTTTGGCAGGTCCAGGTAGTTTTCCGGGATCACAATCGACGGGACCTGCCGCCGCGGCGCCGTCATCGCCACAGCCTCCATCTGCAGTTCCTGCCTCGACCATGTTAGGTTCTCGCATATCGGGCACTCTCACGGGGGTAGTTTCGCTTACAGACATTCTCAATTGCTTCGCCAAATCGACGGGACTACACCCTACAGACCCTGGGGCACAGCGCGCCAGGCGGCGTAAAAGTTCCAGCAGCTCCATGAGGGCAAGTATTGATTCTATGCGGGCTGGGAGTGTGGATCTGAGGAGGTAACTGGATTCGGCTACAGGGCGAGCAACTCCCTGATTTGATAGTATTGCTTATGCCGTCGACTAAGTCCAATGCGATTTGGTAGTGTTTGCTTAGGATACCTGACCAACAAGTTGCGTAGAACACGATTGCCACCAACCTACTAGTTCACCAATGCTTCTCGCGTCGTGGAGGTCTTAATTAGTACTGTACATGTCATTTATTATGTCCTTTTACTCCGTAGCCAATTGCTATTTACCTTATTCTGGAATCTGGACTAGGGAAACCTACCCCACAATTGTGGCGCGGCACGGTAAGGTCCCCTGGCCTCGTCGGCTTCGATCGACTTCAGGGTCTTCCTAGCCATGGCTTCCATGAGTCATCAGCGTCGTTTCTCGCCTCTTTGAAGGACCTCGATGCTCCCGGTTCGACTATCCTGCACAGCCATTCCACATGAATCAAAGGTGCCCCTTGATCGACTTCCGCGCGCCGACTCCCTTATAACCACCGCTCATCATCCATCGCTTCCCTCGGCGCACTCCCACGTTTCGACCGCATGTTGTACACGCTCGTTGCACCTGGAATATGTATCTTTCGCCTCAGATTCGAATACGGAACATTCCTATTCTGTGCTAATCCGCCTCTACCGACTGAGTTGTCGTTCCTGCTGCATACAACGGAACGCATCGATCCAACCACATAAGCTTTACGACTCTACCTCGAGCTCATTCGTGCTGTTATCCACGCGGTGCGGCTCTGCTCGTCTAGCTGTGTCTAGTATAACACGTCTTCACATCGGGCGTGACTACTCAGCCCTCATAGGAGGGCGCGAGCTTCCCTGTCCGACGACCTGTTGCGGCTGTCTCTAGGACGAGCATCGCCCCGATTCTGCCATATTTAGCCATCCCGACGATACACCAACTCATATATTCACACAAGACCACCGAACCTAGTCAATCCTTGTACGTGCCGACACAACGACTCGTCATGGGAAACTCAGCCGAGCTTCAGTCAGCTCTCGTGTCTAGGAGCCCTAGTCACTTCGTGAGTTATACCATATCAGCAACGCGACACAGTGCTGGGCTAGGGGAAAGGCCACCACAATTAGGTGACTTCTCATCTCTCGATTTCTACTCGCTAGCTTTCCAAGAGCGTGAGACTCTGTCTAGCTTGCAATCATTCCAGACTCCATCACAAGATCCCACGGCCGCCCCAGAAAGACCACTGCTCGGCGACTTCTCGCGCTTGGCCTCATGTCTACCATTTGAGAAGGCACTTCAGCAAACTCCTGTGCCTTTTGATAATGGCAAAGCGGCACAGTCTCCTTTAGACCCATCCGCTCGGCCCTCATCGCCCTTTGCTGATGCCGAGCCTTCCCAGGTGGCTTTCAAGAGCTTATTGGGAAACACTCGCGCTAAGACCACAAAGCTCGGAGATGGACTTACGCGAGTGGCTAGCGATTTCGCAGACTTGTCAGAACCAGAACCGGATCTAGAATTCGACTCTGACAGCGGACTCAGCTTTGCTAGCAGTATACCATGCACACCACTCCAAGACAGTGCCATATCTTGGAGCCAGAAGCACCGCAAGCCCTACGTCTCAGCCGTCAAGCCTATTTACCGCTGGCGTCTCGGTTCGGAAGAGCCCAAGACCATCAGGCAGAAGAATATGGAATTTTTCGAGGCAGAAACGAGCCGCGATCGCATGGGACAGGACTTGCTGGACGAGCTGGTCGTAAGAGACAGCGAGATCCAGCAGCAAAATCCCGACATGTGCGACAGAGGCATCCACGTCTTCCTTGATCAATCCAATATCCAGATCGGCTTCGTGCAGACATGGCTAGCGGCGCATGGCCTTCCCAAGAATGCACACGTCAGCCCCATGCCCCAGATGAGTGTCAGGGCCCTAAACGATATTGTTGGCCGTGGTCGCGTCCACAAGACACTCTCATCCTGCTGCTCTACCCAGAACAACGGTCGACAGCCCGAATGGGGGTTTGATCTCCTTGCTCACAAGTGGACCGTCGAGGTCCGCGAGCGTAAGGCACTGGGCGACGGTACCCACAAGGAGGACCGTGTCGATGAGACTCTTCAAGAGCAGATGCGGGAGACATTGGCCAAACAAACTGCAGCACCAACAACCTTTATTGTCATAACAGGTGACGGCAAACCAGCAGAGCACTCGCCTGGATTCGTGGTTTGCGTCAAGGACATTCTTGCGGCAGGTCACTACGTGGAGGTTGTTAACTGGAACCTCAGCTGCTCCCAGGCCTGGAAAGATCTGGCAGCTGATGAGGAGTATGGCGAACACTTCCGCCACTACTACCTGAACACCTTTTTGCAGGCTTTGTGCTGTTGAGTACTAAATGGCCGCACGTGTCGTCGAAGCAAGGGTTGCGTGACAGCGCCCATGACTTCCTCGAGATGCTATGGACAAACTTTAACGTTGAGAGTCTTGTCTTTGCCATTGTACCAGACTAGCTGCCGAACTTCTGCATCGCATAGCGTTCATCCACCTGGACCAAATCACATGGGCCTACGGTGCGTAACTTGTGGATGTGCTGCTTATGAGATTGTCTCGAGGTACATTGGCACCTGCTTTGATGCTCGGAAGAGACTTGCGCCAATGCCGGTACGAAGTCGCAGCTGACGGCTCGCCACGTTCAATGCATACTTCATGAATTATGAGAGCACCTATAGGGTTTCAATGCTACATCTCATCCCCGTTCATGCTCTACTTTGATAGTGTACAGCTTACTTGTCCACATTTACGTCGTGAAGTGATAGCTGCTTACTTGGTCCACGAGCGGTATCCTATGCAGTCACTGGTACGCTGGCAACGTCGAATGATAACAAGAATTGAAGGACACGGATCTAAAAAGAAAATTCAACCCCAAACATCATCCCAGAATGGCATCCCCCTTCAGCACGCAACCTCTGCACCGGGGTGGAAAACATGAAGGCAACAACAGATGAAAGATGAACAACAGTCCTACTGCGGACACGCAGACAGCGGCTAGATGAGGGCAAGATCGCAATTCGAAATCGCCCCTCCAATACCCCAATGCTGATCAGCGTTGAAACTAACCATGGTCTTCTCCTTCCACAGGTCATCGAACGCCGAGAAGAGGATAACGTCTCCTGGTTTGTCGGCAAAGGCCTCCTTAATGGCGGCGATGGCGATCTTCTGGTTCTCCAGACCTGGGACAGCCTTTCCATTGACTGCACCGTCCGTGGGCCAGCCTGCTTCGGTAATGAGAATCTGCTTCGGCTTGGAGAGAACAGCCTGGACGTCCTTGGCGGTGTTTTGGAGCCACTTGCCGGCATCTCCAGCTTCCATTGTGCTATCGAAGAACGGGTGCGCGTTGATCGCGCATAGGTCAGAGGCGTCGCAGAGCTCTGGATGGGCCTCTGTGGCGATGAAGGTGTCGACAGCAGCCACGGGGCCCTGGAATCCGGCACCACGGAGAGCACTGCGCGCCAGGGACACGGCTTGGACGACCTGGTCAGCGGTGGCCTCTTGGTTGTTGACCAGTTCGTTGCCGACGCCCACGGAGTGAACAATGTCCCAGTCGCCCTCGATGCCTTTGGCAATCATCTGTGCCTCGCCTTGCACCTTGTTAATGTCCCAGATCCCCATCATCAACTTGACCCCGATCTTCTTGGCGGCTTTGTAGATGGGAGGCACCTGATCGCAATCCGTGCCGTAGATACGAACGAGCGAGTAGTCGCCTGCGAGTCGCTCAAAGTCATCCATAATGTCCTCGGCTGTTTTGCAGCTGTGATCAGCGCGGTAGGGCGCGTAGGAGATGCCGAAGAGATCACCGGACGGCTGAGTGTCTTTATTCTTTCCAGAATCTGACGATGCTATCTCCGTGGAAGAGTGAGGGAGCGGCCCACCCCCTTTAACGGGCAATGCTTTGGATGGCCGGCCGCCGGCAGCCACGGCGGGCGATGGCTGAGCAGCTCCCTGAAGCGAGATGGTGTACGTTTCCGTCGAGACAGTGGTCATAGTAGTAGTTGTTTTGCAATCCTCGTCGCCTTCAGGGCCAGGGGTCGGCATCACCATGACCATCTCAGTTGTAGTCAAGGCCGGCGAGCCATCACTCTTGAAGTACACAACCTCGCCAGGCATATGTGTTGGTGCTGCGACCTTGACGTCAAAGACGGTCAATTCCTGATCCCATCCCTCATGCTCAGGGAGTGCAGGTGCTCGCTTCTCTGTGCCATAGTTAACTCGCCTGTCGGATCATGGACTCGACAAAGTACTGACCTTTTGCTGGATGTCCGTGGGCTATGGCGGCCAGAGCCATAGCGCCGAGCAACTGTTGCTTGAACGTCATATTGAGTTCAACGAGATGAAAGAGTGTCGTTGGTTAGTGTTACAAAGGAGTGTACGTGGCTCAAGGTAGTATCCGGCGCGAGTTTGCTCGGCGTGGATCATGAACAATGGTCACTATGGGGGATCTTGATGTCTAACGAGTCGACTTGGATCAAGCAGGAGGAAAGAAAAGCTCGGGTCAGAGAGCGGAGGGCGGCAGTGCTAATATCAAGAGACCACCAGCAAGCCAGACGCAAACCACAGGCCATGTGCGCTTGACGGCAGCCAAAGTCGGCCAGAAGCGTACACATGTTTGGCAGGTAGTGTAAACAAACGTTGGTGTAAGCAAACGTTGGAATGCAAAATCAATTTCAAGATTGGCATGTGCTACATCTTCAAGTATGGAGGTTAGAGATTACGTGCCAGAGCGCGTGGCTAGCTGAGACATTCGACGCGCGGGAGCATGATGCTTTGGATCAGCACAAGTATCTTGAGCGCTGTACCAGTCCACAGTATCATCCGGCGAATGTTCTGCTTGCAGGCATATTAATATTAATTGTGTGCTATGTGTACTTTCTAGGGTCTCGGCCGTCTAACTTCGCAACTTAAATCCACGACGCCGCGCGCATCATAGGAAATAGGGGGAATGCAATGAGAAATTAGGCAGACTTGCTATTTGTCTTGCGCGTCATCACCTTGGTGATCGCGTGCCGAATCGTGGTCCCCGCCTTCTCAATATCCTTCTTGGACAGGGCAGTGGTGATGCAAATTTTGAGTGCGGGCTGGGCTGAGCCGCTACTCCCTGGAGACTTCATTGCGTAGGCAAAGGGCCTTGTCTTGAGGCGAGTGATGAGGACACCGTTCGTCAGGGCCTAGTAACAAGGAGTGTCAGCTGGTTCCCTACTTCACTGGACGCATTGTACTAAGACATACCTCCTCCACACAATCCATGAGGATTCGCTCTTGGTCCTCGACTCCGAGTTTCCGGGCTTGGACCACTTCGGGCTTTAACACAAGAAGCATGACAGGGTTCTCAGGAACACTGGTGCAAATTACCCAGTCGCTGCGCGGGTCTAGCTGTGCTCTCATGGCCTTTATGTTCTCCCGGCACTGGTTCAGGATTTCAGGGTTCGATTGAAGGAGATTCACAGTCTCGCTCGCCGTAACAGCCAGCATGGCTGGAAGCGCGGCCGAGTAAGTGTACGCTGTTGATGTGATGCGTTGATGCTCTACCACGTCCTTGGCACCGGCGCAAAAGCCACCACCGGCGCAAAGAGGTCCGGCTAGAGAGCCAATGACCATGTCAACCTGTTGCGGGTCCACGTTCTGGGCTTCGGTGAGACCACGACCTGTCCGGCCAAGAACACCAAAAGACCAGGTCTCGTCGAGGATCAGCCTGAACTTGTGCTTCTCCTTGAGCTCGATCAATTTGGGAAGGTCGCTCGCGTCGCCGACGGTCTCGAACAGGCCTTCCGTGACGATGAAACGGCGTGTGAGCCTCTTGGCCTTCGCCTGCTCCTTGGCAACGGAACTCATGATGGCGTCCAGGTTGTCCATGTCTCCGTGATCAAACCATTTGACGACACTTCGCGATGCCTCCAGGCCCTTGCGGATCGAAAAGTTGACTGCACGATCGGCCACGATGATGTCGCCACGCTTGCAGAAGGACGGGATAACACTGGAGATCGTCGAGAAGGCCTGCGCGTAGACAATGCATCCTTCTGTACCCAAGTATGCAGCAATATCGGCCTCGGCTTTGACGTGCACATCCTGCGTTCCGTAGAATTGTGGCGGTCCACAGGGACCGACGCCATACGTGCGGAGGATCTGGACAGCCTTTTCCTTGATCTGCTCGTTCGCGTTGAAATTGTAGAAGTTGTAGGATGCTAGGTTCGTGACGGTGCGGCCATTCGACAGCTTGGACTTTGGGCCGGTCGGTCTGCGGCTCTCAGATTAGTGCTGGGACGCCCGTTTCTTTGCATTGTCGCTCTCTTACCCAACGATGACAGGTATCCTTTCGTTTTCGAGTGCTTCGAGAGTTGTCTGCTCCGCGACGAGCGGCTCGGGGGCCCAGTCATCGACCAACTCATCAATCTCCTGTGAGCACCTGCATCAGTCCGAGTTCATCAGCACAAGGGTGGGGACGCACATCTTCCGTGAGCTTGACGTAGTTCTGTTTGTCTGTCGAGTATGAAGGCGACAACAGATAGCGCACGAAGAAGAGAACCAAGATCAACTCGATGGCTGAGCGCACGGGGTCGTTCTGGTAGCTCGATTGGATATACCTGGTCAACACCGAAGAGCCCGGGACCCTTTGGAAGGCTGCGGACGCGACACTCAGCGTCCTGTGCAATTGCGCTTGTAGCTTTTCTGCGTCCATGATTGCGGTTGCAGGTCACTCCCGACTTGGAAACTCAGAGATTCGCGACTCCAGTCGATAGATAGGGAAATGTATATGGAGTGTCCAGCCTGGCTGCCGTTGCCTTGGTGCGTCGTTGGCCGCCGAAGGGTTTGCTGTTCGCCCGACAATCCGCCTATGATGTTGTCCGCGTTAAAGCCCCCCTGGGCCTTATCTAATCGCATGTGTGGAACCAGGACGCCTTGCATCACAAGGTAAGATACCACCACAGAAAAGTCAGTACCGCCCGAGTCTCGCCCGCGGTTTATTACCAAGTGCATTCACAGCAGTCCTTGCTCACAATGGAATCTCTCTCGCATTCTAACGAATCATTGCATTCTAATCAAGCAGACAATTTTGCGTTGCTAATGAAACTAAGTCTCCACGCATTAACATGACAGACACACAGCAGGGCGCCCCTTGATATCCACCAAATTCAACCTCCCCACTCCAAGGTCTGTATGGATTTGATGCTTCGATAATGAACAACGCCGCCACCTAATACCAGTACACCATCAGGATGGTGCCCTTAAAAGAGCTTAATCCTGTTCGTTTCGCGAGAGTCTTCGTCGGAACTCGACTGCGCGAGAACTCCGCTGTAAGGAGGATCAACCCGACCCGTGCCGGTAAGCATCGTGCTGTTCGTGTTGTCGTGATCCTGACCGTTAGGCTGGACAAGCCTCAGATCGGGGAAAATGCCATTAATGACGTCCGAAACAGCGTTCTTTGGCACCAACTTGGGACCTGCGACAGCCGGCCCGACAACAAGCGCCAGGAACAAGACAAGCATGGCATAATACATGATGGCGAAACGGATTACGCGACGACGCCTGAGCTTGGATTGCTTCATAGAATAGATGGGAGGCCGGATTTGACGGCTGGAGAATTGTTAGCTTCAATCGGATGCGCACGAGGGGATGATCAGGAGGGTCAGAGCATACCTTGGCATGAGCCAGAAGAGCATAATGGAGTGCAAGACATCCATTTTCGGGATTGTCACAAACGGCAACATGATGAACAGGATCCAATGACCGAGCACGAAATCGGCGGCGAACATGCCCAACTCCGTAATCTTGCAAAGGAACTCTCGCGCTGGCTGTGAGATGGAGTGCCATCCCATGGAGTACCACTTTCCAGTCCAGAAAGCTATGTTAGACTGGTCCGTCTTCATCTCACGGGTGAGGGCGGTCGCCACAATGAGCTTGTAGAAGAAGCGCTGCAGAGCAATAACAGCAATCATGCCACACAGCGTCCTTGCAAAGTTGAAACTTTCCAGAACAAACATGGCCTCGAAGAAGACAATCAAGAAGATCACGGCGAGCGCGTGTGCAATACCAGCAAGAACACTACCAAACTTCTTGCAGCACATCGACAGCAGAGGGCCCATGAAACACGCCATGAAGAACATAATCATCAAGACACCTGCGTTGATGGCGACTGGAGCGAAAGCCACAACGAGCAACCTGATCAATGAGTTTGTGGGCTCGATGTCCTCGTCGTCGTTGTTGCTAGGCAAGACTCCGGTCTGCGCGTTGATAAACAGGTACGGGAGGGTGGTGACAACCGCTAGAAGAAGAGGCGCGAGGATCTCCCCGAAGAAGATGTTGGTGATGGCAGCACGTGGCACATCCGCAGACATCTTGGCAGAGGGATCACCCAAGACCTTGCGCTTGTAACCCGTGATTCGGGTTCGGGAAAGTCGACTGAACGAGATCCAGGACGATGCGTGGGATCGCGAATTGCCTCTCGACAGCCACCGAAGGAAGTCGCGGTAGTCAATGAAGAAGTCGGAAAACGCGAACTGGTGTGGGTTGTAGAGGAAAGGCGACACCGTAAGACCGAGCGTCGTGATCCAGAAGTAGGTCAGAGCCGGTTGCCAGGCAGTCGTACACGCGAAAAGAAGCATGATGAGGAGGCGGGAACCGAAGTACACCGACGGTCCGGCAAACCTCGAGTACAAGACTCCAAAGGGGATGCGAGCCGTCGCGAAACCACGACCGGTACCAATGTATCGAGCACCTCCAAAGGTAAGATCCTGCGTGACAGAGTTTGCATAGATCTGGCAAACAAACACCTCGAAGAAAGGCGAAAGCGAGAAGAACTGCTTCGCAAATCGGACAGCTGCGCGGAACACGCCGCGCTCCATCAGCTCTTGTACGATGAGAGGAACGAATGAGATGAAGAAAACGAAGAAGATGGAAATGACACAGCGCCAGACATAGTCCATCAGAGCGGGTGTGTTGGCGCAGCCGGTGGGGAACATCGGGTCGGTAAGGGGGACTTCGCGATTGTATTCGCATGCAATCGTCTCATGACGAAGAGCTCCCAGATTGACGAGTACAATCATGAACATGTGAACAGAAAGCATGATGAACATGTTGTTGATGTGGAAACCGGCGTGGGCGTAGTAGAAAGAGAGGAATCGATCCAGCGGCAATTGCGTCCCCAAGTAGTAGTACTCGCGGGATAGGAGCTGTTCGCCCATACCAGTGCCAATCTTGGTCGTGAAGTTGAGAATCGAACCGAAGCCCAAATCACGACCCTTACCACATTGGTAATACTCGCAGTGCTTGATACGCCCACCACGGAGGAGGGCATTCATACCAGCAAAGATATCTTCGTTCAGATGCAATCCCTTCTGGGCCTTGGAGACGCCTCCGCGAGTGGTCATGAAGATACCGTTGAGGAAATCAGGATGGCCGTAATGCAGCTTGCCACCTATCTGGGACATGGTGCGAGCGAAAAGTGTACCAAATGTCTGTTCCTTGCCGGCGGCAACATCACCGAGGATGCCAATGTTTTCAGAGAAAATATACTCGCGCGCACCAAGAATGGCTACAGGATCGGGTGTCTCGTTCTTGACGCCTGGCGTGTACGGAGAAACAGTGTCCGCTTTCATCTCCTCGAATTCCGCAAGGACGCTGCGAATCTTCAAACACTCTTCCAGGTAGTTGTCTTGATTCGCGTCGATGAGCTGGATGTATTCGCCTCTGTAGAAAATGATGGAGTGGTTCTGGTTGTCTGACTTTCCGTCACCGAGAACAGGATTGCCGGACAGCTGGATACGGAACTTGGGTCGACGCATGCCGTTCTCCATCAGTTCGGAGTGTCCATCGATCAGAGCAGAGTAGAGGCGGGGCTCTTCTCCCTCCACGGTGGCAGGCTCCTCATCGAGGTACGCAATCTGGAGATCGGGGTAGGCGCGGAGCAAGAACTCGGCGTTCTCCATTTCTTCCTTCTTAAACTTTGAGTAACGTTGCATGGAAACGACGAGCTTGAACTTGCGGCGAGCCATGCGCTCCAACTCGCGCTCAAGCTTCTCAGAGTTGCCTCCAAACATTTGAACCACCTCAGGATTCTCGACGCGGTAGAGCAGTTTGATGGCACGGCTGTAGTTCATGAAGCCAGAGATCGTGCGGTACAGTGTTTGAGAACGCAGTGAGGACCAGATTCTGGTGCGGAGCGTGTACTCAGGCGCAGAAGACTTGAACCCAATGCAGTAAAAGGGAAGATCATCAATTTTGCTTTTGGCGGTGTCCTTTTCGTCGACATCGCCGTCGCCAGTGAGCTGGGAAGTCTCGTCGGCCAGAATCTTGGTGTCTTTGACAAAACAATCCCATTCGTGGGGATGGAGCTGTTTGAGATACTCCAAAAGTGTCACACGGGAGTAGGGGTCGTCCTCACGAATGATTTCGCGGAGGGACAGCAGAATCTTTTCGCTGTAATGAGGGATCATGACGGTGAAGGTTGGCATGTTGTCCACAGGCAAAGGCTCAGGAATTGGTGTGGACAGAGACTGCGCAAAGAACGACAGGCGACGTTCGGCTTCGCTGTACTTGGGGAAGAATTCGGTTTTGAACGAGTGATCTTCCTGTGAGACGAAGAATGTGGGTGCCCGAAGTGTCCGCTTGCCCTCTTGCTCAGATGGAACCTGATGGTAAAGGAGTTTCTGGACGTGGTCGATTGCGAGGAGATGCTCTCGATACATGGAAATAATGATGGCGTTCCACACTTGAGAAATGAGCACCTTCGGCTTGTATTTGATCTCCATGTCCGTGGTTGCAAGGACCTTTGAGTAAATGCGCTTTGGCAGTCGGGAGAAGATGTTGCGCCAGGGCGTCATTATGGACGAGCCGAGGTAGAACGACCGAGCAAGCGAGAACAAGGTGTTGAACAAGACGTAGAAGAGATAAGTATCCAGAAAGAAGAACAGCAAATTGGTGAAGATCATCAGCCCAAGCAGGATCATCGGGAACCATTTGCATAGGTCGTTTCCGAACAGCAGCTGGTCGCCTTTGCAAGTATCAACCTTCATGATGTGGATGTATCGCAGCGGATCTCGGAAGGGCAGTGACAGATACACGTATGACTCTCCAAACTTGAGACCGAAGACGACCATCCACAGACCATAGGACATGGCCATGTCAGTGCCCTTGAGGCTAGGCCAGCTAGCGGTGAATGTTTGGCTGGCAACGTAGCGTCGCGAGTTCCGCGTCAAGTAGCTTCCAAAGAGAGCGCCCAACGGCACGATCGAAAAGTAAAGATAAGTAATGACGGCGATGATGAAGCCAACAATGCCGATGATCAAGTCCACGTCAAGACCACCATCCTCCACAACTGTTGGAATTCCGAAGACTTTGACGCCCGGAGCCAGGTTGAGCACGAAGATGAGGAGGAGGAACAACAATCGTTTGGTCAAGTGTTGCGCGCCGGCCCAACGTCGCGGGACGTAAGCCCATTCCGACAAAGTTGCCACAATTTGGATGAGAGAGGCCACGACACCACCAAAACTGACGATCGCAAATTGCTTCGAACCCCTTGGTTGATTGTCCGCTTCCTGCTCGTACGTGTTGAAAATAAGCAAGGTCGGGGCATTGAACGAGGTGAAGAACCAGAACATGGTCAAATGGATGATCCAGATGCGGTTGAAGTTGACGAAGAGGTGGAACCAAGAACGAGTTTCCTTGTATGTCTTGAAGAAACACTTCTTCCAATTGACCTCGTTCAATTTGAGATAGCGCTCGGCAGGAGGGACATCGACCAGCTTGCTCTTGTCGTGCAGGACAATACGCTCGATACCCTCTGGGTACCAGAACAGCTGGTTGCAATCGTCGTAGCCGATGATGTCCTTATGATCCTTTTCCCGACGGATGTAGACACCATCCAAAATCTCATAGCCCTGATCGCGGATGTACTGATAGAGCGGCGTAATAACGTTGTTGAGGAAGGTGAACTCGTCCACAGGCTCGACCAAAGCCTGGCAGGCCGGGGTGTTCAAGTAATCGTCGGCACACTTGAAAATGAAGCAAAGACACTCCGGCATGAAGCGCACCTGATTGGCCTCACCCCAACAAAGCAGATACAAGGCAATCTGACGCACGCGGTCGTGCTGTGACATCCGGTTCATTCTGGTCTTCCATCGAAACTCAGCGGCTTCGAGACTCTCATCACCCTCAAGTTCTTGCATCTGTTCTTCCTCATTTGCGCCCTCGAGACCGCCCTTGTTCTTCTTGCTCTTCTTCTTGCGCTTTTTGCCTGACGTCTTGGCGTTGGCGAAGCCAACCGCATCATCGAGGTCCAGATGGGCCGCGAAGTACCACTTGCGGTAGTTAGCGTTGTTACCGCCAATGTAGTCAGCGTGAAGCGACAAGAGCGCTTGATTCGGGGTCATGCGCGAGGACCTGGAGTCGAGAAGGGTCATCAAGTGGTCGTACATGTTGCGCATGCTGTCGCGTTGAAAACCGAATTTGGCTGTGAGATCCATGAAGATGTCCTCAATCTCTTCCTTGGACAGAGGGATTTGGGCATCCGACGTCCAAGCCGGGTAGGGCTCTTTACTGCGCTGGCCTGCCGGGAGGGCGTTGCCGTAATCCATGCCGTAGTTGGGAGAGGATGCGCCTGAGGAACGGTTACCGCCGTAAGACATCTGCGACGAAGGAGGGCGGTATCCGCGGCCACCGCCGTTTGGATCCCCATAGTTGTTGTATTGCTCGTCGCCGCGACCATAGTAGTCCATCTCAGCAGCTCGGGCCATGTCAGAGCGCATTGTGAAGTCACTGAATGTCTCGGAATCCTCTTCGGAGCCGTGGCGCCCTCGTTGGTTACTGTAGCCCTGGTTGTAGTCGTCATAATAGCCGCCACCTTGGCCATTGTCGTAGTAATCATCTCGGTACTGGTCCTGGCCGTCGTAATAGCCGCCCTCGTTGTGGTAAGGGTTGCTTTGGTCAGCATTGTAGTAGCCGCTAGAATTATGTCAGAAAACTATACTGATTTGCTCAACATATAAACTCACGATTCATCGTAGTAACCATCGTGGCCGCCCGCAGCTTGGCCCGTTCCGCCACGGTTGTCGTAGTCTTGGTCGTAGTACTGGTCATCCTGATAGTACGAGTCCGGATTGCCGTGCCCGCCTTGCTGGGCTGGTTGACCGTAGCCGTCGTAATGGCCGCCGCCGGCGCCACCACCTGGGTAGCCCGACATGATTCAGAGCGTTCTCAACTGGGAAACGTGTTAAAGCGATAGCTTGTTCGATGCCACGAGGATCGTACCTCAGATAGTCATGGGGGTTTGTTGAATCACTCTGTGGACGGGTGCAGAGCCCAAACGGAGGGATGCTATCGCAAAGCACTGATGGATGAGGTCCAGAGTGTTGAGTCTGGATTCAATGAGAATCGGAACGAGTAAAAGAGCGTCGGCGAGCCCTCCGAGAGAGAGAGAGAGAGAGAGGATAACAGGAAACTAGGAGCGACAGCAAGTGAATGGCAGGATGTGTTTGAAAGAAAGAGTAATGGTAAGATGTTGGCTGCGGGAGGCGAGGAAGGAGGACGGACTGGAAACTTGGAATGGAACGCCAGCCAGTCCAGGCCACTCACTTCAGGAGAACTGAGGACTGTACGTAGTACTGACGGTTGGGGGACTCCAGTCTCCAGTGGCTGGCACTGCACTGGCACTGCACTGCACTGCACTGCCTACAGTGGAGCCCCTTGAACGCCAGGCGTAGCCCGGCGTTGCACCAAGATTTCACGTTATTAATGTGCTGAACGGGACGCCATTGGGCCGGAGCCCCTGAATTGGAACGGAACATGCATCTGGGATCCACTCCATCGTTTTTTCGAAGGCTCGGAGCAGCATGCTGGGACCCCGAGCCGCAGGGGGCCGACCTTTCGAGGCCCAGGGGCCAGAGCAGGCACCGCCTCCGTCATCTTGAATTTTTATTCGAGTTCTTGACTGTGCTTGAGTGGTTTGTTATGTCAGAGCGGAGAGTGCTTATGATCGTTGAGGGTACCCAGGGCCCGGGTAGTATGCGACTGGCTGACCGTCGACTGGCGACTGGCTTTTAAGGGCTCCACTCACAGCCCCCTTAACTGGAACCCAGCCATGTTCTTGTCACCCACGAATGTACGGACATTGTACATACAACCGCACTGAGCGTGAGCTGCACTCACAGATTTGGGATTTGCGGGCAACTCTATTTCTTTGAACATGGACATACAGATACGTACTCATGTACCAGGAATTCCAAGTCCGATCCCTCAAAGGCTTACATAGAAGTGCTGTTAGCAGCAGAAGATATAGTAGAGTTTTAGGCGCAAACTGCTAAGCTACATAAATCCTGAGACAATTAGCAGTGGGCAAGTCAAAATCGGGAGCCATGTATGTATATCGGAATTGAACAATGAAGATCGCGGTTTCTCAATCCCAAATCGCGTCCTTATTGGTGAGGACTTTGAGCGCTATACTTGGGCTTGATGGTGTGGACGGGTATTCCCCTTGAGCTAATCAGGCACAGTACAGTCATGGAACGGGTGGAGCCCTTCGGTGAGATTCAGCTCCGACACGATAAAAGGTTGCCAGACTGTGGCGATCTTTTTGAGGACGGCGTGCACAAACACGAGAGATTGGTAATGCAGTTGATCAGCTAACTTACTTAGGCAGTATAACATCACCATCGAAACGTCACGGTGTAAATAGACTGGAGTGTGCCCTCGGGCCTAATCTTCGGTAATGACAACAGCCCCCGGCGCAACAGTAATTAATATCCCAGGGCAGATGATGGATTAATGGTATTGCCTAGGTGCCATGGAAAATTGGAATTGGCATGCGAAATTGATGAGTCCACCAGCCTCAAACTGCATTGCACGATGCACATGCAGCACTGCCATTTCCGGATCAGCCGGGATAACAAAGGGGGTGGATCCTCGCCTAGCCAATCGATCGAAACTGAAAGAGCGTCCGTGCCGTGTACGGCTCGACGGAGTACTGAAATGCTCTTGCTGATATAAATATGTCACGTGCGTTCTCAAAATAGTTTTCGGGCTAATTAGTGTCGGAGAACGGATCAACTTTATCAAGCTCAAAACGTTGCTGTGCCAACTGCGAGCATGTAGGACAAAACAACACTAGCCAACGGGCTCAAACCTCCAACCACCTTCTCCTATATCCAACAGCGCAAGGAAAACTCACACAAGCACCCCAATATTGAGGCCAATTTTGCATCTTAACCCTAGTGTACAGCATCATCTACTTGCTGTTCCCCTTGAACTTTTGCACAACATGGCAGCGAGGATCGTGGACCTGTACCCGTCAGATAACGATGAGCTTCCGTTGGTGGACAGAAACGTGCCTGCTTCGGGGAGCTCCGTCAGGAATACGATAATGGACAATCGTCCCAAGTCACCGACTAAAATGCTTGTCCCCAAGTCAGCCACAAAGTCAGTCACTCGCAAAATGCGACGGTTCGAAAAACCACAATTGTCGGCCACAAGCAACATCCTCTTCAAGCGGTGCGAGGGCCTAAATGAGTTTCCTAGGAGGTCCCCCTCTAAGAAAAGCTTCCTCTTCAGTGAGACTCCGAGAAAACCTTCGGCCAACAGATCCATCTTCGACGATGAGTCTCCGCCCGTGATGAATCGGACCAACAAAGCAAGGAAGCACAAGTTCGCACCTATCTCTGAAACTGAGAATTTGAGCGACAAAGGCCGTTGCAGCGATGCCATTGATCATCTACTTCATGGAACAACGGCTCGGGCCAAAGATGTCTCGAAGCTACAGGATATTCCGCCATCCAAGACTGTGCATCAAGCAGAGCCAGCGCATGAGAACAGCCTTAGCCAAATGGACGAACAGATTGATGTTCTTACTTTCAACGATGAAGCTTCCCCAGCGGCGACAACTGTTCCAGATGGTACAGCAGATGCGGACAAATCGCAGCAAGGATCCGTGTGCGCGGGGACAGATGGCGAGACCAGCTTGGACTTCTTTCTCGACGATTCAAACACTATCCTAAGCAGCTCCAGCGCTTCGACCGCCCCTGCAGGCTCGACTCAAGACGACGACAGCGTTCACGTTGACCGGGTTTTGCAACCTAAGAGTCAGGAACAGGTAAACCAAAACCTGAGCCGTCCGGCAAGGCCCGCTCAAGTGTCCACTGTGGACCTTACGGATGCTCTAGGGATGCTGGACTTGGACACAGATCGCCGAGGCGAACAAGAAAATATTCTATTCTCAACACCACCTACGACACCGGGGAAACAAGCCAAGCCAAATAGGCTTTTGTCACCCTCGAAACGTGCGGCTCTGATCCCAAAGACGCCTCATCGCCCATCTATGGATGCATTTTGGGACCAGGAGGATGTGAATACTTGGAACGAGAAGCACTCTCCGCGAAAACTGATCTTGCCGCCTGTACTCAAAAGTCCAGCAAAGCAGCCCCAGAGCCCCCGAAAGCAAGAGAGACGAGATTTTGAGCTGAAAAGACATGCGTTGGCTGATGAATTCCTGCGGGAACTGGACCAATCCGTCACACAGGGTCAGATTGGCCAGCTGGCAAATTCAACAGGAGGTGTGAGGGTCACTTGGTCAAGGACTCTCAACACGACCGCCGGCCGAGCCAACTGGCGGCGAGAGAAGATACGATCACACAATGATGGAGCTGGCGAGGCGGAATGCAAGTACTACCACCATGCTTCCATCGAACTAGCCGAAAAGGTCATCAACGATGAGGACAAGCTGCTGAACACGCTTGCGCATGAGTTCTGTCACTTGGCTAACTTCATGATCACTGGCATGACTAGCAATCCTCATGGCAAGGAGTTCAAGGCATGGGCGTCCAAATGCTCTCAGGCCTTTGGTGCGCGCGGAGTCAACGTGACCACCAAACATAGCTACGAGATCGACTTCAAGTACGTCTGGGAGTGCACCGCATGCGGCATCGAGGTGAAGCGTCACTCCAAAAGTGTTGACCCCAAAAAGCACCGGTGTGGATCCTGCAAGAGCACTCTGAAGCAGACCAAGCCGACTCCGAGGGGTAGTGGGAAGCCCAGCGAGTATCAGCTGTTTGTCAAGGAGCAGATGAAGGTGGTGAAGGACGAGAACCCAGGGATTGCACAGAAGGACGTGATGAAGGCCGTTGCAGCCAAATGGGCGAAGCGAGGGGAAGGCAGGTCGGCTGACAAGGTCGACGCAGAAGTCGAGGTTCTCGGAGCACGCATCCTGGACCTCACGGTATGAGGTTTTGTCGCATTTCGAGCACAGCGATGGCGTTATTAGTGGATATATTTGTGTGTTCGTGTCACCATACGTCGTCCATAGAGCCGATAATCATTGCATAGATGACAATTTGGGGATCACATCATTCCTCGTTAGCGACCTTTATCCCATTGATTACTGCCCAAACAGCCCCCAGTCCTTGATCTTGAAAGATTCCCAGATACGCGCCGACATTTCAACAGCATCCCCAATCAGTTTACCCTGCTTTCCGAGCTCCATGTCGACATCATCCTCGTCGTACTCTCCTTTGATGTGCGGGACATTGATTGTCATCAAAATATCTGTCTCCTTTTCTTCAAGGCGTAGAAGTGTCATGACAATCGCCGTGAAGTCCGGAGCGGCGGCTCGGTCGCGCGAGGCTGCCTGTGGTTGCTGTGTTGCTATGAGAGTATACGCGGGCAGGCGGCCGTGCCTGCGTGACAGCTAGTTAGTCCATGGCAGCTTGACTTTGGGGCATTTGAAACATACTTGTTAGGCTCAAGACGTGAAAATTCCGTCTCAGCTGTGTTCCAGACCTTGAGCCCTTCAGTGTCCTCGCCGACCAGATCTTCCAGATGGGTGGTCAAGGCTCGCCCGTCGATTTGAGGGCTTGAGCCAGGCTCGCCCACACGCTCCACAATGTCGAAAATGATGCTCGTGAAGCCGTCCTTGTCGATCCAGACCTCCTGGTTGTCTGGCACCTGGCGCAACTTGCTGTGAGACAACCAGGGTCAGCCCAAAGTACCTTTTACGGGGAGGAATGCTGCTTACCTGACGTCGGCATAGTGTTCAGGAAGATCGCACGTAATGGCGCCCCCGTAAAGAGGAGTGTTGACGAATTTAGGCATGGTAGTCTGTTGTCGCAAAGGGATAGTTCCGAACCACAGCTGTAGCTGTCTCGTGGGATGGTTTGCGACAATGGCTCTGGTAGATCGCTGGGGAAAGTGTCGGTGCGCTCGATAAGCCCTTTAGGATTTTCGGTTCTTAGTCTAGATGTTCCGCAGTATAAGACTGATTTCCGAACAGAGATCTCAGATAATGCAACAATACCTTAGCTACTATGTTGACCTAGCTGTTGTCAGATGTGATGGCGGGGTTTCGCATTGGAGTGCAGCTTTGGAAAATGACGACGCCCTGCGTTATGACGGCGTGGGGCGACAAGAGCTGCCGCTCCACGAAGGGTGTGCAATACCAACCCATTCCAATGCATCGCAGCCGCACGTCAGATATATCAACAATAGCAAAGTCCCATAAGTGAACCAGACCCGACCGAGACCCGACTTAAAGCGCGCAAAAAGGTGCAGAAGAGAGTTAAAAAAAAAAATTCAGTAGCTACTCCGGGCAAAAATCGAACCTGGACGTACCAGATGATCGTTTCCAAAGATTGAGGGAGTGGAGTCTTTTGGGCCAATCCCACGGTCACATCTGGTAAAAGGCAAGAGGTGAGTTCGATGGGAGGTCCCACTCCATGGAACAATTTCGTTTATTACACAATATATTCTACTCACACACCCAGGTTTCGAGATACCATCCCTCCGTTCACTGCCGGCGCGTCATTGCCAAGGTCTCCGCATGAGCTTCTTATGACCTTATCCACAACAACAGCGTTGTCCACGCGCTTCTCAACTCTCCAGACAATCATAAGTGTTTCGACAGATCAGTTCCGAATCGAACATGTCTTGCATCTTCTGCCGCATCATCAAGGGTAGGACAAACCCGTGTGAAACTACTACACAGTGGTAGCAACAGCCGCTGACGTTCTGCGTTGCACAGGCGAGATCCCCAGCTTCAAGCTCTTTGAGAGCGAGAAGACCCTGGCCTTCCTCGACATTGGCCCATTGTCCCAGGGACATGCAGTGAGTGAACATGCCGTTGACCGACCTGGGCAATATGTTGAACAGGCCCTTCTTCAAATGGTCCACTTTACTGACCACACCCTCCCTGGTTTCAGCTGGTGATCCCCAAGTTCCACGGTGCCAAGTTGGCCGACATCCCCGACGACCATCTCAGTGAGGTGCTGGTAAGTCTTGCTGGCTCGGGCGACTGCCTTTGGGGGTTGCAACTGACGTGTGCCTTACGATAGCCCGTTCTCAAGAAGATTGTGACCGCTTCCGGGGCCGTGGACTACAACGTGCTGCAAAACAATGGCACAATCGCCCACCAAGAGGTGCCTCACGTAAGTACGCCGCGTTGCTAGATCTGGGCATTGCTGATAATGAGTTTCAAGGTTCATTTCCATTTGGTAAGAATAGTTTGATAAATGCGTCAAACTCGCGTTAATGAACCTCTTAGATCCCCAAGCCCAACGAGAAGGAGGGCCTGACTATTGGTTGGGACTCCAAGCAAGCCGATATGGACAGGCTGAAGGCTTTGTGTGAGGATATCAAGTCGAAGATGTGAGGACCTGCAACTGCAAGGGGGCATACACACTTAGTAGTCCATGTTAAGTCCGCGGACGCTATTGACGACAGCGTGCAGCAATGGTCATATCAGTTCACCACTTGGAGCACTAGACTAGTGCAAGAATGTGTGAGATGCTGTTATAGGTCTAGAATCCTTTCTAGGTATGTGCTTATGCCAGCGGGGAATGCTTAAGTTCTTAATCCAGATCGTCCGCAGAGGTCTCGGGGCCCTTTGGGACCTCGGGCTGCGGTTCACCGGCTACCCTCCAGTTGACCGTGCCATCTGGCTGGATTACTCCGGTCCTGTCGTAAAAGGAGCGGGCTCGAACGAATGGATCGAGCTTCCAATAGCCCTGCTTAAGTTGTGCAGCGAGCTGGTCTCTCCTATCCTTAATGGCCTTGGCCTCTGCGGCTTCTGGGTTCTCAATCCATTTAATTGTGGCTTCCTCGAATTGCTTCACAATCGTGTGTCGGTCCTCGATCAAGGCATCTCTGGTGGCTGCGTCTTTCATCTTGTCATTCTCGCCGGGGATAGGCTCCTTGTATTCATACTCCCAATCATCATCACCGCCAAGCTCCTTCATAATTTGGCTTGGCTCGATGAACTCGGACAAGTCGGCCACATTGTTGGTAAAGTGAACTTTGCTGGCGACCACAGGATCCAGCCAGCCTCGAATGACCTTCCAGATACCTAGGCCAAATGATCAGTCTTATATCCTTGTCTACTTCTTCACGCGCAATCGGCTAGACATACCCTGGAATAGCCACGGCGAGTGGTGGATAAGTACGGCACCCAAGGACTCGGGATAGTTAGCCTCGAAGCACTTGATCATGAATTTGACAGGTGTGTAGTCCATGTTCGCCATGGAAAACCCGGTCATGTCAAAGATGATGGTCTTTAATCGTCAGCAATCCATTTCGCTGAGATTGCGAACAATCAACTCACAGCTGTGTCTACAGGCGGCGATAGGACCATGCGCGTAGACTCAATGAGGTACACCGTGTACCTCTCTAGACTTTCTTCACACTGTTCGCCCTGCTTGTGCAGGCGAGCTCGGACCACGCAGATAGGGCGTCCGTTCTTGTCTGTACCGTGGAGGAAGCTCTTGCCCATGCGAATTTGTGCGAGGAAATCGCTGCCCATCTTCTGCAATTTGGCGTCAGAGCTAGCGGCATCTGCAACGGCGCCCGCCTCGCCATTTTTCATGATATCGTCGTCCACATGCATGTCGCTGTGTCTCCAGTTGAGTGTGGAGATCATCATTACCAACGCCTTGTCGACATCCCACTTACGGGCACGAAGGAATCTCAGCGCCAGGGCGTCAGGATGGTCGTGCTTGACCATGACCCATATGGTCTCACGGATAGTCTCGGGGCTCAGTTTTGCCAGTGTTTCGTGGTACTGTTGGGTCTGCCCGTACTTGTCATCTTCAGCCGCGACTTTCACCGAGGGCGTGGCGGATTTCGCCTTCGAATCATCTTTGTTCTTGCGGAAGACGTTGAAGCGCTTCTTCTTCTGCTTCTCAGCATCGGCTGTGCCACTCTGTCCTGTGGAGCTCGCAGCATCTGCAGCAGACTCTTCATGCGCCTCGACAACGCCGTAGAGCTGTAGCAAGGCGAGCCACAGCTTGCGGAGCTTGTCCTCTTGATCGGGAGTCAAGTTCCCCGGACGTCCTTCTGGTACCTGTACAGCCATTGTATCGGGGACTTGAGAGGGCAAATCAGCACCGTTTTGACTGCTTCCAGTATCCGACGGTTTGCTGACCACGATCCAGACGAGTAGCCCCACTAATGACGCGGCAACAGCAGTTGTGACTTGAGCAGAGACGCTGCTGCGAAGACGTTCTGGGCCGGTCGTTTGATAGTTTGCTTGAGGCGGAAGATGAGACTTTGCAGCCCCGGGAGAAAAGCGAGGTGGATTGCGCTGTTTGCTAAGATTGCGGATGCTACCGATCCAGGTCGGAAATGCTTGGCCTGAGCGGGCCAGGAACGGATCAGTCGGGACAAAGACTCGAATGTCAGCGCTGGAGCGAAGGGCCCTAGTACGAAGCAACAGAATCGATCGAACCCTGAACCTCATAGGAGCGCATTGGCCGTAGAATAGGATGAGCAGGATAAGCTGCCGCGAGGGATTCGCGGCTGACGTGCCGTGCAATGTGGTGCAAAAATTCGAAGTCGGAGTCGGGTTGCAGGTGGACTGCGCAACAACAATGACAATCTGGAGGAGTGTTGAGGAGTGCCTTCCCTTTCGACAAGTTGGTCTATGCCCGAATGAGGTCGTTATCAAAACACGGCAAATAAGCTTGACATTCGCAGGAAAACGAGAGTTTAATATACAGGCCTTGTAATTCCGGTCACGATGACGCGCTTTTGCAGCTTGCTAGGCTAGAGGTAGGTTCGCATCCATGGAAGATCCTGTTGTCCGAGACCCCGTCAGCGCCAGTCCAGTGGCTACCAGCAAGCGAGGCGAAACCATCACAGCCAGCCGCTACTACACAGGTCAGGTAGGGTACAGTATTCTCTCATGCAAACTTTGAGCAGAGCAGACTGGTCGAATTGAGTTTGACGGTGTCTCCAGAACCTCGAAATACGAGCACGTGTGAGTTACCAAGTACGGCTAGCCCAGAAAACTACCTATGGCGGGGTTACAGAGCACTATTAGGCGGGCTATCAGCGCCGCCATGGTGACTGGTAAGGAACGTTGGTACCAGGTAAGTTAGGTATCGTTAGGTATCAGTGACGAAGTGAGAAGCTTCACTTGAGGCCCGTATGACTGCAGAATTCCGCATATCTTGACCAATATCGACCTTCAAGTCTTGGCCTTCTGTTTCATGCGCGTGCACACACCCTCTCCTCGCGCCATCATGTCCACAGACGCACCCGAGAAGCGATCAGTGTCGCGTTCAAGAACATCGCGTCCGACGACACCACTCCGCCCTTCTTCAAGGTCCGAGTTTCGCGAGTCGGCCCGTCACACGACTATACGAAATGATGATTTCCCCCTCAACAGCTTCGAGCCTTCTTTTGCTGAGCTGTCGGATGCCATGGTAGATCTGGAAGCCAACATGATGCACTTTCAGCTCATGCACGAGAGCCTCGCTCGATTTAGTGAATCGTTTGCCAGTTTTCTCTACGGACTAAACATGAACGCTTTTTGTGTCGATTTTCCCGAGGTGTGTCTCAATACTTGTCTTTGTGATCAGGGTCTGGGCTAATGCGATAAAAAGGCGCCGGTTGCTGAGTCTTTCCAAAGAGAGCGTAAAGAAGGGGAAGCTCCATACACAGGCCGCCAAGATAACGAAGCCGAAGCAACTTTCATGTCAGTCGAAATTTGGAGACAACCGTATGCCTCACTGACAGATTTGAAAGGACAACCGACACATCATTCGTCGATAACCCGCCTGCCTCGTCAAAATCAGCTACGAAGACCACAACTACCACCGCGAGTCGGCAATCTCGACTCCCTGCAGCTCGTGGCAGCTCAACCGCTAGGGGAAGGTCGACGACCCGAGGCAGGAATGGCCCCAGTGGCCTTGCAAGGGCACGACCGCGAGGTATGCAGTGAATTTTGCGAGCATGTGCCTAGTATTCGACTCGCATGGGGGTCGTGATCACATCTGAGTTACCTGAAGTTAAGGTCTGGCGTGAAGAGGTGAGGGAAATCAGCCTCTCAGAAGGTCCGGCTAGGAGGAAACCAGCACCTCAGTCATTCGCAGCCAATGCCAATTGTACAGTCACCACCTGGTGAAGTGAATTAGGAATTAAATTAATTACCCCTAGCTATCACATTCCCCGAGTGCGACTTGGATGGTCTCGCGAACCTAGCGCCAGATCACGTGCGGATAAGCGTGTTGCTGATCAGTCAGGAAAAGCCCGAGTTTGTAAGTCACTGATTAATTGCTACGACGCGAGCGCCCAAGCCCAAGTCACCACAGCGCAACGACATAACCCTCTCCATCCGATTGACTTTGGAGCAACGCCTTCACTCGACCGTACGAACATATTCTAGACATTATTCAAGTTTCTCGCCCTTGTCTCGACGGTTTCCGGCCCGAGCAGCACATGCCGAGAAGATAATGCCCAGCGTACAGGGCTTCAGCACATCGCGAGCCCGGTCGTACATCTTCCGGCTGCCGTTGTTCACGCGCGTCGTCGTCGCTATAATATGCGCATTATGGCTTGTCGGTGTGCAGTCAGTATGGGATATTCGTGAATTTGGGGCGTTGGTGCCTTCCAAGATCAATTTTGCGACAGGTAATGGCTCTCTAGCTGCCCCTGAACGATCATCCATGACTTCAAACTAACCCAACGCGCTTAGCACACCGATTATCGACATTCCCACTACTACACCTGAATATATTCCACGCGCTCGTCAATGTGGTTGCTCTGACGCCGCTCATGGAGCGATTCGAAAGCGAATATGGGACCCTGACCACCTTGGCGTTGTTCTTTGGCCGTGAGTTGTTGACCTGGCCGGACCAGATTGCCATGGACTAACTCGAAGCCTCTAGCGCTCACCACCGTCCCAGCTCTGGCATACATGCTGATCGAGCGATTCGTACTCCACGCGGATACGGCTGTGATGGGCGCCAGGTAAGCCCGCAGACCACTGGACTGGGTTCGGGAACAGGGCTAATGGTACTCTTACAGCATGTGGGTGTTCCTGCTCCTCGGAATGGAGGCCATTCGAACGTTCAAATCAAATCCGTATCTCGTCATTGGGACACACCACATTCCCACATGGACCACGCCCCTCATGTTGATATTCGCCGTGGCCGTACTGATGCCCGGCACGAGTCTCTTGGGTCATCTGTGCGGCGTGGCCATGGGGTACATTGGTGAGTCACCGCCGAAATGTGAAAGCCAGTCGGCTAACGGTTTACAGCTGGTCTGGGCATCATCAAGTATCTCGCACCACCCGAGTGGGCTCTGCGCTGGGTAGAGACTCGCCTCAACCTTCTTTCGATCCTACCGCACTACGTCAGTGTCGATCAAAAAACATACGGGCGGTTCGGCGTCTTGCCCACAAACAATAGAGCGGGTGGGAGTGCGGCGACGGAGCTCGTCGGCAGCACGCAGCGCCTCGGGCCATAGGCTTCGGAGGTCCTCGGTCTTTGATGGGCCATGTCGGGACATACCTATTGTACCATATTGTGTAGATCATGCACAAAGCCGGCCAGGGCATGGCCGTCTGTACAGCATTGTGGAGGCGTATGGCGTTTCGAAGCAGCATCCATTAGAGGATGTGAACTTTTCGGGTTCGTGTAGACATACAACGGCATGGATGGAAGTGTAATCAGATTTTGACATGGCATACAATGAGACTACGAGCGTTGTAGCGATTTCTACAGCCTTTGTGCTTGCGGACTTGGTATACGAGAGCCAATGGGTCACATTTGAACATTGTAAAATTGCAACGGCTAGGTATCTTAACACTTCAACACACAAAAACCCTGACAACCTTTATTGCGCGTTCTTAGCCATTGTGTTCAGCGCACTGCCGTTCTTGAACCACTCAATCTGGGGCTCGTTGAAGGTGTGCTCAAGCTTGACCTCAAAGTCCTTGCCATCCTTGGGATGGACGACCATGGTGACGGGCTTGCCGACAGCGAGTTCGGTGGCGAGAATGTCAACCTGAAATTTTGTGTTAGCAAATTTGCGCTGCAGTGATGGTACGAAAGCAACATGCCTTGTCCTCTGGCTTGATCTTGTCGTAATCGGCGGGCTCGGCGAAGGTCAGGGGCAGCATGCCCTGTTTCTTCAGGTTGGTCTCGTGAATACGGGCAAAGCTGCGGGTGATGATGGCAAGGCCACCGAGGTGACGAGGCTCGAGAGCGGCGTGCTCGCGAGAGCTGCCCTCACCGTAGTTCCAGTCACCGATAACGACCCACTGGATGCCCTTCTTCTTGTAGTCACGGGCAACAGCAGGGACGGCACCCCACTCGCCAGTGGTAGCGTTCTGGACCTTGTTGGCCTCGCCATTGGCCTCGTTGATGGCACCGATCAACATGTTGTTGGAAATGTTGTCAAGGTGACCACGGTACTTGAGCCAGGGGCCAGCCATGGAGATGTGGTCGGTGGTGGTCTTGCCCTGGGCCTTGATGAGAATGGGCAGGTCCTTGGCGTCCTTGCCATCCCATGCGTTGAAGGGCGAGAGAACCTGGAGACGGTCCGAGGTGGGCGAGACAGCGACGTTAACGCTGGCACGGTCCTTGGGGGGTGCCTGGTAAGTGTCGACACCGGGGTCGTAGCCGCGCTCAGGGAGACCCTCACCAGTGGGCGGCTGGAGAAGGAACTCGTTGCCGTCCTTGTCCTTGAGCTTGTCGGTCAAGGGGTTGAAGTGCAGGGTTCCGGCGATGGTCATGGCGACAACCAGATCAGGAGAGGCGACAAAGGAGTGGGTGGCGGGGTTACCATCGTTACGGCCGGTGAAGTTACGGTTGTAGGAAGAGATGATGGAGTTTGCCTCGCCCTTCTTGACGTCCTGGCGATCCCACTGGCCGATGCAGGGACCGCAGGCATTGGCCAGAACCATGCCACCGAACTCCTCAAAGGTCTGCAGCTGACCGTCACGCTCAATGGTGGCGCGGATCTGCTCGGAACCGGGGGTGACCGTGAAGGCGGACTTGGCCTTGAGGCCGTGGTTAATGGCATCCCGGGCTATGGAGGCACCACGCGACATGTCCTCGTACGAGGAGTTGGTGCAAGATCCGATCAGACCGACCTTGAGCTCGGCGGGCCAGTTGTTGTCCTTGACGGCCTGGCTGAACTTGGAGATGGGAGTGGCCAGATCGGGGGTGAAGGGACCGTTGATGTGGGGCTCGAGCTCGCTCAGGTTGATCTCGATCAGCTGGTCGTACTCGGCACCCTCGTCGGCGCGGAGTTCAGCAGCGTAGGAGCGGGCAAAGTCACCAATATCCTTGCGCTTGGTGGCGGCCAGGTAGTCGTACATGCGCTCGTTGTAGGGGAACAGCGAGGTAGTGGCACCAATTTCGGCACTGTGTTCTGGTTAGCATCAGTTCGGAGTATAGGGTAGTGTTTCGAGGAATGGACTTGCCCCCTGCGAAAGGTTAGCTGTAGTTCTGTGATTGATCAAGTGTAGACAAACATGTTGCAAATAGTGGCCATGCCAGTGGTGGAGAAAGTGTCAACACCAGGACCGTGGTACTCGACGATGGCACCAGTTCCGCCCTTGACAGTGAGAATATCGGCGACCTTCAGGATGATGTCTGTGGAAGTAAATTAGCGCCAATCGGTAGAATATAGGGAGTTAGTAGCGAGCGAAAACTTACCCTTGGGGGTGGACCAGCCGGAAAGGCTGCCAGTGAGCTTGACACCAATGACCTTGGGGGCCTTCAGCTCCCAAGGAAGTCCAGCCATGACATCGACAGCATCAGCACCACCGACACCGATAGCTGCCAGACCCAGACCTCCGGCATTGGGAGTGTGCGAGTCAGTGCCGATGAGGAGACCACCGGGGAAGGCGTAGTTCTCGAGGATGATCTGGTGGATAATGCCGGAGCCGGGGCGCCAGAAACCAATGTTGTACTTGGCGCAAGCAGTAGACAAGAAGTCGTAGACCTCCTTGTTGATGTCGATGGCACGGTCGAGATCCTTCACGCCGCCAACCTGAGCCTCGATCAAGTGATCACAGTGGACAGTGGTGGGGTTGGCCACACTATCCATACCAGCACTCATGAACTGCAGGATGGCCATCTGAGCAGTGGCATCCTGGCAAGCAACACGGTCAGGGCGCAGCTTGAGGTAGGACTTGCCGCGCTGAATGTCTTGACCGTGGGGGTCGTCCAAGTGAGAGTACAGGATCTTCTCAGCGTAGGTCAAGGGGGTGTTGAGACGGCTGCGCACAATCGACAGGTTCTCGGACATCTTCTTGTAATTGATGAAGTTGTTCTCCTCCCAGTTGTTTTGGCGAACCTTTCACATATGTCAAAAACCAGGTAGAACAATCCGCTATGCAGCTCGACTCACCTTGCGGTCCAGGGCGGACCCCGAAGCATAACGCAGACCCTTGGTGAGGTACATTGGGTTGCGACCGAGGGCGAGACATCGCCGCCCTAGAGCTGCAGTGGCTACTTGTGTGGGAGCCTGGAAAAGTCAGTCTCCAAAGTTCTGTTTTGAGCTCTGTTATGGGAATCGCTCGAACGACTGGTCACGACCAGTCCCGACACATGCTTGAGAGAGTACTCAACCGGCCAGCCATCGAATCTGCCCATTGCGCTGAGCGCATACCCTTATCTCATGTGTCCACGTGAATCGAGATCCAGCTTCCTGAGCTAATTCAGGCGTTGGCGACTGAGATCCTCACCGGGGGTGCACAGAGCGATGGGTATCGGGCGAGACCACGAAGGCCCCGGATGTGGACACGACGTTGCTCGCGTTTCGAACAAGCGGCACGTGGGCAATCGCGGGTACCAGAACGCTCTGCGATTGCCATTGAGGGCGCGGATCATGCTTACCATTGTTGTGATTGAGCCTTGACCACGGTCAGCTACAAGTTGGGGATTGCAAGGACACAAGCGCAACTTACCAAAAGCTTTGAGGATTAGTAGGAAAGAAGAGAAAGCTGGAAGGCATCGAGAGATCAAACTTGACGTGAACCTTGCGCCTCGGCTTACGAGTAAAGCCGAGAGCCAATCAGCATCGATGAAATTCTAAGCCCCAAGCGTCATAATTAGCGTATCTTTTCCCGGCTCAAGACCTCGGATACCGTAGGCACAAATCCCTGTCCATCCGCAACATGATAATCACTCAAACAATGAGGCTCTGTGTTGATGCATCCGTAACTTACGTTCATAGAGATCACCAGAGACTTGCTACTTGATCACAGGCGACAAAAAGCCAAATTGCTAGCCGGTATACAGGCACAGTAATGTCGAGGGACCACGCAACCGCGACGCAGCTTAACACCCTCGGTAGTAAGGCTCAGAACCGGCCCCCCATGGTCGGTCCTTGACTCCTTGTGTCCGAGAGTCCAGCCGACAGACGAGCCTAATTATTATTGATGAAACAGTGCGATCGTGAGAGACCTTGGACCTCTCAGCTAGCGTCATGCTCGCCGCCCCGTAGCGGGGTTCGCCGATTTCTCCAGCCGCCGGAAGCACCGCGGTTGTTGTCATCCTGAAGACCCGATGGGTCTCTCCATCCATGGTAGATTTCATGCGGCTTCGTGAATCCATGTGACAATTGTCACAATAGGGACAGGACAGATTATAGTGGGGCAAAGCCCGCCGCCTGAGCAACTTCGCGAACAGCGGCACAGATATGGTGCATCAACTGCGATTCAGAGTAGAAGCTTCAATGTCGACAGGTCGTGGTCTCGTATTGATAAAAAGTCTCTACGTTACGTTTCGTCTTGCGCATGAGTACGCCAAATCAGGGAACGACGCCATCTGAAAGTGAGGCAGTGGCGTCTGACTTATGGTTATCACCAGCCCTCGTCCCTTTCCCTCCCAAAGGCCACATGATACTGTACTAGAGTACTACCTCTAGCCCACTTTTCAACGAGCGCTGCGAAAGAAGGAAAAACATGGCGTCCTAGTCGGTCGTTGCACAACACTCCCGCCCTCGGCATTTGGTTAATTCGCAAAAAGAACGATTCGAAGTATCGCTAGACTCCCAAGATCTTCCGAAATCGAGCCCTTGGAGTGTAGTCGCAGTATCCTCTCCAGCGGAAGCCCTGCCAGGTGGACCAGCTACTGCGAGGGCTTTTAGTGACCTGCGTTCTGCTCCTCCTCAATCTGAGCGGGCTGGTGAAAAGCCTCCAGGGTCCACGGGTAGCATCGATGGATCTATGAGGGGGTCTGTTCGGCTCCGAAGCGCCCTCCGTTCGTAGCGCAGTGTGGTAAATTCGCTACCCTCATGTTGTCATGATGGAGTCTTCGTTGGGGATCGGATCGTCCTGAGGGCGGCCATTGTCTGTCCAAAGACCCCCAGCGGCATCAGCCTCTTTGTGTGTATAGGGGCCCTCGCGAAGCTGCTTGAGCCTAGTATGGAGTCAGCAATAGACCAGGAAAGGAGCTAGATTACACAAACCTGCGCTTGTGCGGTTTTGCCGAAGTGTGTCTGCTGAGCGCCTCCTCGCTGTCAAAGTACTTGGCGCATTCTACACAGTAGTGGCGCCCGAGGGCCGGTAGATCTTCAGCAGCCTTCAACTGTTGAAACTGTGCAAGGTGCTTGGGCGATTCGAGATCAGCCTTGATCTGATCCAAATCCCTATATGGGGTGAGCAGAGGTTCGAAAGGAGCCGGCCGTAAAGGAGACGTACCTAGTCTTGCGCCGGGTCTTGGTGATCGTTCGCTTGTTGGTGACGCCCATGGTGCTGTGTTCGTGCTCGTGGTGTGCTAAGAATGCGCGTGTGGCGGTATTTGCTCTGGTGAAGTTTTGTGTAATAGTGATCGGAATTGGCGTTCCAAGGTTCCTAGATTCCGTTCCTTGACAGGAGTGTCCTCTTGATTGGGTTCTCGCTATTGCGACGGCGGGGCCGCCGCTAACGTGAGTGGGGCTGACACGCTCGCTTGGCTTTCTCACTTACCCTACACAGCATTCTCTCGCCCAGGCTCCTGCTAGTTCCTTTGGAGATATCAATGGGGACCTTGTATAACATGTAGTTGTGTATTTGTATTATCCTGTTTTGCTAGTCTAGCTTCTAGTATTGGTGTGCTCTGGGCTAGGTGTGCTCACGTTCCATTTTCGTGTAGTAAAGGCCGTTGCATTTTTTCCATTTTTGCCAAAATCAATACTACGTGTACACAGTCAACGGGCGTAGCTGATTCGAGATCTACTGGAATTCTCATGGCTTAAAAGAACCACTTCATCTCACACAAAGCTTTCTTCGTCCGAGTAACCACAGGATAAATGTCTAAGTACTAGGCGGCCGAAGGGATGGTTGTCACGCCGGCCCAGCGAGTGGACGTGGGGCAGGTCAGTTCAGGGGACCTATGGAGGTAAGGTACCACGAGCTTGCCTTACCCGGCCAAGAATATCCGACTGTACAGAGCTTCCTGCTGAATCATTTCCCTGATCCTACAGGTATTGGGGTCTCATCACGGATTGCATTGCATCGCAATCATGTCGAGATTACTCGGTAACTTACAAAGCCTTGTAACCCAACAGGAACCGCTAACAATCTGCTAGCGACAGCTCTGTCCCTTCGTCGCGACCCGCGTGTCCAGAAGCTGCCACCGTACCTGTCGTTCCTCTGCGTGCTCGTAGGGCTGGTCTGGCTTCTCCTTCTCCCGCTCGACGACTATGCGAGGAAAACATACATCTCGGAAAATGCCCTCCTTCCGGGTCAGGTGCATACGTATTTCAGCGGCAGCGAGAGTCACGTCCTGCGCGCCTACCGAAGCGAACTCGAAGTCCTTGCGAGCGAAGAGGACCAGACGTAAGGATCGATACATACCGGGCGAGCATTTAACACGCAAAGGCTGAAACTGTGCAGACGCGTAAACGACAAAATCGAGGAGATCCTCAAGGGTCTAGGGGTCAAAGTGGGACGACAAAGCTATACGTACAATGCGGCTGGCCGTGCTCACAACGGAGAGAACGTCTATGGCATACTGCAAGCTCCCCGTGGCGATGCCACAGAGGCGATAGTACTGGTCGCTGCCATACGAGGTCTCAATGGCCAGGTGAACCGTAACGGCGTTGCTCTGGCGCTGACTCTGGCGCGCTACTTCAAGCGTATGTACACTCTCACGTTCTTTACTAGCACAAGTGCTGACTATTTCAGGCTGGTCATTATGGTCCAAGGATATCATAATAGTGTTTCCCCCGGACAGCGAGACTGGCACCCAGGCTTGGGTCGATGCATACCACGATGCTCACGATCCTCGAAACGTGGCCCCCTTGCCTCTGAAGTCCGGCGCCCTACAAGGCGCGCTTGCGCTCGATTACCCCGGGGTGGACCGATTCTCGGCCTTGCAGATTATATATGACGGCGTCAATGGACAGCTGCCAAACCTAGACCTTGTCAACTCGGTTGGCAACATCGCAAGCGGGCAAATGGGCATCACGGGCTTCATACAGGGCATGCGGCACCACAAGGGCACCTACAAGCATCGGTTGACTACCATTTTCCGCGGTATGGTCAAGCAGAGTCTTGGGAACTCCTGGGGTCCCCACAGCAGCTTCATGCCTTATCACGTCGATGCGGTTACGCTGCAACCATACGGCAAAGGCTTCCATGACGAGATGGCCATGGGCCGTGTGATAGAAGGCTCCTTTCGCAGTCTCAACAATCTGCTCGAGCACCTGCACCAGAGCTTCTTCTTCTACTTGCTTATGCAGAGAGACCGCTTTGTCAGCATCGGAACTTACCTGCCCAGCGCCATGCTACTAGCTGCCAACTTTAGTATCATGGCTATCTATCTCTGGGTACAGAGTGGACAAGTTGATGCGGACGCCAAGAAAAATGCCAAAAAGCAGACCAAAGCTCCAGCGACTGAGGTAGCGGCAGTTACTGTCGAGAGGAGTCTCGTGCTTCCCGTCGCTATTGTGGCCATCTGCCATGCCTTATCAGCTGTGCCACTATACGTACTGAACAACACAACAGCCCCGGTAAGGACATCCCGTCGGACACTCAAGTTGGACACTGGCTAATGCGCATTTCTGCAGCTTCTTCCTACGGCTTTCGCTGCGCTCGCTGCCATATCAACGGCTGCGCCCTTTGTGCTCAGCTATGCGGTCCTCCCCGTCTACAAGCCCACGCAGCAGCAGATTCTGCTCATGAAGTCGCTCTCCCTCCTGGTTCTCGGCATGGCTCTCTCTACTCTAGCCACGCTGAACTTTTCGCTGGCATTTGTCATTGGCGTCCTCACGGCACCCATGTCGTTTGTTGGACTGAGCAAGAATGAGTCTCTGCGCTGGGCATCAGCAACATTGTTAACGTTGCTGGCACCTGCCACTGTCATCTACAGCGCAGTGGCGGGAGCAGGACTTGACATGGGCCATCTTCTTGAACAGGCTAGCTTTGGGTGGACAGTTTGGGGGATGTACACACCTATCGTCGTGTGGACGATCTGGTGGCCAGCGTGGACCATCAGCATGGTCAGTGTTTTGTGCTGACATGCCAATAATGTTGGAGTCCATAATGACAAGTCACCTTTCGAGATAATTTGAATCAAGGGCGCGTTCGTGGGTTGCTGATTAAGTCTAAAATTTACAAAGGCGTACTACACATGCGTCAAGGGCGTGCAGCGCAACTCTCGTTGTAGACTTAAGCGGCCCAGACGTCCTTGCCAGCGCCTTCGATCCAGTTCCCAAGCTGGTTGACACTGGCGTCCCAGTCGAGCAGACGTTGCCGTAGGTTAGCAACCTGCTTCATGTCCAGAACCTTGGGTTGGACCCATGTGATGTGTGCCACCTCGTCCACCTGGTCGATTGTTCCCCGAAGCAGACCCAAGCTGAGAGCCTTCATAATAAGATGCTCGATCTCGCCCGGACTGACCTTGGTCTCCTCCGCAATTGTGGTAAAGGTCATGGCACGATCGTGGGGTGGCCGACGGAAGACAGCCTCTGTCAACGCGGCCAGGTAGATCTTCTGTTTCAAGTGTGTGGCATGTTCACTGAGCAGCCTATTCTCAGAAATATGATCCGACAGCACGTCGTAGGCGGCAAGGTCGCCTCGGTTGAAGGCAAAGAGCAGGTCCCTGAGCCACGAATCGTCCTCGCTCTTGGCCAGGGCGTCAAGGATCGGATGCAGAAGCAGTTCGCCAAAGTTGTAGATACTGTTCGACACAAGTGCTGACACACTCAGGAAGTATGCTCTCTTGAAACGCTCCTGCTCGGGCATAGCTGTGAGGTCGACGCAGGCGAGGTAGAGGAGGGCGGTGCGGTAGTAGTTGGCAAAGTCATTCTTGCGCTGTAGGACGGAGTTTTAGACCAGGAGTTTCTCGAGACTTGGCAAAGGGACCAAATTACCTGGTAATAAGTCGCATTCGCATCGTAGAACGCAGCGTGTACAATCGCCTCCACGGAGTCGAGAGAATCGAGCTTCTGCTCTGCCTCGTCAAGATCCTTCCTGGCGTTTTCCAAGTCGTTGAGACCAAGTCGAGTGCGGGCTACTGCAACGGATGCATACACAAGAGCGTCCTGTGAGTTTTTGTTATCCACCTTTTTCGCAACCGATTGTAGGAACTCGAGTCGCTCGTTGTCATCTAAGGTAAAGCGAGTCAGCATCACAAATTAAAGCCCATTACCACGTGGGTGTATACCTTTGCATTGTTGTGCTGCCTTGAGCGCAAGCTGCACCAGCTTGAGCTGGTTGATCTTGTCGGCGAACTTGAGGATGAAGGTCTTGTAGAAGGACAGGCGTTGCGGCGCACTTCCCGGGTGGTTGAAGAACTCAACGAGGGCGTCTGTGAGCTGATGCCACAGTTTTCTCTCCCAGTAGTTCTCAAAGTCGAGGACTAGAGGCTGTAACTCCTCTGGAGCTTCGTCGCGCTGCTCGGCGAGGAAGTCGGCGATGGCATCGGCGCTCATCTTGGATCAATCACGGCGATGCTAAGCCGCAGGGGATTTTGCTTTCCGTTCGAGTGTATAAGTCCTGACGCAGAGAGACGGAGGGGACTTTTGATTGGTAATCGAAGAATGGGCGGGTGTGGTATGGTTTGTTGATATTTGTGGTAGTTGAGCTTGACGCGGCTGGCCAGCAGCCTGATGACGGATTGCGCTTGGGTGAAGCTGTTACTGCGGGTGCACAGACCACTCATGGCGGGGCGGCGATCTGCTGAAGGAAGGCACAAGCCACAGCAGCACCTAGCACCGACGAGCCACATATGGCGTCAACTGCACGTGATCCAATTCAACTTCGTTCCTGAGCCGAGTAATTGGCTCGACATCATTGGAAGTTCCGAGATCAACTGGAGAACCAGCAACACCTACAACCCACGCGGCTACGAAGATGGTTCCCTCTCTCGCCGCGGCCAGATCGGCGACAACGGCCGCGCGTCATGTTGCTGGCAGGCGTTTTCTGTCGGACATTGCCATAACGCGCACTGGCAAGCCCATCCTACGAACGGAGGGTGGTCGGTAAGATATCAATTCCGGGTCTACCATTGGCAACAAGCTGACATTGGCTCGTATAGATCCTCTCTAGGAGGTTTGTACGGTCGGACGAGATACTTGCGACGAGACTGACGGCGAGGGCAGGACACACTGCGACGGTATTTGGCGCAACAGGACAGTTGGGACGGTACATCGTGCACAGGCTGGGTACGTGGACTAGCGACGTCTGAAAGAATAGCTCCTCCTGGACACAGGCTGATGATTGGCGAACAGCTCGACAAGGATGTACTGTTGTCATTCCCTTCCGCGAGGAGATGGCCAAGCGCCACCTCAAGGTCACGGGAGATCTAGGCCGGGTCGTTTTTGTGGTAGGTGGGATCGGACACAACTGTACAACATGGGGAGTTAACAGTGCTACAGGAATACGACTTGCGCAACACGGACTCGATCGAAGCTAGCGTCCGCCATTCCGACGTTGTTTACAACCTGGTCGGCCGTGATTACCCGACCAAGTAGGACCACGCTTTAGGTGAAGGGGGAACAATCTTGCTGACGGGTCTCAGGAACTTCACTCTGGAGGACGTTCATGTCGAGGGAACCGAGAGGATCGCGGAAGCGGTGGCGAAATACGACGTTGATCGCTTCATTCACGTTTCCTCCCACAGCGCCAACCCCAGCTCCGCGTCCGAGTTCTACGCCACCAAGGTTGGCTTCGCCTTTTGCAAGCTGGGCAACAATTTGCTGACATGGAGATAGGGACGCGGTGAGCAAGTTGCCCGAAACATCTTCCCTGAGACGACAATTGTCCGACCTGCGCCCCTCTTTGGTTTCGAGGACAACCTCCTCCTCAAATTGGCCAGTGTCTTGAACCTCTTCACTGCCAACAACATGCAAGAGAAGTTCTGGCCTGTTCACGTATGTTCAAAAAGTGTGACACACATTCACGACAGCTGTAAGCTAACGCGGTGCATAGTCCATTGACGTTGGTGCGGCATTGGAGAAGATGCTGTACGACGACTCGACGGCCGCACAGACCTTTGAGCTCTACGGTCCCAAGAAGTACCAGCTCTCGGAGATTGCCCGCATGGTCGACAAGGAGATCTACAAGGAGCGCCGTCACATCAACGTTCCAAAGTCTATCCTGAAACCGGTGGCCGGTCTCCTCAACAAGTACCTCTACTGGAGGACGATCACGGCCGACGAGGTCGAGCGCGAGTTCCTGGACCAGGTCATTGACCCCAAGGCCAAGACCTTTAAGGACCTTGACATTGTGCCCGGCGACATTGCTGACTTTACATACCACTATCTGGTAAGCCCCTGACATGAGCAGTCCAGCCGCTCTCCCGACGATGAGGTACGCGCTAACACACCATCGCAGCAAGGATTCCGCAGCCAGAGCTATTACGACCTGCCGCCGGCGACAGAGAAGGAGAAGAAGGAGGACAAGAAGTATATCCACGTTCTGGATGAGTTGTAAGCGAAGAGCGGGGCCCAATAGTAGATGGTGCGGCGAGGACGGCAGCCCCGGGGTTGCAACAGGTCTGATAGATTTACTGAGCAAAGGTGCTCTGACAATGTACAGCTTCTTCTTTTTGTTCCCTCATCACACGATCGCCGGGGACAGACAGTGAAGGTGAGAGTGAACTGGATATTTTACTCCTGTTGTGACCTGTTCGCTATGCAATCCCGTCTATCTTGCTTGCTTGCTTATGCTATATGCTATATTGGTGTGTAAATCACGCCAATGCTTCGACGCATGTGCATCGAGGCACCGCGTTTCCTGTCGGTCCCGCCCCATCTGCTAGGCGAGGGAGCGAATTATGTAGAAGAGCAGATATGCTTTCGCCCCGAGGACCTCGGACACTGTAGCCAACCGCACGTTATGATCATTGAAGCGGAACCACTGAGACCATGTTAGTAAAATGCCCGATGTCGTTCGTGTCTCTTTGTCACTCGTACCTGATCGCCAACACGGCAGTAGGAGACGTAGTGGCCTGTCTCAATCTCGCCTACGTGAACCACCACGCTTAACAGGTCGTATGTGCAGGATCGCTCCAGCTCTCTGCCCTCGCGGCCTTCCTTGGCGCGCACGCGATGTGTATAGGGCAGCATGTTGAGCTGGAGGGGGAAGTTGACCGGGTCGTCAATTTTGGAGGCGGCTCGATCATGTCGCCCCTGCTTGTATTCGAATCGCTGCGGTAAAAAATCATGGTCAGCACATTGTGACTACTGTCAGCTCAGAAGAACGAATCAAATCATACCTTGAATTGTATCGAGAGGACGTTGGGCAGGCGCTTGATGCTCGTGAGCCTCCGCGCCTGTTGTATCGAGTCACAGTTGTGGCAGCGATAGTCGCACTTGTCTGACTTGATGTACTCCTCATCCAGGCAGTCGATGAGGGTCAAGGGCGGGAGATTGCTGCCCTTTTCCTTGACAGCCTTTTTCCGCTTCTGCACGAGCGATTCGAGACCGAGACTAAGGTCGAGAAAGGACTGCACAGCGTGCGTAGTGCCCGAGCAGTTCTGGCAGGTCGTGTCCGTCTGCATCTTGCCGTAAAAGGTCTGGTGCATGACACAGTTGCAGGTGTGCTCGCTGCCGCTCTCGGGTTTCTTCCCGTCCCCGTTCCTTTCGTGCAGCTCCTCGGCGAGGAACTGGAAAAACTCGTGGGCGTCCTGCTCGCGGGTGGTGACGAGGTTCTCAAAGGCCTTGTTCTCGGAGATCCAGAAGCCGGACAAGATGTTGGCGGCCGTGTAGCCGTTGGTGTTCTCGAGGGCGTAAAAGTCCTGGAACATGTCGTCTATGGCGCAGCTGAGGCAGTAGGACACACCGCACTCGCTGCTCTGGTGCCCGTCGCTGAGGTAGAAGTTGCGGAGCAAAGGGTTATGTAGGAAGCTCTGTAGGACGACGTTCTGGTAGCAAGTGGCGCCGGCGTTGTAGATGCCGCGCAGGCCGTTGGCCCGGCACGAGGCCAATGTGGTATTTGTCGCAATGTATCGGGGGTCCTCCTTGATCGCGTCGGGGAACAGCTCGTCGTGTTTCCTCTTTCGTCCTGTGCGCTCGGCCGTGAGTACGGCCCTATGATAGGTTGTCAAGGGGTGGGGGAACAAACCAGAGAAAGAGCCCGTGCCAATTTTCCGCACGCGGAGTTCTTCGAGCGTGGGGTCCCATACTATATCGTCGCAGACCTGACAGTACAGCGAGCCACTGCGCGAGTCAATGTCTGGATTGGGTCAGTCTCGCCATGGCAACATGTGTACGCGGGGGTCCCGTGACTGACAGAAGCGATGTGATGTCTTGTTGCCATGTTTTAGTCGTTCTTCGTCCGTCAAGTTCGTCGGGCACTGCAGACACAGGTTGGTGGACGTCAAGCAGGTGGTAGGTTGGCCTTGTGAGTTTGTAAAGGTCTGTGGGACGACGGGCGTGCTGTCAAAGATGCCTCGTAGAATCATTTTGTAGTGGCCGATGGAATGGTTCATGATCTCCTGTCCCTGGTTGAAGAGACGCTGGACATGTTCTGGATGAGCTGTCAGTCTTCCGGCTCCCGGGTACATTGTACCGTTCCAAGATTAGCATACCGCAGCCAAACAGAGGAGACCCAGGCGCAGGCGCCTTGACCTTTACGTTCTTGGGCGAGGCAGGAGTTGCTGGTCGAGCAGCCATGGCTGGAGAAGGTGGGCGGCGACTCGCGGTCGCAGCCTAAGCCAGACGTGTCGGTTCAGGGGGATCTCGCAGATCACGACGGTGTCTTGTCGTTGTTCTTGTCGCTGTCGAGGTAGGAGGAGATAAAAGCCAGCGGTCGGATCTCGGTGCGCAGGCAACGAACGGCAGGAAGCTAGTTATCTGGCGATGGTGAGCAAGCGACCCCGACGTTGGGGATATAACAACGTTTTACCTCAAAATTTGAAGCCTCGAGCGGTCACTGCTGGCAGAGGATGTCGAGGCGACTAAGCCTTGGTGTTGCGAAACACGCAGTGCCGCTTGTAGGCGAAGGCGGACGGCTGGGGAGCGAGATCGGGCGAGGGCCAGGGATAGACGAGACGGGGTGTTCCTCAGCCGAAGTCGTCGGATGTGGCAGCAGCAAAGGGTGTACGGTATAGAAATGGTAATTCTCCTAAGGCGTGATTTAGGCCAGAGCGGTCTATGAGATGTATACGCTGTTGGACGATGATAAAGTCAGTGGTGGAAGCGCGTGACGATGATGATGGTGCTCGAACCAATTTCCATGCCACCGATAAGCCTTATCGCGGGCTTGGCTACCTAGCGCACCGCGATCTGGAGTCTGCGATGTGTAAGTTCGGGAGTCTGCCCAAGATTCAACTCCCAAGGTACATGTACTCGTGATTTATTTCAGGCTGACCAGCTCATTTGTATATGTAGGCTCGGGTCACGCGTGTGCTTGACTTGTTTCCTCAATGGCTGTTATGACAATTGCAATCGTGGGTCTTGGGCGTCAAATCATCAAGCACAGACGTCCCAGCCGAGGCAATGGGACGTGACGTCGAACCCCTCCAACGCCGTCATCGCCCTGAGCATCAACCACTTCCATTGAACGCGGGGTTGTTATTGAAAGTCAGGAAAAGGTGCCCCTCAGATTGACAGATTTGCACCAGATTTTGGCATCACCACACCACACCGGCATGGCGGCGCAGCTCGCAAAGCTGCCGACGGTCGAGCGCTTGAGCTCGGCGTGCATCCGCATCCTCGGTGGCAATCCGGGCAAGTTCACGCTCCAGGGCACCAATACCTATCTCGTGGGCACAGGACCCCGACGAATCCTCATCGATACGGGAGAAGGGCGTCCTGCGTGGCTCGATTCTCTCCGGAGCACCCTTGAGGAGGAGAACGCATCGATTGAGAGTGCGCTGATATCGCACTGGCACCATGATCATGTCGGTGGGATCAAGGATCTCCTGGAGCTTTCTCCCTCCACCCAGATCTTCAAGCACAAGCCAGCGCAGGACCAATCGCCCATCTCGGATGGCCAGGTCTTTCGCACGCCAGGCGCAACGTTGACTGCGCACTACACACCTGGCCACACGGACGACCACATGACCTTTGTGCTCGCCGAGGAGGATGCCATGTTCACGGCCGACAACGTCCTTGGCCACGGGACGGCTGTTTTCGAGGACCTGAGTGCCTACCTGCAGAGCCTGGGCAAGATGAAGTCGCTCTTCACGGGCCGGGCGTATCCTGGCCACGGGCCTGTGCTGGAGGACGGCCCAGCCAAGATCACAGAGTACATTGGGCACCGTCGGCAGCGAGAGGAGCAGGTGCTCGAGACCCTGCGCTCGACTAACGGAGATGGCGACAAGCCGTGGACTGTGATGGAGATTGTCAAGATTATCTACAGTGAAGTCCCAGAGGAGCTTCATCCTGCCGCTGCAGGCGGCATCGTCCAGATACTGGGCAAGCTTCGGAGCGAGGGGCGTGTCACGCACGACGTAGGCGACACCTGGCGGTTTGAGCGTTCTCACAGCCTCTGAGTGTCGCGCTTCTCGGATCTTGGATTCCGCCCCAGAAGTTTAGATGCCGCGCCGGAACATTCTCGTTGTGACTCAGACGGATGATGGATCATGGGATGCTTACGGTTGTGGGACCGGAGTTTATAAATCATCTCGATCACCTCTCGGAGAAAGCAAATGAACCACGGTCCACGGCACGCCTGATCGCCCGAGCAGCATGCATGAATGACACGCGAATGAAGCTAGCCTAGCGAGCAGCCTCCCGCGCGCCATGCCCTGCACGTATTTGTACTTTTGCATAGCGGGAGGGCGGACATGGATCTGGTGACGCAACTACCATTGATATATTTCAACGATGCAGCGCAGGAAAGCACGGATATTGGCTGACCCTTGGCGCGCTGATCGACCTGGTTGGATTACGCGTATGCCGTACTACATACTCATCACACGGTATACCAGTACATGTAGGCATGGCATCTATCCCCAAACACAGAGGACTTGCTACCAGACTGTAGCGCCGTACATATAGGCAAGCTGCCAGGACAGGAAAGCGAGGAACATCGACGACGAAATCACCATAGACTCCCGGATCGAATCTGTCACGACCAGAAGCGCCACCTTTCTTTCTTTCTTAGTTACGTACGGATAATACTTACGGACCACGGTATTACTTCCAGTTGCTACTTCAGCGGGGCGGGAAGGGAGCTCCACCCGAGGGCCCGAGGCCGGGTGACAAGGCGGACGCTTCGGGATGAATGAACCTGGGACGTGATTGGTACGGGGCCGAGGGCGAGCGTCTACACGTAGTTACATCTGCAAAGACGGTGGAGAGGGATCGCGTCCATTCGGGCATCGATGGATGGGCTGCTGACCGCCCGTCGAGACACTATCATATCAGCGAGATCAGAAGGACTCCGGTTAGCCAGTCCTCCACCGTCAAATCCCGCCCGCGCTGGACCTGTCATCCCCACTGGCCTTGCTGACTGACAGACGGACGACGCCAGCGCGAGTCCTGCCCGGATGGCTCGGGAGCATGGATGGATGGGTGATCGGATCGCCAGTCAGTCAGTTGATCGATGCAAGTACTATCGCGTGGACCTGTGTGAGCAAGAAATTTACCGTTACTAGTCTAGTATTGTCCCACTGTGAGCACTTGCAGCCCCCATTAGTAATTCATACGTACACTGTATTATCACAACACTTTCCCCATGACTGATGGCTCTGGCGTCACATCGACACAAGGCCATGTAGTACGTAGTAGTACCTGGTCTAGATGACAGTTCGGTCATGTTCCTTAAGTGCTTTACTCCTCCTGCCCTGGGCGGCAGATGGGCAAACAGCGCCAACGACCGCATGTACAACGTACTGAGAGCGGCAATACGGGCACTGGTGCATGACCAAATGGGCTCCAGTCATGGTCAACACGTACTAGTGTCCGCAGCCACGCCAAAACCAAGTACGTAGCTTGAACTGTTCAAACAGCGGGCCGATGCAAGTGCGTGCGTGGTCGCGGTTGGCATGCCGACTGGAGCCACATCACCATCCCATATCGTGATCGGTATGCACGTACGTGTATGTACGGAGTATTGAAAAGACTTGGCTCCAGACCGGGCTTGTATCACTTCCAGAAAAAAAACTCCGCTCCCGGCCAAGCGTCCCGGCCGGCTGGCTTATATGAACCGAGTGGCTGGCTGGCTGGCTGGCCGGAGACACATGCGTCCGCCCTTGTATCACTCAAGCTCCAACTGTCATCGACCCCTGGTGAACTGAATTCACAAGCCGAGATACACCCAATTCATCTGCTAGTCCTCTTCCACCACTGGCCTCAGGGCTTGACTGAAAGGCATTCTCGTACACACCAGTTGCTCCCTAGCAAACCTCTGTCTTGCTTCTCCAACCTCGTGAGCATCCCATCCAACGGAAGGGGATCTCCATGCGTCGAGCAAATATAATTCAACTAGCCTCGCCATCAGCTGTTCTCTTGTGTGCCCTGATCTTCGCCATCGGCGTGGCTGCGCATGGCGGACACGGGGCATCCGAGATGAGCATGGACATGGGCATGAACGGCGAAGACGAGGCGCCAGAAACAGAGTATTTGCCAACATACTTTGCTCATGGCGAACATGCAGCGCTCATGTTCAGCCACATTGGCTTCATGACCGTGTCTTGGGTTCTGGTCCTTCCCGTAGGTAAGACGCACCGAACAACCAGCCCACGCATTGTAGCCACCTGCTAACAGCATCCTCTCAGCGGTCGTTCTCTCGCTTGTCAACTCGCGCCTCACATTTGGCGTTCAGCTGACCTTCCTTGCCACCAACATTGTCGGTGTCTTATTGGGCCTCGTCTACAACGCGCAGACACCTGACCTGTATCCCCACAACGCGCACCACAGCATCGGCTGGATCATCACGTGGGTATCGATAGCGCACGTCTCCGTGAGTTTGGTAAAACGACTCGATAGACGCGGGAAGCCAAAGCTCAACGGGCCTCTTGAAAGCGAGCATGAAGCTCATGCATTCATTCCGGACCACCTGGCGGCACGAAGCCACTTCCAAGAGTACCAGGGGCCTTACAACGATAGGTCGTCCTGGGAGAGCACAACAAATCCCGCCTCTCACACCGAGTCCATCCGGAGTGATTCTGTGTCCACTCACATTGGCGAAGAGGACTACTTTATCGGAGGCGAGCACCATGACTCCGGATACGCAAAGGTGTATGAAGACGACGATGAGTCCTACGCCTCACCCGAGGAGGCGGGAGCAAGTTCGACAGTCTCTGCTGTGCGAAAGCTGGCGAAAGCTGTGCCCACCAATCTATGGAAGATCTTAGACATGGGCTACCGGACGGTGGATCGAATCATCCTTCCCTTTGGTTTCATCGCCTTCACCACGGGGATCGTCACATATGGTCGCTTCTTCGTAAGTGAACTCCGTAGTCTCTTTCCCTCCCACAAGTCCAATAGAGCTGACCGGCATACCAACAGGAAGGGAATGGCATCTTTGCTGGTCTGGCCCACTGGATCAAGGGCGGTGTATTCTTCTGGCTGGGCCTCTTCAACCTCGGCCGCTGGGCCGGCAGCTTCGCTGAGCTGGGCTGGGCGTGGAACCTTCGTCCTAGACGCCCTGGCCAGGAGTGGCGTCCCACGGCAGAGTTTGTGGAGAGTGCGTTGATCTTCTTCTACGGATCGACGAATATCTTCCTGGAGCACCTGGGCCGCAGGAACGATGACTGGCAGACCCAGGATCTGGAGCACCTCTCCATCACCGTACTCTTCATCGGCGGAGGACTTGTAAGTTGAAACTCTTTTCTTGCTCTCTCGCGTGAATATCCGAGAGATCACATGAAGAATCTTGATACTGACATACCTGACCAGTGCGGCATGTTGGTCGAGTCCACCTCGGTGCGCGACCTGCTCAGTGCCTCCATCTCCAGCGACAATAGAGATAGGACCGAGCCCCACGAGAGGGAGGAGCTGCAGCCGCCGCGTACCTATAGATTTTCGCTGAATCCCATCCCGGCATTGGTGATCCTGCTTGTCGGCATGATGATGGGCTCGCACCACCAGTCCTCCATGATCTCGACCATGATCCACAAACAATGGGGCAACCTGCTCTCTGGAGCGTCGATTGCACGCGGCTTGACGTATGCTATCATGTACATCAAGCCGCCGCGGTCTGTCCTGCCATCGCGTCCGCCCACGGAGCTCCTGGCCTCGTTTTGTCTGATTGCGGGTGGCATCATCTTCATGGCCAGTGTATGTCCTCGCTACCCCCCTATTTGTCCCCTTTTTCAAACCGCAGAGCTGACTGTTTCCCCCAGAGTCCGGATACTGTGAATGGCATGATCCACTACGAGATCGACGCCATGTTCATGCACAACGTCACCATGGGTCTGGTGGGCATCCTCATGGCCTGGGAGATCACTGTCCTAGCCATTAAGGGCTGGGCATGGCGGAGGGAAATGCACCAAAAGGTCGTATCGCTTCCGTGCAGGCAGTCCGCCTAGACACAACCCATGTGCGCAGGTGCAAAAGCGAACGCTTCACTCAAGTGGCCCAATGATGGCCAGAGACGATTGTAGGAAACGGGTAGAACCAAGGGCGATGTTTCGAGAGAGCGAGTGGTAATGACTCGAGAATGGATGGATCCCGAAGTATGTATGACTTTATGATTGATACCACGCGCCTGTACACAGGCGGCATTTGATATGGAGGATGACAATATATTTATGATTTTCTTTTGGATCATGCATGGAGACCCGTCACGCAGTTGGTGATGATGTCCGTTTCGCGTCCACTGTGCCAGGCGCCTCGCATCCATCCCTCTACCATGGCCCTCGCGTCTGAACCAGGGCAATGGAAGCCGGACGAGATCTCAGCGTATAATGGCACATGGCGCTGGCAATTCCGAGCCCCAACCAGTGAAGCGTGAGGCCACACATGATGGTGCACCAACCGGATCGTCGTCTCGGCCAAGTAGTGTATAATTGCGTGGCGCCTCAAGACTTCTTGCCCTTCTCGAGCGCAGACATGACCCTTGCTTCATCCTGAGCGGAGAATTGCGAAGCCCCCTGCTGCAGGGCATGCACCAAGAACTGGATTGACTCAGCTCGAAAGTCGTTTGTGTTGCGCACTTTGTCCAGGTCCTCTGATAGTTCTTGCGTCGAGCGCTCTAAGTAGTATGCTTCGAACGCAGGATCCGAGCTGCGCGCAGTTGTGTCTGTACTGTTGCGAGCCATTGTTCGTGTGTGAGTGAGGCAAAGAGTGAGTTTTGATGAAAATCTGACGCTGCGCCAGATTATACACCTTAAGGACTGGCAGCGAAAAGTCGACAGACGCACAGTGCGAATAGTTGAACAGCACTGGTACAGCACAGTGTCGTCACTGTACGTCCGCCAACGTCACCATTGAGGCATGAAGATCAATCAGCTTCAGCTAGTTAGCCAGATATGGATTCTTGAATTTGCTGCAAGTCTGGGTCTATCATACGCTATGCATGGCTCCACCAAAAATCAATGTGAAATGTACTGGAAAACGGCCGAAATGACATCCTCTCCGCACTCCTGGCGGAGGAGCAGGTCCTGTATCTTCTTCAACCCTTCGTTGACGCAGTGATTCCACGTGCTCGTATCGCCGTACAGCATGGCCGGTGCTTTGATGTACTGCCTGCCATCTGGCTTGCATCTCTTGCATTTGAACGTATCGTGCGTGTCGCTCTTGGTGTTTGGCTGATACTGGAAAAGCTCCCGGAGGCTATCGAGGGAGAAGTGCCGCTCAACGTCCTCGGCTGAGTCTACCAAGCACGATGATAGACTCTGTTTGTGCGATTGGCGCTGGAAGATCTTCTCCTCAATCGTGCCTGTCGCAATGAAGCGGTACACGAAACAATCCTTCTTCTGTCCATCACGCCAAACACGGGCCAGCGCCTGCTGATCGGCAGCGGGATTCCAGTCCGGGTCGAAGAGAATCAGCCGATTGGCGCCAATAAGATTGATACCACAGCCACCAGCCTTGCTACTGAGTAGAAAAACAAACTCGTCGCCCTCTGGGTCGTTGAAGCGGTCAACCAGTTTCTGTCGCTTGTTCACATTCATCGTACCATCCAATCTGAGACTTCCGTACTGGCGAGAGCGACATAGCCTTTCGAAAAGATCAAGAGTGGATGTATAGTTGCTGATAAGCACAATCTTGTCGTTTGTGTCTTGGCGAATTCTCGCCAGCATGCGGTCCAATACTTGCATCTTGCCCGAATACCAGGGCTTGACATCGCGATCGCGCCCGCGAGCTTCCCTTGGAACGAAGTCGTCTGGGAAGCACTTTTCTGAGCCTGGTAAATCTTCACTGATGTTCAACAAGTCTGGATGGTTACAGAGCTTCTTGAGAATGTTGATGGCTTTCAGTGGCTGACTTCCCTTGCCACGGAGTAAAGCCTGGATTTCGGGACTGGTGATGAAGTAGTTGTACAAATCAAGCTGGAACGGTGCTAAGTTGCAGAAAACCACGTGCTCGTACTTGACCGGCAAATACTTAGACAGTATGTCGTTTGTGCGGCGGATGAGGAATTTGTTCACGATGCCCAAAAGCTCGGTGGTGCATTCGTCTCCCCTTTTGCGATCGGCTTCCGATGCATCTGCGTCGCGGCCCCGTAGAATCGGAAGTTCAAAACGTTTACGAAACTCCAGGCGAGAGCCCAACAAGTTAGGATTGGCGAAGCTGATCAAGGAAAAGTACTCGGTCAAGTCGTTTTGAATCGGCGTTCCTGTCAAAATGACACGCCGCGTGACGTTCAGGCTGTTGAGACCAGCGAATGTATTGCTGTCGGCGTTCTTCAAACGATGGCCCTCGTCGCAGAAAAGCAAACCAATTTTAGTGTGCTTGAGCTCTTCGACATTTAGTCGCAGGGTTTCGTATGATACAATGATCACAGGGCGAGTGACAGCGCGCCCAGTGGCAATCGCCCACTGTCTCAGTTGGCGCGTCAACTCCTCTTTCGAGGCTTTGCCATCAATAGCAAATGGCGTGACAGCATTAGGACCAAGCCACTTGACCAGTTCATTGGCCCAATTCTTCACTAGACTGGCCGGACAGACGACAATTGCCTTTTGTATCGTCGACTTGCCGGCATCGGGAGACTGCTTCAACAACGTCCAAAGGAGCGCGATGCACTGTAACGTTTTGCCCAGGCCCATTTCGTCGGCCATGATGCACCCATTGGCCTTTTCGTCCACCTTGCCTGTGACACAGTCGTACATGAACTGTACGCCTGCTACTTGATGCGGCCGCAGGGTCTTGGCGAGCTTGGGATCCAAGACGACGGGCACACGAGGATGCTCCCCCTCCACTTTCTTTTTTATGCCAAGAATTTCTGCTAGACTCTTGTGGACTAGAGGGGCATCGATGGTATTGGAAGCCGGCTTCTCATCTTCGTTGGGCTTCGACCGCTCGGGGTCCTCTTTCGGTTTGTCGTGTATCGTTGGGTCATACAATACGATTGCCATGTCATCGGTAGGGTCGTGCAAAGCCCGAGGGGAGAACACAGCGCCTTGACGAAGGCCAAGTGTTGGTGGCGGACGGTAAGGGTTGTATGACGACGTGTCTTTGTTCTTCAAAGGTATTGAAAATGCTTTGCGAAAGACCACGCTCTTCTCCTTGGCTTGGAAGACTGGGTAGCGATTGACATCTCGAGTGGATAGAGCTAACCGATCATCATTTGAGTATGGTTTGTCTGCGTCTTGCGAGTCGTCGGCGCCCCCATAGTCAACCTTGCGGCGTTTTCTCGACGGTCGGTCGCTGGCTGGTGTATGACCTGCAACACCAGGACACTTGAAGGGTTTCCATAATTTGGTCGGGGGAGCAGATGCAGGCTTCGGTGGTCCGGTATTGACGCCTGGCCTTTTGAGTGGAGTGGCAGGTGCCGGAGCTCTGGTTCTCGCTGTTAGCTGGAACATGTAGTGGCATCTAGCATGATGATCACCTACTTTGCGGACATATTGCATCAAAGGTACTGCGCTCGAATACTGCAAGTGTCAAGAGGCCGACAGAACCTTCACGGGTGCGAGGGAGATGAAGGATGCATCAGTTCGCCACTTCTCCATGCAGCATCAGTCATAGCTTCGCGTCCTGTCTGTTGACATTGGGAGAAGGCGTGACGGACGCGCTCCGACCCACGCGCAAGCACGTGACAGTGTATGAGTTGGTCTTGGCAAGTGCGCCCCGCGTCGCGAGTACTCCGCATGTACGAATATCCCACACCGTGTGATTGACAGACGGTAATTGTACTCAATCGCTTCATCCAGAATCTCCAGGCCAATGTCAGCTGACTTTTGGGCTGGCTACCTTAGTGGTGCTCTCAGTATTCTGATAGGCAATCCATTGGACATCATCAAAGTACGTCTGCAAGCCAACAATGCAACGGCCAGACTACCCCTCCAACATGGAACATCTTCATTCACCACAGGGACTGCTGGCCCTCTACTGGGCTATGGTGCGCTGAATGCTCTACTTTTTGTTTCTTACAATCGGTCGGAAGCTGCCATCAATGATTACATGGGGACCAAAAACAGCCTATCCGCCACATGGGTTGCCGGCGCCATTGGCGGGTTAGCAACGTGGGTTGTCAGCGCGCCGACAGAGTTCGTAAAGTGCAGAGCCCAAGCCGCCCCTACGTCTTTGTCGAGTTTCGACATTGCAAAATCCGTGGTGAAAGAAAAGGGCGTGAAAGGTCTATACACGGGCGGAACCGTGACGGCGCTCCGGGATAGCATTGGTTATGGTTTCTACTTCTGGACATATCAGCTCATGTCAAGTATGTGGCCTGCTGCGCAGGACGGAACAACCTCCAGCGTCCTCTCCGATGCACCCAAGGTTCTCCTCTCGGGCGGCATTGCGGGCATGGCTACTTGGGCCAGCGTGTTTCCCCTGGATGTTATCAAAACCCGGGTACAGATCCAGGACTTGGAAATTACTCCTCTGCTTGGCAACCAAGGTGCGGAGCAGAAGAAACCTCGAGGTGCCTGGCAGTTGACTATTGAGGCCTACCGCCATCATGGCTGGAAGGTTTTCTTTCGAGGGTTTGGCGTTTGCTGTGCGCGGGCCTTCGTTGTCAACGCTGCTCAGTGGGCAGTGTACGAAGCAGTGATGCGGGAGTTGCAGCCAACCAAATTCCCATAATCGCTCTCAGATATCACGGCACGAAAGTAACGGGTTTGATCTCGAAGATTTCGCGAAACTTGTCGATCGACATGTGAAGCTTGTAGCTACGGACCCTCAAGCTTTTCAGGCGCGAAGTCGAACCTGGTAAAGTAGTTGTTAGGGTTCTAGAGTCGCAGAGATCTGTCAGAGGACTCGAAGACTATATGAACCTTAACTCCAGCCCATCTGTTCCTTTGGGGGGTTCTAGCGAGACAACAACAAACATGGCCGACGAACCGCATCTATCATGTCATGGCGAGGATGCGTTTGAGGTCTGCAAGGCTATGCATCCTGGTGATCATACCCATCATATGCACTGCAACAGCTATTTTGTGGCCCAGGCTCACCTACAAACCATGGCAACACATGACAAGTGTGCTTCTCGAGTTCCCAGCGGACACCAACCATGTTTGGATGTGGTAAAATAAGGCCTCCAGGGGGGCTTCGAACGATGTCGGCAGGTTTTCAATGCCACCTTGGGGTTTGAAAGAGTTCTCGCGCTGGGACTGCCGGAGCGAAGCGACAAACGAGACGCTTTGAAGTTGATGTCGGAGCTGAGCGGCTTTCACATTGAGTGGATTGGTGGCGTGAAACCAGCAGATATACCATCAAAAACAGTTCCATATGGTATTGATGCCACCAAGGTTAGCGACAGCTTCCTAGGGAGTTGGAGGAGCCACATGAATGCTATTCGTTTGTGTGTGTATGTGTAAAGTCATCCTTCAGCCTCGTGCTCTTTTTGACAAGATTCAGCGTAGTAGAAGCCGGCGTCGGCTCAGCTTTAATAATGGAAGACGATGTTGACTGGGATGTCCACATCAAAAGCCAGCAGCAGGCCGCTGCACTCGGAGCTCGGCATGTCCTAGGTCAGAACTCGTCGAGTTCTTCATACCCTCATGGCGACGACCGGGATCTACTCTGGCTTGGACACTGCGGTGAACTGTCCCCGGAAACTCTCGAAGAAATCAGTGGTCTGGGCGAGGAAGCGAAGGCACGTATCTCCTCGAAGTTCATCATAGAAAAAGACGCCACGGTCCCGCCTTACCAGTAGGTGTCTACACTACTGAACTGGACCAAGTACCCGCAAGGGACTCGCATAGTGCATCGCAGTGCCGGACCAGTCTGCTCCTTTGCATATGCGGTGTCTCAGAGAGAAGCGCGAAAGCTGCTGCATGCTTCAAGCATCGACGGGTTGGATATGGCCTTCGATAACTCCCTGGCCCAATTGTGTCGGGACGTCGTGTTCGATCTTGCTGCCAGAGAACAGGAGCCGCACTACGCAATGAAGTGCACTAGCATCAATCCGACTATCATGTTCCATCGCCAGAGCAAGGGATCGTTGTCCGGCGACAGCGACATTCAGAGCTACGGCCAAGATGACGAGATGCGAGAAAAGGGGTTCACTGAGTCGATCATGTGGTCAACACGGTTAAACTTGAGGAACCTCATTACTGGTCAATCGGTAGAAGCGCAGTTCGTCTGGGCCGATTGGGGTGAGGGTGGAAACGATCGTATGCCACCGTCACCAAAAAAACAAGCATTCACCTTCAGATATAACTGTCGCTACTTTCTGTTGAATTGACAGTCATAGCCTAGTCCTCTCCCAGTGAACCAGCCAACAACCCATGCGCTCAAATACAACTGTGCTAGTCACGCCACCAACGCCATTATGATCCATGCCGTAGGGGGGGGCTAAACGGTCGCAGTCTTGTGCGTATCATCCAACCCTGCGGCCTTTCGCCATTGTGCTGTCGCTTGTTCAAAGCCCCCGAACCAGTTGAGCACGGCTTTGGAGGCCTGCAAAGTGAGTTCGTCTTCTTCACCTGCCATTCCTGCATCAGGACTCGACCTCTTGCTTGCTCTCTCCTCTGACGCTTGATCACGAAGCTTGCGTTTCTTCTCGCGTTCTGCAAGCCATGCGCTACGTCCTAGCAGATATTTGGCGCTGTGGCCGAGGTTGGCAGCGCTCGGCGATAAAGCACCCGATGCGCGTACGAGTGGAGGCGCAGAGAAGAACAGGATACGGTCGGCTTCGTCGCGCTTGAATTGCTGTCGGATCTCGGCCGAGAACGCCTCATTCGTAGCGTCGGGGAGCGTGTAGACCTCTGGCGGCCGGGGAGGGTTGTATGTGTTGCCGATATGAGGTAAACTCCCGTGTGACTGGGGGTGGACAGCTCTCGTATTCGTCTGCGGCCCGTGGGAATAGCCAGCCATTGTGTTGTACGAAGGCTGGGTGTGCATCTGCTGAGGCGCTGGTGAGTGGGGAATAGCTGCACTCGGGCTCGGCGACCAGGCGTGCTGCTGAAACTGGATTGGGCGCATTGCGGTCTGTTGAGGGTAGTTGGGCTGGTGTGGTTGCTGGTGCTGGACAGAATGTTGCGGTCCGACAGCACTGTTAGCCATAGGAGTTGTTGTTGGGTATTGAACTGGCATAGTTGACTGGAACCGGCTTGGCGACGGTGACGGACCAGGCGCCATCACGGCTGGTGGTAGGTGGCGCGACTGAGAATCCGACCGGCCCTGTGTCATAGAGCCGCGTCTATACGCATCCGTGGCCATCGAAGGGGCTGTCACTTGCTGTGCTGGGGGTACAGGCTCGGGCGGTGGTGAATCCTGTGGAAAGTCGCGGTTAGTGTCACACGCGGCAAGCAATAGAAGACGGGATAACTTACGCCTGATCCTCTAGGTCTACGGTGAACTGCGCCAACAATCGGTGGTGCGTTTGCACTGCCCCAAGTCGGTCTGGGAATGGAATCTGCTTCTTTGGCATCCTCACGCAGAAGATGCTTGATAGGACTAGGCTGTTTGACAAGCCGCTTGTGCGGGAGAGGAAACATATCCATCTCATAGTCCTTGTCCCGCACCTCGTCTGGAACACAGCTTGCCCATGTATTAATCTTGTTGAAGATTGCTTTTTCTTCGTTGTACCGCGATTCGCAGACGTAGACTGCTTTGTCCCTGGGGAAGCCCCTCGGTCGGCCACGATTGAACCGGGTGACGAACATAACAAAGCAACGCTCTTCAACATCCTCAATCTGATGGTCGCGATATTGACTGGTCTTGAAGACCTCGTGGTCGAGGAAGTGTTTGTCGTAACGATGAACAGTCTGTTCGGGCCGATAGTACCAGCATGCATTGATCCATTTGTGGCCATCGCGTGCTTGCCATGTCCTGTAGATCTGGACGACAATTGGTTTGCCCAAGTCGTTGGCATTACGAATATGGACCCAATCACCGACTCTGTAGACGTCGCCCTTATGCTCGATGCATGTCAGAGGGAGTCTGCCATCTTCATCCCTGAAGTCTTCGTCGGGCCTGGCTTTCTCTTGCATGGCCAATCCGTGTGCTTGCTTCTGAAGTTCGACAGCAGCGCGGTACAAAGGGCTGTCGTCCTCGTTATATGCTTTGGCGTTGTTGAACATGAGATCCAAGTCCGCGAGGGCTTGATCAACGTTCTGGTACTTCTTCCTTTTCGTATTCTTCTTGATTTGATCCAGCGCAATCGGGTTCATGATGGTCTGGTAGTAGTCGGGTAGCACTGACCTGTCTGGAAGCCTCTCAAACGGCTGGACAAGCAGACTCCCATCTTCAGCCTTGGATTTACGCAGTTCTTTGAGTATTGTCGAGATTCGTCCCTCAACTGGTGTCAAAACAGTGGGAGGCCGCCCTCGTTTCTTATGGCTGTCGTCCTCGAAATCGTCGTCTCGGGCCGCAGCACTTCGACGTCCACGTCGTCCTCGTCTGCCACGACCTTCATCGTCGCTATCATCGTCATCTTCGTCCTCCTCATCTTCGTCCTCATCCTCGTCGTCTTCATCGTCTTGGCCGGCGTAATCCACCTCGGCGCCGCCCTCAAGTTGTGGCGAATCCTCAACTGGCGGCAGCTCACCGAGATCTGGCAGCACGGCCTCGTCTGCGGTAATAGCCCCCTTCTCCGCTAGATCTGCCAATTTTTCCTTGAACACTTCGCGAAGTCGCACCGCCGCGCCGAATATGGGAGCTGAAGGCCTATTGTAAACTTGGGCATTGTGGCATATTTGGGCCACGTCTTTCACGAATTCCGGAAATGAGGTGTATTGCTTCTTCAGGACTTTCCCCTAAGAACCATATGTGAGCATGGAGAGCACGCTGAGTTGCCGAGCTCCTGGTAGCTTACCCGAACGGTGCTGAAAGCGACTGGTTCTGCAATAACCTCGAAGTAGTCTGGGAGAACCCGTCGATTGGGTATACGCTGGAATCCTGCTGCGAGCTCTTCGCCACTAAGGAATGTCAGCCAAACCAGATCAGATGGAGACAAGGCCAATGCCCTCACTCCTCCTCTACCTCGCAAAGGTAGGTTGATGTTTCTGCGATGAGCTGGAGCATGTCGCGCGGTCCGTCACCTTCCAACGCACTCTCCGACATGTCAACATCGTTGTCATTTTCATCGAGATGTGTGTCGCCCTCATCCTTCATCTCAATATCATCCTTTGCGGTGCGCTCGGTCGTTTCCGCATCGCGCGCATCGGACGCGACAGATCGCCTTGCGGCCATGGTGTGTGTTCATACACAGGGGATAGAGCTAAGCAACGGTATGATATACCGGCAGAGCTCGGAGGATTGTGCGATTCGTATAGTGATCTCTTAAAGCTCCGTCTTTGAATTTGAAGTCAGCGCTTGAGGTCGGATCGCGCTTCGCCGAGGTGATGTTGCGCCGCGCGCGGCTGCACAGCATACATACACGTTTGTACAGCTAGCGCTGCTGACTAATTTCCTCCCTAGTAGCACGCGCGATACTTCACCTACCCTGCACATGCTGAGCGACTGCGTAACTGAGCTCCTCAAATCACTCCATCTGTTGGAACATTGCAGGATGGACTGCCAAATCAAGAGTTCGCTTTTCTCATCTCAGGATGATGTCTCATGTTCAATTATGTGATCGAGAATGGGACAGGTGGCTCGAGGGTTACAACCGCCACCTCCTCTCCCCAGCAGTTGTCTTCGTCACCCCCGCTGCCTGCGTTGCCTCCACACGACTTTCAGCAACTCCAGAGATCGGAGCGACCCTACTGTTTACGAAGCCGAGATCCTAAAGACACATTGTTGGGATCGTCAGTCTGGAGGTTGCCTCACACTCAAGAATCAGTGCATTTTACACCCTATCGTATCGCGCTCTCGACATGAAAGCCAGGTACAAAGGTCCAGCAGGGACTGGCATCATTACCCTTCCAGACGATGCCACAGTGAAGACAGTTTTCGAAGAGCTCAGAGCTATGACGGGCATCGAAGACTTCACTGTAAAATTTGGGCCGCCGATGGCCATGCAAAATCTGGATAACAGTGCCAGCGATACACTTGCCAAGTCCATGGGCCTGAATGGCGAGACGTTGACAATTGTGCCTCGGGAGCCCCGACCAATATCTCCTGTCAGGCACGCTACTGAAGAGAAGGGCTCAAGCAACGGTCAGGAAAAGGCATCTGCGCGCCCTGCACAATCACCCGAGGATGTGACAGTACCTTGGCCTGAGAGAGAAGGCACTGTGTGTGAGTTGGAATGCAGCTAAGATATCACCGTGCCGATTGTGACTGACATCGATCTATTAGTACTGCGGATCATGCCCAGCGATAATAGCTGCCTGTTTACAGCCTTTGGTGGCGCGTTACCCACACAGATCCCAGCGCCCAGGTTGAGAAGAATGATGGCTGATTTCATCGCTGAACATCCAGAGGAGTATACCGAAGCTGTGTTGGGAAGCTCTCCAGCTCAATACAGTCGTAGTATACAAGATCCTGACCGCTGGGGCGGTGGCATCGAGCTCAGTATCCTCTCGTCAATATTTGATATCGAGATTTGCACCTTCGATGTCCAGGCAAGTGCCCAGCTATCATGTGCCCACGAACAGGTGCTAACTAGCATGTTCAGGCGCAAAATTTGATCAAGTTCGGGGAGAACAAAAAAGACCGATGCATTCTGGTGTACTCTGGCATTCACTATGATCGAGTAGCATTCGCGCTCTCTGAACCACCATACGAACAGACAGACCTGCCGCCGGAGATGGATTGCACGCGTTGGCCCACCGATGACAGCGAGATCCTGTCAAAGACACATGACCTTGTGAACAAGCTTCACAATGCCCATTACTATACTGACACAGAAGGACTCATTCTCCGGTGCGACGTGCCCGGTTGCGACTGGATCGGTAGCGGGCAGGCGGCTGGGCAGCAGCATGCACAGAAGACGGGGCATCTTGAGCTGAGCGAAGTGACCGATACGGTCGAGGACAACACACTGCGACAATGCGATGCACCAAACTGCACGTTTATGGGACAAGGAGACAAGGCTCGATCGCAGCACACAGCTGATACAGGACATAAGTCTTATTCAGTGATCCCAGACTTTTGAGGCTTCGAATTTACGAGTCCGGAAACAAACACATGCCGTATAGTACAAGCCAAACCCAAACAAGATTGTCTATTCGCCCTAGTGGAATTCTCCGCAATGCGTCACGCTGAGCCAAAGTCCGATTGTTTAAGGCCCATCATTCGCTTGCCGTCTTCTCCGTCCGCACGAGGTCAAGGTTTGTGAGCGATAGGTCCAAGAACTCGTGCTTGTTCTTCCACTCTTGCTCAGCTTCAACAAACGTTTGTTCTTCATTCACGGGTGGCGGCGGCTCGGTAATCTTGGTGATAAGGTACGCCGTCGACGCTTCGGCAATCCCGTAGATGAGGACTCCCACGAGAGGCACCTTTATGAGCCAGTAGAAGCCGAGACCAAACCCGAAGAGGACACCCTCCCGACTCCTGAACCAGCGCTTCTTTTGTGCCTTGTCAAAATGTACACGGGCGAAGTACGGCTCGAGAAGCTCCCGCATGAGACTTCGCGAGGAGAAGTATGTCTGCAGGAAGACAACCAGATATCTGCGAGGCAGGAAAACGCCGGTGCCAAATATAACCGTCGCAGGACCGGCACCGACAGCCTTGTTGAAGGTGTAGAAACTGGCCGCAGGCAGAACAAATCTACCAATGTACGGCACGTAGGACAGACTGAAAACCGCCAAGGATATACTGCCCTTGCGAATAAAGCGTATGAGAAATGTCATGAGCGGCTTCTTCGCACCTCCAGAGGGTTCACGCTGCTTCTTGGCAGCTTCGTAGGACTTAAGGTTGGGATAATACATATCTCTGAGAGTATCGGGGTTCTCAGACTTGTGCTTCTGCACGTATGTGATGTCTACCCATTCCAGCGAGCGCATAAACCTGTTGTGTGATCAGCGAGGTGAAAGAACAGCGCCGAAGTTTCGGTTCACAGGACTTACAGATTGTCCAAGGTTGGGTCTACATAGCGCATCAAAGTCATCAGAAAAAATGGTACCTGCAGGACGTACTCCTCGATGAAGTGAAGACCGTTAATCACGGAGTCGTCCCATTGTACACGGTCAAGGGGATAGAACAGTGATATTGTCCATAACACGAGCCGAACGCCAAGGACCTATCGGATCAAGGTCATTAGTCTACTTTCCGCAGCGCATTGGGACAGGGCGTCGAGACTCACAGGTAGGGAGACAAGGAGTCTGATTGCGATACCGACCGCAACTGCTATGGCAGCTTGGCGATAGTGATCCGATGTGAACAGCGCGGGGTTCTGTAGAGCTCGATGTGCCCCTACCAGGGTGAGCTGCATGCCTCGCAGGACGGCATTGGGCTTGAAATTGGAGAGATCAAACTTGGCCTTGAACCTCTCTTTGTAAACGTTTCCGTCAATGACCTTTTTCAACTCGGCCTTGGCATCTTGTGGTTCATGGCTTTGCGTGGCCATTGCGTGGGAATCTCCGGCGAAGTAGAAGATAAATGTGCCGGATTATGTGCTATCCAAAGGTCCGGGATATGCTGATCATATGAAAATCGTGCTCAAATGGCCTTTGATAGTTCGAGAGTGCGAAACTGGTGTTCAGGGCAAGGCAATACTTGTGGAAATGGCACGGTAAAGTGCTGATAGTGATACGTACTGCAATGACGTCAACACAGGGTTTCTGGTGATGACCAAGCCTCAAGACTGGCATTCTACGATTGCAAGTCGAGAAACATTGCAACTAAGCCCTCTCAGCACTGGCATCTAGCGGCCAGATTCATCGCGTCTATAGACGTTTGCGTCCTATGTCGATGTACATCAATGTTTGTGCGTGAGCCTATGCAATGGTTCTACAGAGCCGCGTCTGTCGCGCCACGATAGTGAACCGGGCAACCATGCCCTCTGATAGCCAAAGACGCCCGCGCTCGATGCAAAACTGAAACATCCCACTTCGCTATTACTCCAACCATCGATGGCGTCGCGCCGCATCGTGAGTGCGCCTGTGCGGACCTTGGAGAGCTCCAACAACGATGCGGCATTGATTGAGACACTCTGCGTGCATCCTGATGTGCGCATCGTGTCGTTCGTAGCAGCTGTCGATGCGCTACCACCGAGCCCAGCCATAGCCCGCGAACAAGCTGGAACACTGGCTTCGACCTCCCGGCTGCAGAGGACAATTGCTGTTGGTGAGTTGCACTTTGAATCTAATACAGGAGGAACAACAAATTGCTAACTATGACTCAGGCTCGTGTCGCATTTACAAGGCGCCTGGCTCGGTCGCATTTATCAGCTGTGGCGCCGCCTTGCAACCGATACTTCCCAAGAGCCAGTGTTGGGCGATCGACGAGCACGACTGCACTTTCGCACTTCAAATTCGCCGGCCGACTTTTTGGAGGATCGAACTACCTTCCACCACTGAAATCGACCTTGAACGAGCGAAAACATTCAGAGAAACACTAAGCAAGATTTTGCAGTTTGAGAGGACGCCTTGCCCCTTTCAAAGAGGCTTTACGATCGAGCTCCCTGAAGAACCGGATGAACCTGTCAAGAAGATACCATGGACACCGAAGCGAAACGGCAACGATTATCGGCCGGTCACAGCCGGTGCGGCATTGGGTGGGAACCCTGACTGGACGCCTCCCGACGCGGACCTGGCGTTGCGGTACGCTCGCAGACCATCCGAGCAAGGCCATCGCACAGTATCATTGGATGTTTTCGCAAGGGAAGCGAGATCTGGGTTTCCGGGAACACCAACCCCGGTAGCCAAGAGTGAGCCGGACCAGCCCGACGAAAGCGTTGGTGGCACCGCGACACCGTGCAGTACGCTCAGTTCCAACACATCTCACAGCGACGCAGTAGACTCACACGAAACCGAGGAATCCCCTACCTTGCACGATAAAAATCCCATTGCGGGGTTGATACGCGACTTCGACGTTATTAGTCGGGGCAGGGATACGAGCCATCCAATTTTGTCACGAGAAGGCTGCGAGATACTTGCCCGCCAGTGCAGCAGCTCCCCGAAGAGCGAAGAAACACACACCAAGAGACCTGGCCGGCGCCGGAGATCAAGTAGCTTTTCACAGGCATCGTTTGCGACTCCTGGAGAGGCCTGCTTCACACCCACAAAGGTGAATGCCTGCGGTCAGGACCAGGATCCGCCGGATGATACGAGGAATCTATGCCGGTCTCCATCTGTTGACTTTAGCAACCCTGCAAAGCTCTCTGTAGGACCGGATCTACCCAAGACGATCTTCACCAAGACGTTTGGTGCCCTCATCGCACCACCTACATACCTTATCACGCTCATGCTGCGGATAGCTGCCCAGCTTAGTCCACCGCCGCAGACCACACAGAGTACGCATGGTTCGAGCCGATATATGCACATGCCCGGACAATGGGATGATTTCGGCGACGAGCTTAGCGAGTAAGACCTTTGGGGATAGGTGGGTGTACGTATAGAACAGAGGAACAGCTGTGGGAAGGCAGCCAGCGTGGCCATTTGACTTGGGTCGCTGTAGTGAATAGCCATACTAATTACATACTCTGCGTACTTACCAGAGATTGGATGAATGAATGAAATACCTGTACCTATTGGCGAAACCCGATGCTTGACTTCACAGTACACGTAGGATGAGGCCGACGTCCTCTCGGGCTCTCACAACCAGGCCCACATACCAAGGGTCGTAGCTTTAGCCTTTTGGCTCAAAAGGTGGCTGAAGCTCGTTTCTCAATATCCTTGGATCTAAATATGGTATTCGAAGCGTTGAAGGAGGCTTGGCCTGTCAAGTGAACACCCCTGCAACAGATGCAATGACAGGGGCCGAAACGCCTACCCTACCCAGTCCGTGTATCATGTGAACAAGTAATGCGGAGTACAGTACTAAAGTAGTAGTGACGCTGAGTTTATTACTGTTTCAAGTTGTTTCTAGTAGTGAATCGTTCGCCTCCCACGAGGTAGTGTTATAGTCTGACGAGTTACTTGTAGGCTGTTGGGCTATGAGACTGTGAGACTGCCTTAGTGTGAAGTCAAGGTCCCAACTTCACGCCAGAAGATGTTACAACAAATGACCGAAGCAAACCTACGAGCGACTCTGCACTGCGGAGTATCTGTAAGCACGCACCCCTGGAGGATTGCTGGTTGGTGAGCTGACTAGCGTGATTACGGTCAGCCTCGCTTGTCATGCCCCAGTCAATGCGACCTGTCCTTAAACAAAAAGATCAGTGATTTACATAGACAGCATAGATACATAGTTCTCCAGTCCATTTGGTGTTCCCACATCAGGGGCCGTTCTACAAACTTGAGAACAAGGCGACCAACGAACAAGATACGACACCTTCCACATAAGTTTCAGCTGGCGCAGCGTGGCGAAAGCTCAACGACGCCAACAATTCCCCACCTCGAAACGACGACGTCAAGCGATCAGATTCAGAGCCGTAACTCGCTTGCTTGCAGTGATAGAGCGCAGTAACAAGAGAGTCGTTGATACATTCTCTCGCGAGGATTATCTGTTCCCGCCACTACCAGACCCTTCAAACAACTCACCTCAGCCCCGTCGCGATCCGTAGCGAACAACCTCACCGCAACAGAGTTGCAGCGTCAACGTCCGCGAGGCGGATTGTCACGGCTTGTCCGACAGACAGCGGACCATCAGCCAACATGGCAGAGCGATCAGGCATGTACTTCCACTTGGAAATGGGCGTCTCTTGGCGGCCCAGAAAGCATCAGGGCCAGTCGAGCCATCAATTGACCCTGATGTCCAAGAGCGCGCGGGAGCGCGCGAACAATGTCCCCCAACACTGGGTCCCTGAGAACGCCAATTATCCAGTGCATGGCACACAAACGCAGCGTCCGTACTTGATTCAACAAAACTCGTACGATCACAACGGGCAGCCCTATACGCAGCAACGGTGGCAACACCAGCAGCCTGCGGGATCTCACACCCAATGGCCGCATCCAACATGGCAAACACACGCGCAAGCAGCGCAGCCAGCAATCCAATATCACCCTCCACCAGGGTTGCCGTCGGGGATCGAGCAGGAGCATCAGCGACCTTTGCGACCTCATTCACCTACCGAGTCTCCCCGCGGACGCAACCGGTCTGCGCCGCCTCCCATGAGTGCAGGCTCGTGGAATGCTGAGCCTGAGCCAATGATGGCTACAGCTCTGCCCCAAAGAACTACCATTCCAGCGCCTTCGACACATTTACCACCTACACCTACACCGGCGCAGTACCGCCTTGGTCACGACGACATGCCCTGGTCGCCTTCGCCTTTCCCCATGGGTCGCTCAGATGATGGTAGCAGCGAACAGTCCCGCGACCTGAACGACACACAGAACCCGGCCACAGCTGTTCCTTCGGTTCCGCCGAAACATGCAGATGATCGGGTACGGGGGCGCACCAGAGAGATGCAGTCACTGGCAACAGCAATGATGACCGTGGATAATGGCTTTGAAGATCAATGGTGGTATCAAGGCGAGCGCCTCGTCAATATTGCGGGAGATTTGATTTCACCAGCAGAAGTGGCCCAGCGGTACGGGCCTGATACGAACAGAGCCTGGCAACCCACCGCTCCAGGCATGGCCGGATCAGGCGACAGATCTGTCGACGGGCAGATATCTGCATCCCCCAGCCTGGCCGATGTTGTATCGCCTGTGAGCGACTTTTCAAGTCCTAGAAGAGGACCTGGATCACCTGGTCCTATCAAGCGGTCCGTGACTACGACATCCGACGAGATGTTTATACGTTGAAAGGAGTTTCAAACAATCCCTTTCGCCACCTCATGGACACAGAATCATGAAACATCCCACAGCGCAGAAAAACGGGCCGGCGGTTGACTCTGATTTGTTGCGTATATACGCAACATAATTTAACTTGGTGCGAGCTTGGAGGATCGACGCCCGCGCGAAATCTCAAGTCAACCTTAGGTACTCATCCAACGTCAAACTTGAGTGCGGGGTATCCAGGGTCACCATGGCGTGCGTCGTACAGCACGCCAGTGGCCAATTTTCTGGCGAGGACCGTCGTTGACCAGGAACCGAATGGGATCGCGCGAGAAACCCGTTTGGCTTACGGATAAATCGAGAAAAGGCTCAGGCATCGTCGCAGAGCTAGCCGAGCTTCCACGCGAGTAGAATCACTCACTTGTGCCTCAAGGAAGAAACTACTCGCGGGAGAGCAGTACTATGCTCCGAGACTCGACTGGGTCCGCCTGCTGCCTAAAGAACCGCTACCTGCCAACTTGGGTCATTGCTCAGCTATCGCGACTTGCAGCGGCACAAGAGGAGTGTACATACCACACGGAGCACATCTTGTGAACTGACAAATCACTCGCCATTTTTTCCCATCTCTCTCAATATGAAAAAAACCTTTGCTCATTATCGTCCGCCTTACTGAGGATTCTCTTGCCTTTCTTACATGTTTTCGCCGTCAAAGGGGCCTCGATGCTTCGCATCCAATCTACCAGACCACTGGAGTACGACGGCCAACTATCTCATGATCCCTCACTTTGGTCGAATCCTATTTCTGATGGGTGGCATTCCGATCCCGATGGTATTAAGTTCGGTGATAAATACTGGGTCTACGCCACGCTCTCCATCTCCCTCAACGAACAGACAGACTTCGATGCATTCTCAAGCCAGAACCTCAACTCATGGACGAAGCACACCCAGGTCTCTTCTACGAATGGTTCCGAATGGGCCGAGTCTTCATTTCGGGCACCATGCGTGGTCGACAGAGATGACTTATATTACCTATACTACACGGCCAACAATCCAGTCGCCAACGATGACAAGGCTGGTACTGGTGTAGCTGTGGCTTCGACCCCTGGCGGGCCGTTCATTGACCTATCAACAAACCCATTGTTGGCAAGAGAATCAATCAAGGCAACCCCATGGATCCGCAGGTTTTCGTCGACGAGAATGGCACATACTACCTGGTATCGGGTGGCACGCGTGCCTCCATCGCACCGCTGAGCGCCGATATGGCGAGCTTGGAGTTGAGTGGCGATTTCCCACAGCCTAGGGAGATCATTTCAGATCAAGGCTTCACCCGAAGGCGCGTTCGTGCTCAAGCCTGATGGCCTCTACTACTTCATGTGGTCTGCAGGCGGATACGGTACGCCTGAATATCGCGTTGCCTACGCCATATCCAGATCCCTTTTCGGACCCTTCGATCGAGTGGGCTTGGTCCTCCGGAAGGATGATGTGGCAGATGGCCCTGGGCACCATTCTGTCTTTAAGGACGATGATGACCACCAGTATTACGTTGTGTACCACAGGCGTATCATCGGGGACAACGTCGCAGATCATCTCGTTATCGCCGTGGACCGAGTGCATTTCGCTCGCAATGGGACAATCAAGGTGGTACAGATGTCATAGTAGCGAAGATTATGCATACCTCTGGCATAGAACCAGACAATCGAAGTGCCGTGGTTGCTGTGAGCCACATCCAGTCCAGCCCAACTCAACGTGTCTCCCGCCAACCATATGCCAGGTCAGAACCTAGTTTGGCAGCTATTACCCCATCAGTGGCGAGCATTCTCCACGGTCCACCCCTTGAGCTTTTTGAACCCTTCTGTCGAGAGGGGCCGTCCCATTTCTTGCCGTTCTTGAAGGGCAGATATTCCTATCGGAGTCTCTACTAGTCTCCTCTGCAGGATGCTCAAGAGAAAACGCGGCTGATGCATGTCTGTGGAATACCAGCCAGCAGGGTATGCAGTAATAGACTGATGTGACGAGTAAAACCCCTCCTGGGCCTTGACTCATTAGTGGCCTGTCCTGGCTTGGTCCTCATGAAGGCTCATGAAGCCCCATCGAGGAACAGCACTCCAAAGGAATGCGCGCGAACATGTACCCGTGTCATTATGCCGTCGGCCCGTTACGAACTTTGACGCCGTGACGTGGGTTATCACTCCTCACGTTGCATACAGACTGGGCGGGCACAATGGTCGGGAACCAGACCCCAGTTTTGATGTCGTTCTCAAGCTTCCCCTTAGCCACTCAGGGGTCCATGGTACCTTTGCATAACTGCGAAAAGAAGCCTAGGATCCTGAGTCTTAGGCGCTGTTTTTGAAAAACTGAGTGATCTTCTGAGTCCCTCTCTGTGGCTTCACTTTATTAGGACTCCTGGAGTTGTTGTTGACCGCACTGATCGTCTTAGAGGTCGTCAAGTCATCGCGATTTGACCGCATGGTCTTTTGAGCTGGCGCCGTCTGCAGTTCGTCTTCAGAAGCTTTCCTTTTCACACCACCATGTTCTGATGCGTGTTCATGCTTCTGCTCCTCACTTGGCCCCTCCTTGTTTCCTGAGACTGCTGACATTCCTTGGTCCCCCGATTTCTTGGATGCATTGCCAAAAAAGTTGGCAATATTTGACTTGTTTTCCTTTGAATCAAGGGGGATGACAAAGCTCGGGGAGTTGTTGCCAACCTTCCCTACATCCTTGTTGACGGGATAGATCTCAAGATCACCGCGATAAGGCTTCAGTATCGACTGCAAGTCCTTGCTCCACTCGCTCTTCTCAGGATCAAGCCATGCTCTCAAGTGGTCCGAACCAGGATCAAGTACGACAGGCATGCGGTCGTGAATGAACCGCATTTGCTTGTTCGCGTCTGTGGTGATGATGGTGTAAGTGTATGTCTTCTCATGGGTGTCTGTTCGTCCAGATTAGCACTGGAATGACAAGTTCTGCACGGGAACTATACCCTCATACTCTACACAATCCCACAAGCCCGCAAAACACATCAGCTGCCCATCCCGCCGCTTGATATAATGCGGTAATTTGTTCTTGGGGCCCGTCTTCAACCACTCGAAGAATCCCTCGGCGATGACAATGCATCGTTTCCGAGCCTTCATGCTTGACCACATGCCGCCGGGAGTACTGAGGGAGTCATCACGGCAGTTGATGGCTTTCATGATCGTGCCGTAGTCAGGGTTGCGTTTTGTCCAGAAAGGTACCAAGCCCCATTTCATCGACTGGAGCTTGTAGGTAGCTTCCATCGTCTCAGTCGCCCTTGGTTGCTCGGCCCCAGCTGTGCGTGTGGTGCCGCGGTGATGACGAGAGCCAGCGCCTCTGTCGGAAGTGTCGGCTCTGTACACAAGACCATGGTAGCCCGGTGCGAAGTTGAAGGTCCTCCGAGGAGCATCGTCTCCCTCATCATCAGGTGCGTCCGCTACGGGCATGTCCTGCTCCACGAGCATGCGCCGTACTTGCGATGGTGACTACCTCAATGTCAGCCTTTCTCTCCTTTCATGGCCTGTACCAGGTATCTTCCCAGTGCTTACCAAGTTGAGAGCATATCTACCACACATCTTCAGTGGGCGACTTGCAGATCGGGAAAGCTGCCGAATGGTGATCGAGGTGATCGAGGTAATCGAAGTAATCGATTGGTGACATGCTGCCTACATGTACATGTACCTTACCTGGAGATTCAACGGCTGGTCGTTCGATCACGTGCATGGCGTCATCCATCGCGGCATCACTACTTACACGTATTCTGCGACTCTTCAACACATCATATTCCAGTTATACGAAGTAATCATATGCTCTTCCATGGCAGGTAACGGAATGGGTAGAACATCCCGGGTATATATATTGCACAATTCGTTTCTAACGGATATGCCATGCCAAGTGCCGCTACAGGAAACACCAAGCGAAAATACAGCATGCCTAAACTCCATCCCTTCGTGCCATGTTCACACTCGTAGTCGGCTCTGCTTCTTGGCTGCCGCCTCGGACGCCCAAGAATCCTCAAAGACGGTGGGCTTCCGTGACAAGCGACTGGGCTGGATGCCCAGGCGACGGACAACTTGGAACGCACCAGTGCCAACCTTCATCGTCTGCCCCATGATGATACATTCGCTCACTCCCTCAATCTGGTCCGTCTTCATGCCAGCCGCAGCCTCAAACAAATGGTCGGGCGTCTTCTCGAAAGAAGCCAGTTGCAGGACACTGTCTCTCATCTTTGACAAGCCGAAACGTGTAATGCCAAGCACCTCGCCTTTGTATGTCATGACATCTGCCAAAAGTTGCATGTGTCGAGGATCAATATTCATGTCTCCCATGACCTCCCCAATCTCAAAAGCAATGGTCGAACGTGCGGCCTCGATTCCAAGAATTTCGCGACACTCCATAACATTATTGGATTTTGTCTTGACACCAATCACACCCTCCGTGGTCATACAAGCGCGAAGGCCATATCCTTCTACGAGGACGGTGTTTGTGCCCTTCTCCGAGGTCTGGATGATGGCACGCGTGGCCTCGGGGTATCCAGAAATGGGAACCGAGGGCAGCGCACGTCGCAAAAAGTTAGCTCTGAGGAGCATGTCGCCCTCATCAGCAGCCGACTTGGTTTTGGTGACGCGCTTTGGCGCCATGGTACTGGCGTCCCGGACGCGGATGCTGATACGGCTGCCCTCGTCGGGATCGTACAAAATACTCAAGTCGCTCCTCTGGACCTTCAACTTGCGTTGCTTGCAGATTGCCTCGGCGATATCATGGACGCCAATGCCCAGCTGCATTTCCGACAACGCCGCGTTGTCGATACGCAAGACGACGTTGCCTTCTTCGGTGCGCCACTCGTCCTCCACGTACTTGATAACGTCTTCGACATATGTCTTCTCAATGCGGCCCTTGACGACCCTGGCCGCGGCGATTTCACTGTCATTCTCCAGCGGACAGGTGATGACAGGTGTACTGATGGTCTTTGATGCGTTGATAATTTCCTTGATACGGGGTACACCTTGCGTAATACTCATGCCGGCAACACCAGCAAAATGGAACGTCTTCAGGGTCATTTGGGTACCAGGTTCACCGATGGACTGAGCGCCAACTGCGCCAACCGCATGGCCAGGTTCGACGTGTGCCTTCTTGTACTTCTCGAGGCAAAGGCGGATGAAGAGTTTCAAGGTGGTTCTTGACACCTTTGCCGTCCTCTCGCAGTGAGCTAAAGCAACGGGGTTGTCCGTCTCGTCGCCCTCAATGCCAGCCAACTTTCGGACCTTTTCCAACTTTGCTGCCATGGCCTCAACGTGATTCTCAATGTCTCGCAAGAAGTTTCGGGCACTCTCGTGCTCGTCAACTGCGTAGTCACTGGAGTCTTCGTATGGTAGGTCCTCGTTGCGAAGTAGGCCGCGTCTAGGGAAGCGCTTGCGTTCGTTCTCCAACATGGAGTCACAGAATTCCCTGATCTCGGTAGGGCTCAACGACCGCTCAGTATTGTCCCAAGTGACGGCTTCAGCGTGCGTCCATGTACGTTTGAAATGCACCGGCTCTGCACTCCCTTCCATATCGACGGGGTCGAGCTTGTCGGCTCCGAATTGGAATTGGACAATGCCGCCTCCAGAAGTACGAACAGTATCATCGTACTGCGTTGAGAGATCCTCCAAGGATTTCATCAAGCGACGAGACATGTAGCCAGTTTCAGCGGTTTTGACGGCGGTATCGACCAGGCCTTCACGACCAGAGATGGCGTGGAACAAAAACTCGGTGGGAAAAAGCCCAGTGTAGAAACTGTTCTTGACGAAACCTTTGGAAGGAGGCTGGCGCGCATTTTTGTGGAAATGAGGTAGGGTTCGATCTTGGAAACCATCAGCGACACGAGAGCCGCCAATAATCTGCTGTCCTACGACCGCGACCATCTGAGCAACGTTAATGTCTGAACCCTTTGAGCCAGACTTGGCCATGATGAGGGGAGCATTGTTGCGACTCAGGTTGTCGACGCAGTACGAACCGGCCTGCTGCCGAACTTTGCTGAGAATACCAGAGATGGCGTTCTCGAGGGTCTGTTCCATATTACATCCAGGAGCTTTCTCGAGCTCGTTCTTCTTAAAGCGCTCGATCAGATCGTCGCACTGCCTGTAGGCCACCTCAACAAGCTTTTCTTTCTCGACATTGAGACTCGCTGTTGGGAAAACATCACCAACGCCGATGGAGAAGCCGCGGTTTGTAAGTGTTCTTGCGCACAGCTTTGCCAGTCTGTTCATAGCCTGTGCGGCAGCCTCAGGTCCGAAATCTCGCATCATGACATAAAAGACGGAGTCTTTTTTGCCCTCACCGACAGTTGACTTGTCCATGCGGCCACACATGACTTCGGAGTTTCGCACCACCAGCCATCCATCATTGGGATCCATGTCCGGGTGTACACCAGGTCGTGCTTTGTAGGCACGGCATTTGGCATCAAAGTTGATCATGACGGGAGACTCTTTGTTGGGCCGGATGAGAATATTGAAAATCTGTTTGCCAGTCCAGAGCGCTTGCGGCGCAATGATTGCTGGAGGTGGTAGATCCAGGTGCGTTTTCCCGTCAAGCATGTGATTGCAAATGTACGTAAAGGTCTTGCGATCGAAAAAGCGGTCTTTGCTGCTGAGCAGAAAGGCCGCTGTAATGAAATCTTGTGTCGCTGCAATGATCGGCTCGCCATTCTTCGGGGTCGCAAGGTTGTTTTTGACTCCCATGAGGTTGATAGCCTCCGCGCGCGCTTCTTCCGTCTGCGGAACGTGCAGGTTCATCTCATCTCCATCGAAATCGGCATTGTATGGACTGCAAACACACTCGTTGAGGCGGAACGTTCTCCATGGGCGCACCTTGACCAAATGGCTCATGATACTCAATTTGTGAAGTGAGGGCTGACGATTGAATAGCACCACGTCACCATCTTCCAGATGCCGCTCGACCACGTCCCCGGCTGTCAGGGCTTTGGCCATGCTGTCTCGATCACCAAACTTCAGGGACCATTTGTGATCCGCGTTGCCTCCTTTAAGCACTTGTTGCGCACCAGGCCACACATTCGGGCCATTCCTAACGCACTGCCTCAACTTCTCCAGGTTGTGACGATTTACGCGTTCCGGATAGGTCAGATTCTTCGCAACCAGTTGGGGCACGGCTACCTGGTCGATGCCGAGGTTCGGATCAGGGGAGATGACGGTACGGCCTGAGAAATCCACACGTTTGCCGGAAAGATTACCGCGGAAACGGCCCTGTTTCCCCTTCAGCCTCTGACAAAACCCGCGAGTGGTCTTGCCAAACCCGGGCTGCTGAAGACCTGGCACGTCACTGTTGACATACAACGCAATTTGCGTCTGAAGGTATTCCCACTGTTCCATAATGGTCTGTACCGGAGAGCCCTTTTGCAAAGCAGAGCGGATCATGCCGCTGACCCACACAATATCAGCCAGCTTCGTGGTCAGGTCGTCTTCATTGCTTGCGTTATCCTGGGCCACGGATGGTCGGATACAGATCGGCGGGGCAGGTAGGAACTGCCAGATGAACATTTCTGGGCGGCCCTCGGCAGGATCCAGACCCAGAAGCTCACAGTCAGTTGGACTGATCATTTTGAAGAGATTGAGAACGCGCAGTGGGTTCAAATCTTCCATGGCCTTGCGGAGATGTTTATCTATTTCAGGGTTGCCTTGACGAGCATCACGGAAGGAATTGTCGAACTTGATCTTGCTCGCCGGCGGGACTTTCTTTGCGGAAGTTGACTTGTTGTATGCCACAAACTTGTCGTGGGTAAGCTTCAGCACGCCGACTTTGCGGATCTGCCCGTTCACCGACCCGCAATATGGGCAGGTCTTCACTTTGCGGCACTGTTCGTTGATGCGTTTGCAGATCTGGGTGCGCCGCAAGTTGTCCAGGTACGGCCGTCGGAGCTCTTTCAAGAAAGCCCGCCTGTCAGGTTCTTCAAGCAGGACTCGGCCACAGTCCTTACAGATCTCCTGCAAGATCGACATGATGAAACGCAGGTACCCGACGTGGAAGGCCGGAAGAGGCAGTCTCACATGGCCAAAATGGCCAGTGCAGTTGTTCAGCGGTTCCAGACAGGTTGAGCATTTTCCCTGTTTGCTTGAAGTGCCGAGGCGCGGGTCGAGTGGTCCGTGGCGGTACGGTGCACGGTTATTCTCAATATCATAGAGCAATCGGTCGGAGACTTCCAATACAGCCTGGTTGGCAATGTCTTGATTGGACCTTCACCTTTGTTAGCCTGCGTGTTCCCGCGATGATGTGGCGGCAGGGTGACTCACTGGATCCCGAATTTGATGCCTTTGAAATGCTTAGGCAGCTTGTCGACAAGCTGTTGCTTGACGATGGTGTCGACAACGGTCGCCATTGTGTGATGTTGCGCTCGGCACGAAGCCGCGTCAATCCGAAAGCTTCTGGAGTATGGCTAGGGCGCGCTGGCTCGATCTGCGAGCTGTTGCTGCAGCGGCAGGTTCACGAGGGTTGGAGACGGGTCGATGGGTCGCGTCAGATCATAAGCGGCGGCCAACTTCAAGTCTCTGATTTCGAGCAGTAAAAAACATGGCCAAACGGAGTCGTGATGGTCCGAGATTGTATTGCGGCGACTTGGTGGCTGGCGTCGTGGATAATGCTCGCGGAGCAAAGTCCCGAGTTTAGAGTTCTTCTCAAAATTTCGCGAAATGCGAAGACTCCCAGACCAGGTTGGACGGTGCCACTGGAAAAGAGGCGGGGCAGTCTTGCGACCCCAAGACCCATCTCGTGCCCCACCATGCTATTCACTGCATTGGTAGCATGTACTATTACTAGCTACTACTACGTAGTTCTTTAGCTAAGACGTATACCTCCGTGAATGTACATCTGAAATCGATGATTTTACTGGTAGTATCACCTGTAATCCTTTTACCGCGAGTGTTTACCACTTGTATTGCATCATGTCCGACAGGCGGCTACACGATGGCCGATGCCAAAAGACTTCGTTGTTATTGGCAACACCGAGCTGCTTCATCTTTCAGTCCGTGCAGACTAACCAGTTCTAAATTACCTAACCAAGACTATACCTTGGGTATATCCATGGAGAGTATTGAAATACACTCCGTTTGCGAGATTCTTCCGGTCCAGTCCGTTGTCGACAACATTGCGAGTATCTATAGGGTAAGCTAGACCGGCAGCTACATCTGTATCCGTACTAGTAGTACCTTGCAGTGTCCGAACCGCACGCGCAGCTTGATGTCATGCGCGCAGACAGCAGATACCGCGTCACATGCTTCCCGTCAGAATACATGTATCTGTCGACGTGGGTTTTCAGAACCTTGAACTTGGTATCGCTAATTCACCTCTAATGCGAACCTTCTTCATATACAGGTAAACGTATTAGATCAATCCACCAATAACGACTTGACACGTGCTCAACGCTGTCCTCCATTCGCGGTTATTCCTGACATAGAGACTTACTTACCTGCGGGTTTTCGCTCAACGCCGGCCTATCCCCTCACACGCTATCAAGTTGGCATCCCTCATAGTGAGCCAACAGCCGCGGGCCATTCGCTCGACTCTCAATTGCACTCGTTTGCATGCGGCCAGGTATCAGATCTCGGGCGGATGGCAGGCTCGCCTAAGACCAAAGATGGCATCTCAAGTGGGGGACCAGAAAGCGGAAAAGTCCTATTTGACAACTGCGGTCGAGTCAATAAACCCATGGGGCGGGAAGCGAGACTCATCCCCGGCTCCGGAGGCGAGCAAGAAAGCAGACAAAAAACAGACGTCAGAACCAGCCCCTGAGGGCCCTGGTGATCACAGCATTACCCATCTGTACGGGCAAAGCTTTCGCACATATCCTGCAGACTGCCCCCCGCTCAAAGTTCAGTGGTATCATGCTATCGATGTAGGTCTCTACAGCCGTCCTTGTGAACACTGGGTAGCATGCTCACTTAACTCCCAACCAGGTACCAAAACGCAAAGGCGTCTCTGTGAAAGAGCGGCAGAAGCCTGTGACAAGTGAAAAGCCGGTCCAGAAACCGAAAAAGTTCTCGGCTTTCTCAACATCTGATTCCAGGGCGATTGAGTCGAGATATCAGCAGCTGCTTGAGGCCATTGAAAGCCCGACTAAAGCGCCACCTAGGGAGATTTCGCAGTCTGTGCCAGTAAACGAGGATTTCTTGTTCGATGTGGTCATTGACCAGCGCGAGCTTTCACCTGTCTATTGGCTTGGTCCGGTTTACGAAGGTACATTTTTGGCCCACCTGGAGGACAGCTTGAACGTTGTTAACATCTAGCAAAGTGAGAAGGGGTACCTGGTTCTTCCAGGAAGGGACCAGCCTGCGTCCGTGCGAAGAGAACCTCGCAGCACAGCTTGAGGAGGTCAGGCCCAACAACCTACTTGTGATTATACAGGAATTGTTCAACATAGCTAACCTGCGCTAGGGCTATTTGAAAACAAAACCATGGAAAAGTCCAGGTTCGTTTCACAGAAGAGTGTTCGTTCCAAGGCAAATGCTGACCAGCTACAGCGCGGTCCAGAAGTCAGTCAGTGGCCAAGTCAGTCACACCAAAGCAGTCTCGGGATAACATCAAAGCTGTTGCTGGCAAGGACGTAACGCCCAACCCTCCAGAAACCGTGGGACAGAGTACTGGAAACCAGCCGCAATCTTACCGCCTATTCGGCTCTTACATGAATAGCTTTGTTACTTATCAAGACGGCAATACAGCTTGGCTATCGACCGATACCATGTTGTCCTGGGTCACATCCTCAATGTACGAACGGTTCTCAGGGGGAGGGTACATGAGCGGCATCAAGCTCGTTCGCGGCTACACAGAGCCTTCCAAGCCTAAAGAAAGCGAGCTTCAGGATAAGGACAAGTCCAAGGCCCCCGTCTCCGCCACCGCCGAGGATGTACCGGGGCTGGATCATCGGCAACAGAAACTCCTGAATCGTCGCTCCGCACCACCTTCGACAAAAGCTGTGGTTCAAAACCAGGAGGCTGATCCCGAGCCAGCGAAACCAACAGCCATAGAGGGCCGCGGGACCAGGCTGCAGAGGCAGCTGTCATCCCTAATGGACGGTGGCAATCCCATCGAGACCGAGGAGCAAATGCAAGAACGTCAAGAGCAGGAGATGCGGGATTATCATACCCAAGCAGGAGAGAGCCAGAAGCGAGATGTTGACCATTTGATCCTCGTCACCCATGGTATTGGTCAACAACTAGGGCTACGGTGAGTAAACCCCTCTCTCCCAAATGACAAATCTAACAACTTCAAAGCATGGAAAGCATTAATTTTGTGCAAGATGTCAATGTACTAAGGAAGACATTAAAGTCGACATATGCCAGTTCAGATGACTTGAAAGCACTCAACTCAGAACTCAATGCAGAGCTTGGGAACTGTCGTGTCCAAGTTCTTCCCGTTTGCTGGAGACATTTGCTGGACTTCCCAAGGCAACGAGAGAAGAAAGAAGAGCACGATCTGGGCGACGTTGATGATTTGGAAGACAACTATCCTTCTCTTGAGGACATCACCATCGAAGGTGTCGCATTTGCTCGGTCTCTCATCTCCGACCTAGCTTTGGATGTTCTACTGTACCAGAGCTCATACAGAGAGCAAATTGCTTCCATCGTCTTACAAGAATGCAATCGCATCCACAGGCTCTACTGCGACAGAAATCCTGGCTTCAAAGGCAAAGTTCACCTGATGGGGCACTCTTTGGGGTCAGCAATCCTATTCGACTTGCTCTGTCGGCAGAAAGATCCCAAGGCCGATCATTCAAAAGCCAACCCCTTGCGCTTCTGGCCTGGGAAACAGCAATCGGATATGACCCACTTGACAGCCAAAGAGCGGCGCCTCGCTATGGAGTTTGAAGTAGATGATTTCTACTGTCTAGGATCACCTATCGGGTTGTTTGAGATGTTGGAGGGCAGGTAAGGCGTCTCTTGCTGGGTTGCTCCGATCTGAGTCTTACTGAATCATTCACAGAACAATAGCTGCTCGCCAAGCTCCGAAACCACAAGCGTCCGATGATGTGTTGCAGCGGGAGCTTGAAGAGGTTGATTTCGCCACCCGATCCATGGGAAACGCTGCCGAAGGCATCCCACATCAAACGTTGTCGCCAACGCAGGTTTCATCGCCAAAAGCTCGACAAGTCTTCAACATTTTTCATCCTTCCGATCCCATTAGCTACAGACTGGAGCCTCTTATTTCGCCGGCCATGCGTTCTTTAAAACCACAAGGTCTGCCCTACACGAAAAAGGGAATCTTTAATGCTGCGAACGAGGGCTTGACTGGTATTGGCGCAAAGGTAGGCCAGAGTGTCAGCGGCCTTTGGTCAAGTCTCAGTGCCGGCATTGCGAGCAACATGCTCAACCGGAGCCTCGGCCTTACCAGTGAAGAGGTGGCCCAGATGACGGACCACACCCAGTCAGCTGCGAGACAGTCTGCATCTTCCAAGTCGACAGATGCCGCCAGCAAAGCTCTCGCAGACGAATCCAGGATTGGAGAGCGAACAGATGAACGCAAGAAACAGCTGGCGGACTCAGCCACATCAAGCGGCAAGGGTATCGCTGGTGGTAACGATCCGACATTAATCGACGACGAGCTTGAGACACTGTACTCGCAATTTCAGAAGCGTGGACCCGAGACTCTATCGAAGGATGATGCTGATGGCGGGCTTGGCGGCCCTGACGGCACGCGCAAAGCAAAGAAGATGCGTGCCGAAGAAGCCAAAGTGAGAGCTCTCAACAGGAATGGTCGGGTAGACTACAGCATTCAGGAGTGAGTATCCGTTTGTGCTGATTTGAGGCATGTAAAGCTAATCGCGATGATGTAGGAGTGTTCTTGACTTCAATCCCATCAACACCATAGCCTCTCATATGGGTTACTGGTCGGACGTCGACGTGAACCATTTCATTCTATCCCAATTGCTATCCAGCCGTTCTGGCCCTGGAAACACGGAAGCAAGCCAACCGACAAAGATAAAATGATAGAGGGGGACATTTTGAGACCAGAGATATCTACTTGGATATGGGCAACAATATATTATCATTTATCCATAGAGCACAGACTTTCCGCAGAAAGTACTGCGTCACCTGGGCTGCCGTCTAACCGAATGGTGCGGCTAGACTTCCGCAGACCGGAGCTCAACGCCTGGGTGACCCCAGTTGACAGTGAACATCGCACTTGCTCTAGTTGGCTTCTTCTTCTCCCTTCCACCCCCTCTGTGAAGCCTGGCATGTACTTCGGTTGGAAGGCAGATTTCGTTTTCTTCAATGTCGACTGCAGTTGAGCTCCAGTGAAGCTAGTGGCTCGAGTGTTACGCTCCTGGACTCAGCAATCCTGACACGAGTAAAGGGGCGAGGGGTCCAGACGTCCGTTGCGCGTACTGTTCCGCCGTAAGGCCGTTGCTGTCATGCAACAGCCGAATGTCGCCAGTCTGCGCAGTCAGTCGGCTCAATCCAAACCTTTCAGCCGTTTGACGGGCAACGTCTGGGAACGCTTCAGGGGGTGCTGTGGAGGAGAGCCACAAGAGTAGCATGGCAACGTCGACCTGGGCGTTTTCCACCGCGATGTGAAGGCTGCTCTTTTGCCCCGATAGAGGGTCTTGATATTGAAGGATCGACGTTGCACTCGCAATTTCGTCCTCGTCCTCATCAAGTGCAGCGAGGAGCTCGACCATGCCTTCAATATCACCCTCAGCGCACATGACCTGGAACGCCCTGGCAGGCCGAGCTTCGGGTTGGTTAAGCAGGTACGCCTCTTCTGTGATCGCAGGGAGGATGTCCAAGTTGGGTTGCAAGCCACCCTCGTTGGTGTATCTGGCAAAGACTGATGCCCCTGGTGATGCGAAGAACGGATTTGTTGACGAGGCGCCTGCGTTATTCGACGGCAGACTGGTCCCGCAGCTTGGACATTGTAGTGAGACTGCTACGGTTGCAGATTCATCGAGCAAACATTGCCTGTCATCTAGCTCAGCGATTTTGACTTGGAATTGGTTCGCTGTGATCTCACCAGTGGAAATGACAGCCACATTGCAATTCAAGATCGTCCGGGACGGTTTGTTCGTTGCCATCGTCCTCTTCAGCAATTTGGAACACCAGAGGATCTTCGCAAGCTTGACAAATAGCCATTTCGTCCTAGACGAAAACCCCATTGTCAGTTCACTGCTGCGATCTCCTTGTTGCACAGAGTCTGGGCTAGGCTAGAGCTTGTGTGAAAGCGATTGGGGCCTAATTTGCGTAAAGAGACTCACGTTTTCGAGGCGATGTAGCTGTCAGTAGTGCCTATACAATGAACCAAGTACGCGCCCCAAGCATTGACAGACGCGTAATCAAATTTTTCAATAGCCCGACTTCCCAAATCTAACAGGGCTCAAAATGGATGCCTGGAACGTTAACAGTGAATGGGAGAATTTCCTGATCCCAATCGGGCTCGAGCCCATGCACGACTGCGCCCCTCCAAAGCGTCATCGCATAACAAGAAGTACCCACTATGTCCTTCCCGGTTGTTAGGCACCCTACTCAAATACCGTAGAAGCGTCTGTAGCAAAGCTTGCTCGCGCTAACAAGGGTACCTACCTACCTGTCGCAAAGGCAAGCAGAGAGCCCCGCCCCCGCTAAAGAATTGACTCCCGAAGCTGCTGACTAGAGGCTCTGACGAGAGGACGACGACGTAATTAGCCCGGGTCAACCGACGTACTTGCGCCTTGCTCCATTCTCGACATTGTATTCTGGCCTTCAACCTCCCCTCACTGGAACTCCTAGCAATATTTGGTCCGTTGCTTCTGCCACGCCCCAGCCGCACATCGTTCGACAAGAGTATATCCATCGCTTGCGCGCATAACGCGACCTATCGCAGCCATGAACGTCCTGAAGCTTCAAAAGTACGCATTGCGCTCATCATTGCGCGCGAACCCCCCGAGCAAGCTTGGTGACTGACTTGGCGATCCAACAGGAAATTTCCACAGCTCCCACAGAACGAGATCTTTGGTCTTTCCGATGCCTTCCAGCGTTTGGATGTCGACGACAAGGGGTACTTGGACGAAGCTACCGCGATCAAGGCCACGCAGCAGAGCGAGAATCAACCCTACGATGTCGTCCGTCAAGCTTTGAAAGAAGTAGAACTCGACTCTTCCCGACGCGTAGAGCTTGAAGATTACGTTGGGGTCAGTAAGGCCTTTGCGCCTGGCATGGGCTTGCATTGCTAATGTTTTGCAGCTTGTCGCCAAACTGCGCGACAATGCGTCTGGCCCGAAAGCTGCTGCTGCTGCTCCCACCCCCGCCAGCGGTGGTGTCGTTTCTCAGCGCACAGGCGGTGGTCACGCTTCAAAAGGCAGCGTCAGCGGGAAGATTCAGGTGCAAGGATCCAATGCCAACATCACCCACACGATCAACGAGGATGAGCGTACCGAATTCACGCGGCACATCAATGCGGTCCTTGCCGGCGATCCCGACCTTGGCTCTCGGCTCCCTTTCCCTACAGATACCTTCGAGATGTTCGACGACTGCAAGGACGGCCTCGTACTGGCTAAGCTCATCAATGACAGCGTACCTGACACAATCGATGAGCGTGTCCTGAACATGGCGGGCAGGAAGATCAAATCTCTCAATGCCTTCCACATGACGGAGAACAACAACATTGTGATTGAGTCTGCCAAGGGTATCGGCTGCTCTGTTGTCAACATTGGTGCTGGAGACATCATCGAAGTGAGGGAGCATCTCATTCTGGGATTGATTTGGCAAATCATTCGCCGTGGGTTGTTGGGAAAGATTGATATCAAGCTGCATCCCGAGTTGTATCGCCTTCTGGACGAGGATGAGACCTTGGAGCAGTTCCTCCGTCTGCCCCCAGAGCAGATTCTGCTGCGCTGGTTCAACTATCATCTCAAGGCGGCGAACTGGTCACGGAGAGTGAACAACTTCTCAAGCGATGTCAAGGATGGCGAGAACTACGCAGTTCTCTTGGCACAGATCGGTCCTGAGTATGGCGTGACTCGTGCTCCACTACAGACCCAGGATTTGCACCAAAGGGCCGAGGAGGTTCTGCAGGAGGCTGACAAGCTTAGCTGCCGCAAGTTCTTGACCCCCAAGTCACTCGTCGCAGGCAACCCCAAGCTCAACCTGGCTTTCGTTGCCAACTTGTTCAACAATCATCCGGCACTTGACCCAATCACCGAGGAGGAGAAGCTTGAAGTCGAGGACTTTGACGCTGAGGGTGAGCGAGAAGCTCGAGTATTCACTCTGTGGCTCAACAGTCTCGACGTTCAGCCTGCTGTCGTTTCCTTCTTCGACGATCTTCGCGATGGCACTATCTTGATGCAAGCCTACGACAAGGTGATCAAGGGCTCCGTCAACTGGCGACACGTGAACAAGAAGCCCGCCCACGGCGGCGAGATCTCAAGGTTCAAGGCTGTGGAGAACACAAATTACGCCATCGAGCTGGGCAAGCAGAATGGGTTTTCGCTGGTTGGCATCCAGGGGGCTGATATCACCGATGGTCAGAAGATGCTTACTTTGGGCCTGGTGTGGCAGCTCATGCGAAAGGACATCACCCTTACTCTGTCGTCGTTGGCGCAGAAGCTCGGAAAGAGGGAGATTACCGACGCGGAGATGGTGCGATGGGCGAATGACATGGTCAAGAAGGGTGGACGCGACTCGGCCATTCGGTCGTTCAAGGATCCTGCAGTCGGCTCAGGTATTTTCCTCCTGGACGTCCTGAACGGCATGAAGAGTAGCTACGTTGATTATGACCTCGTCACCCCCGGGCACACGGATGACGATGCGTACATGAACGCGAAGCTTAGCATCAGTATCGCCCGTAAACTTGGGGCTACCATCTGGCTCGTCCCGGAAGACATTTGCCAGGTCCGCAGTCGCTTGATTACGACATTTATCGGTGAGTACTATTTCCATTTATTTGGCGTGCAGCTACTCACATTCCACGCAGGTTCGCTCATGGCAACGCACGAGAAGATGTAGGCTCTCGTGTGAATCTGCCGTACAGAACGACGGTCGATTTGTGGGGCGCAGAGGCTGAATGGCTTCTTTTATTTCAGAAAAACAAATAGGGCTGTAAATATGCTACTCCTCTGAAATCAAATATTCTCTATCCAACGATTCCTTGCTGCTCTACTCCGTATCCCAGCTACCAACCTCGCAAGTATCCTCTGGATTGCAGCGCTAAGCCCAAAGTAGAGGCTTCGTCATTACGTCAGCATGAATCCCGGGCAAAGATTCTTTCAGCCCTCCGGAGCCACCAAGCACTGACGCAGTCGTGAATGACCTGCACCTCAACTTTGACGACTGTAACTCACGCTTTGCGACGACACATCTATCACCACCAGCCCTCAGGTTGACGCGCGCTGCCTCACCGAGAACTGAGCTACCTTTTGATCTTGAAACCCCTTCTACTGCTCCTTTCTTTCAATTCACCATGTCGCGAGGTGGTCAGACGCTGTACGTCACTGGCTTCAGCCAGGGCACCCGCGCTCGCGACCTGGCCTACGAGTTCGAACGGTATGTCAACTACGTCCACGTCCACGCCGTCCACGCACACGTACACGTTCGCCCTCGTCCACGTCGTCGTCGTACCTCTCGGTTCCTTCCAGCCCTGCCTTTCGAGAAAGTGGCGCCGTCGAGGCGTCCTTGATCAATCGCTCATCGCCACACCTCTCTGCCGTTCCCATCGTCCTCCCCGTTGCCGCCATCGTTACCCTCCGCTACGCCCGCGATCGATCGCCGTTCGGTGTGCTCGACGATTCGGTTTGCATTCTTGTCTCCGATCGCTACGTTAGGTGGGCGCGTTGCGAGCTGCGCGTCACGAGTTTTCGCGTTGTCTCAACCGGCAACTTGAATCGTACATTTTCGTGGGGTTCGTGCTTGCTACAAGATGCGGCATCGTGCCACTTACTATAGAAGTTACGTGGACTGTAATTTGCGATCGATACTGACGTCTTTGCTCGCAGTTATGGCCGTCTCGTCCGTTGTGACATCCCTGCACCACGGTCTGCGTCCAGCCGTCTGTAAGTGTCTCCACTGAGGCTGGTCGTTGCCAATGCTGACAGGGCTTTTAGCTTCGCTTTTGTCGAGTATGAGGACCGCCGAGACGCTGATGATGCATATTATGAGATGCATAACAAGCGCATTGGTCGGGACGACATCTTGAAGATAGAGGTTCGTTACTCAAGGCCTCGCTTGCATGATGGGGTGACTAACTGCTCACAGTGGGCTCGTACACCTCCTTCCGCCTCTTGGCGCTTTGAGTCTGGCCGTGATCGTGATCGCCGCGGTGGTGGTAGCACTGGTGGCCGCTCGCCTCGTCGTGGCCGTTCTCCTTCGCCTCGCCGCAGTACTCGGGACTACTCCCCCCCTCCTCGCAAGGAAGATCGTCGCGATCGCGACCGCGATTACGACCGAGATGATCGTCGAGACCGTGACCGCTCCCGCAGCCCTGTTCCTCGGTACGTGCTGGCCTAGTCCCACTTGCGCCTCCAGTAATGCTAATATTTCTAAAGTGATCGCGACCGCGACCGCGACATGAAAGACGACAGAGATGACCGTGATCGTCGCGAGAACGGCGCTAACGGCGATGACCGCAAGCGTGAGTATACGCGCTTCCAAAGTTGCAGCTCCTGCTAATATATTTCCAACAGCTGCTGATAGTCCAGCCCCCGCTCACGACGACCTCGACGTGGCCGAGTAAAACCTCCGTGTTTGACATCTTGAGATGCCACTCGATGTATGTTTCACCGAGCTCTGCGCACCAGTGTCTTGCTCTGTACTTGATTTTCTTTTGTTTCTGCCAATTGTCCTCTGGAGTAGGTGCTTCCGGGTTACAATGCGTACGTAGTAGGTCAACAATGCCAGCGCCTTTTGATATAGGCCCCCAAAAAGGAACGCGAAGTAATAATGATGAGTCGGTCGAAATTACAGGTTCCAAAGCAACGGCCAGGCTACAAGTTGTACATTAAACAGATAGTGTGAAATCAGACTGAAATCTCGCGTCACTTGGACCGAAAGAACCAGAGCTCAGGTTTTGCTGGCTGATGATCAGCATGGAACTGCGAGGTCAATTCCTAGACATAAACCACTGTGCACCACAGGGAAATATGGTGTTGGTGTCGGGATGCGCCGGCGCGTTGAAGCCGAAGGACCGGGCCATTGGCCGCCGGGCCATCATACAAATACACTTTCGCTGGCTTCGGGAAACGGTTTGGGAGTACAGCCTGTTTAAACTCCTATCTTGTACTTTCTGGTCTTAGCATAGACAGACCTGCATGTCGCGTTTCTGACTCTGTGTAGCTTGGAGTCGAATTTGTTCGCTTCACGCAAGGTAAGCCGACGACCTTCGCCGACGAATCCCCGAAGAGAAAATCCCCGGTTGTCACCTGCCCGAGACAACGACACGAGACGCGCCCAGGGACGCTGTCACGGACCGCTTCAACAATCTCTATGCTGTGTCGCGTGCTCACGGCACGACAAGCATGATAAAGACGACATTCGCCCTGCACTGTTGCGGTACGGACTTATACTCGTATCACCAGCGGCCCCCTGTCGACACTTGACGCCGATCTTCGTGAAGAACCAGAACCGCGAAGATACGAATAGACCCCGCGACGACGACTCGCCGGTACTTCGAGGCCAGAATAACAGATTATCTTGTGCTGGCTCTGATTGACTAGAGATCTTCCCGTTGGGAGTTCAGCCCTACAGCGAATTCTGCGTGCTCATCGGCATTGTTGGCTTCTTTGGGGGAAAGGCCTTGATTACCATTTGCCTTCCACTCAATACCACACTTCTGGCAAACCCATACCGTGCAGTCTGTCCATTGGGCAGCGCTTGAAGAGGCAGCATGTCGACGGTGAGCTGAATGGGTATCCTGACATGGAAGAGCACGAGGCTAACATGTTCACACAGTCAAACTCTATTACAACGAAGGCGCCGGCGCCCGGCGCCCCTCCTCTCACTATGCGATTCCAAGAATCGATATCACAGCCGGTCGTTGCGGCGTTCTGGGCTGGCGGCGTCGCTGGTGCCGTCTCCCGGACCGTCGTGTCGCCCCTGGAACGACTCAAGATCCTCATGCAGATACAGAGTACTGGGCGAGAGGCCTATAAACTGTCCGTGGGACAGGCGTTGGCGAAGATGTGGAAGGAAGAGGGCTGGAGGGGCTTCATGGCTGGCAATGGCACCAATTGCATCCGCATCGTCCCGTACTCTGCGGTACAATTTAGCAGCTACAATTTTTACAAGAGGGTAAGCATTCGGATCCTGTCGCTTCCAACGAGCTCTTACTGATTGCGTCTCAGAACATCTTCGAATCATCACCTGGTGCGGACCTGGCGCCGCTGACCCGACTCGTCTGCGGTGGTGCCGCTGGTGTGACGTCCGTCTTCTTCACTTATCCCCTCGACATCGTTCGGACGCGCTTGTCAATCCAGTCTGCCAGTTTCACTGAGCTAGGCGAGAAACCGCAAAAGCTGCCAGGCATGTGGGCTACTCTGGTGAGGATGTACAAGACGGAAGGCGGCGTGTCTGCTCTGTACCGCGGCATCATACCTACAGTCGCAGGTGTAGCACCTTACGTATGTCCGAGTATTTTCCCTTCATCGATTGCGGACACTAATGCGAGCTAGGTTGGCTTGAATTTCATGGTGTACGAGTCGATCCGCAAGCACCTGACGTATGAAGGAGAAGAGAACCCAGGTGCTATGAGAAAACTGCTCGCGGGTGCGATCTCTGGTGCCGTGGCGCAAACCTGCACATATCCCTTGTAAGCATGAACTTGAAAATGTGGTATTACGGGAGCAAATGACTAATGTGTCAACTAGCGACGTACTGCGACGACGGTTCCAGATCAACACCATGTCCGGCATGGGCTACCAATACAAAGGCGTCGCGGACGCGATCAGGGTCATTGTGGCCCAGGAAGGAATCAAGGGCCTCTACAAGGGCATCGTGCCCAATCTCCTGAAAGTGGCACCGAGTATGGCCTCGAGCTGGCTGAGCTTCGAGATGACCCGAGATTTCCTGCTGGATCTGAAACCAGTGGCGGATTCGAGTTCCTTATAGTAAAGGCTTGGAGAAAGCGCAGAGAGACGGCATCACGGCGTATCTCATAGGGGTTCTCACATGTTCCATACAGATTTCAGACTCGGGCGTTTGTTCGTGGTGCATACGTTGTGCTCGCCTGACTACGGCTGAGACAATTACATAGATAATTCTGGGGGTTCAAATCAAAGCAGGCATTGTTAGAAAAGCTAGATTCACGAGGCAATGGTCGACTGACAGATTGCCTAGGTAGTATCTTGAGGACAGCCAATCGCAGTGACATGAATGGCATGCCGCTTCAGAGTCGGTCCGAGATATGTCTTTCTGCTTGCTTAGTCATTATTGTGCCCTAAGTCAGGGCACACCGTTTTGATTTTCTGCCCCACTACCAGCCCGGTGGGTCCAGCTGCGAGAGTTTGGTGGAGGGCAGCAGACCATCGAAATTTCCCTTCGAACTCGTCCGCGCACTCGTCTCTACTAACCACCAGCAACCCATCGCCAAAGCCAGCGACCAACCGCCGCAATGGGTACGTGAAAACATTCCTCTCAGCCGCCCGTGTGCGAGTGGGAAAGTTGAGTCCTCGAGAGAGGCTCTTCTTTTTTCCTGCGAATGGAGCGCCGTCCGCAATTCAGTTTGCGTGACTTGAGCTGCCCAATTTGAGCATACCACTGAACCCAAGGCTGACGATGGTTTCACTGAATAGGTATCGATCTCGACCGCCACCACGTCAAGGGCACGCACCGCAAGGCACCCAAGAGCGACAATGTCTACCTCAAGCTCCTCGTGAAGCTCTACCGCTTCTTGGCTCGTAAGTCGACCACGATTCGACACGAGACGCCTCCGCCAATGCTAACCACACGATCCTCGCAATAGGCCGTACCGACTCTGCCTTCAACAAGGTCGTCCTGCGCCGCCTGTTTATGTCCAAGATCAACCGTCCCCCGGTCTCTCTGTCCCGCATCGTTTCCAACATCAGCGAGGACGAGAAGCGCACCGTTGTTGTTGTGGGCACCATCACCGACGACAACCGTCTCCTCAAGTTCCCCAAGGTCACCGTGGCTGCTCTGCGCTTCACCGCCACCGCCCGTGCCCGCATCCTGGCCGCCGGTGGTGAGGCCATCACCCTCGACCAGCTGGCCCTCCGTGCCCCGACTGGTGCCAACACCCTGATCCTCCGTGGTCCCAAGAACGCCCGTGAGGCCGTCCGCCACTTCGGCTTCGGTCCCCACAGCCACAAGGTTCGTACCTCTGTTGTCCGGCCAGTGATGTCAGCATGGTTACTTACAAATTCTACAGAAGCCTTACGTCCAGTCCAAGGGCCGCAAGTTCGAGCGTGCCCGTGGTCGCAGAAGGTCGCGCGGTTTCAAGGTCTAAGCGACCTGCGAACGGTGCTCAAGGGGTTGATCAGGAAATCCATGCTAGTCGATGGGGTCATGATACCGACGATTGCTTTATGGACAAACGGGTCATGCATGGAATTGGCGTCATGCGGATATCAAAATTTAAACTTTTTCACGCACGCCTCACTGAAGATGTTTCGTTCAATCCCTATGAAATATGCCCTGGTCCATCATGTACAATTACGCCCTTTGCTCTAATGTTACATCCCCCCTGCGCTTGATTCCAATTAGGTATGCCTCCTTGCTTTCCTGCTGTCGTTAGCCGAACGAACACCCAATGTCACGACAGAGTGGGCGCGCACGCTTCTTGACGACTCTGGTTTCTCCCTGTATACCCTGCTGAAGAGCTTTTTGAGTCTTTGCTCGAGCGCCTTATCCTCAGACCCGGCATAGAATTTGCAGACAAAGTGGCCACCCGGTCTCAGGGTGTCACTGGCAAATTCCAGAGCGGTGTTACATAGATCCTATGAGTCGAGTCAGCGATTGTCTCCCAGGGACATGATGATATGGCCACTGACCATGCTTCCAGCGTGATCTCTGAAAGCGACGCCGCTCGTGTTCATAAGCCTATGATAGGGATTACTCATTGTGTTCATATTGAACCCGGAGGTTTGGTCCCAGGGTGCTGACATATCACTGAGAACAACCTGTAACAAGCGTTAGCGAGGCTGCCAACACGCTCCAGGGCGTGAACAAACATCTACAAGGCGTCCTTGGCTTGATCCTGTTTCCTCTGGCAGATCTCCGGTACTCTGACTGGCATGCCGTTCCAGGTCAATGTAGCTTGGCCGCTCAATTGCGATCTTGGCGGTCTCGTCCGCGATGTTTTCGTCGTCGGTGCTTGCGGGCGGTTGTGTCTTTGGCTTGCGTCGATCTGTTTCTGTAATCAAGTTTTTAACGAGCTTCTGCACCATTGGTGACAGAAAGTCGCCTTGGAATGTGATAACACCACGGGGCGCTTGCGCAGGAATCAGGTCAATGCCTATAACCTTGCCATGTGGTTTCGTGCGCTCCAACGCGACCTGCGCTGCACTTGAGCACATGCATCTTGAACAAGGGGACGGTTGCGATCCTTACCTGGGACCAGCTGCCTGGCGCATAACCCTTCGAGCACATGAGCTGCAGATCAATCGGGCGTATGCCACAAGAACTCACCAAGTCAATGACAGTCTGATTCTTTTTGAAAATTCTGTGTTTTTCGTCCATCTGAGAGTGTCAATGGCATCGAGTACGCCTGCGATATCCGATGCACTCACTTCAAGCAACTTGAAGGCGGCGCGACTCTTCAGGCCCTGGACTTTGGCGTCCTTGGCGTAGGCATCGCGTCCCTGGCGCTGTTTCCATCGCGATGTCGACGAAGCACATCGCACAGGCTGCCGTGAAGAATGCGACTGGGCTCTGTGAAAGGCGGTATTGAGCCTCGAAAGGCCGCGCAGACAGAGGTTCGCTACAGTGAAGCTCTGCGCCGAGGCCATGGCGCTGGCACACGCGTTGCTTGACAGCCCCTTTGCTATTGTCCTTGCACACGTCCGTATTAATAAACAAGTCATATGCGGGAGCAGCCCATTTCAAAGCACAGAAAACCTGCACTTGAGTCGACATGAAATTGAACATGTTTAAATCCAGTTGAGAGAGCTTGCGCTCGGACACTGACGATGTAATTACCCAGCGTGGGGAAACGTCGGACACGCATAGCGTATCTACGTGCGCCGACTGTCAATTTTACATCACATCATTTCATGTTGCGAAGAATAAATTATTTTGAAGACCATCTCTATGCATTAAGGCGCTGGCTATAGTGGAATTGAATCGCGGAAGACAAATTCACCACGTATGAAGAATTTGCGAGTTGCATCTATCTGCAACTGAGGCCAAGTCAATTCAGAGAAGTGCTTGAAATGCTCTAGCAACACCAAGCTTTGCCTATGACATGCGATCCAAGACTGCACTGACTTAAGCTAGAAAGCTTGCTCCCACCCCACGCCTGTCACGTTTAAGAGGCGAGAAAGTCGTCTTGGCGAAAGCATTGGCAACGCCGCCCAGCTGCGTCTTCTTGCGCTTTCCGGCAAGATTTGGCTTTGCTAAAGAGGGCGCTGGGGGCTCATCGGCTTCGTCCTCCTCGTCAAAGAAAGTGCTGTTCCCTCCCAGCTTACGTTTCCTCCTCTTGGCATCAATCTCAGCTGGGGGAGCTCGCTTTGCCGTGGGTTGCCCAAGTTGATAGGCATCGGCTTGGGCGAGCTTTGTTTTGGGCTTTGCTGGTTGTCCGGTTTCTGGGCGCACTTGGGGCACAGGATCAGCTTCAGCCATCTCCTGCCCATCCATCGCCATCGGTTCAGTGTCGATGTCTGCCAGCCGTTTGCCTGGGGCCTTTCCTCGGGCCTTCGTCTTGGCTGGTCGCTCCTCCTCCGCGGATTCATTCGCCATGTTCTCAGCCTCTGACACCGCCGTTAGATCGTCTGGCACCATACTTGCTGTAGCATCTTCGTGTTCGAGCTCGAGTTCCTCCTCGATAGGTTTCTTGCGGTTCAAGAAGGGTGTGACCGAGAAGTGGGATTTCTCGCCCATTGGCGCATGACTGAATCCTCGTTTCTTGACCCCGTGTTTTTCATGCTGACTCTCGTTGCCAGGTGTTTCGATTGTGATGTCGGCAAAGCTACTTTCCTCGACCTTTCGTTTCTTAGCCGCAGGCACTGCTTGTTGTGTCGGTTTCTTTAGCTTTTGCATCGCTAGGCGCGTGGCCTCGTGCGCAGCGCGCTCTTGATCAAGTTCCCCCCTGACTTTCTTAAGGTCCTGTTGCAGACTCTTGACCTTCTCCTTCATTGCGACTGCCCGCTCCTCAAGGCGTTCCATGTTGCTACTCACTTCTGCGGTGGTATTTTCGTCTGCCTTGGCGACTTTCTCGCTCTCGCGCTTCTCTGCAGCAATCATCCTCTCTGCGTCGGCGAGCTGCGACCTTAGCTCATCAAGTGCTTGCTTCTGCTCTTCATCCTGCAGCTTCTGCTTAGAACGCTTTTGGTTATCGAGTTCCACTTCCAGAGTATCAACTTGTCGTTGGAGAGCATGTTTCTCAGCAATGACCGATCGATGGCTGGATAACTGCGAGCGCAGGTGCTCTATTTCAGGACGTAGGCGATCGAGCTCACGCGCAAGGGTGAGCTTTTCTTGGAGAATATGTCCAGAATCTTGCACTGAGCCTCTGAGAGATTCTAGCTCAACCTTTCCATGTCAGCATAGCCAGTATCTCCAGGGTGTGACAAGACGAACCTTGAGGGCCGCAATTTCGTTGCTCTGCTTCTTTGACTTGGCTTCCTGCCCTCGCGCTGCGTGGTGCGCCTCATGGAGCTCTTGACGTAGCGTAGCGAGTAAGTTGGCGAGTTCTTGGCTTTCGGCTCCTTTGTTGCCGGCCGCTTCTTTCAGACGCGCGTTCTCGTCCTTGGAAGACAGCACTTTCAGTTTCATCAGTCGCGCCTCCTCATCGCGATGAATCATCTCGATCTCATGCAGAACATGTTGTCTTTTGATCTCGAGTTCATGTATTGACAATAAGCGTTTCTTTACACGCTCGTCAGTCAGGTTCCACGCGCTAAGCCGAGCATAGAGATGACCTACCTCGTTACGATCACGCGACATCTTTGTGAGTGTCACGGGGCAGAGAACTACTAGTATTGGCGGGGCAGCAGCAATTTAAAGGGATTGAAGCTTCCTAGGAGGGAATCTCATGGTAACATGAGAACTTTATTGGCGTCAGTGCGTTGCTGAGACGTGTGACCGAAAGCAACCCGCGCGTCGGGTTGTTGGGGTAAACATGATTACCCTAAATGGCCAGTGCAGGCTCCGCAAGCTGACTCAGCAGCCGATGATGACAGCTTAGCTGCCGCGCGAATCCGAGATCACCCTACGGATACAACATCGAACCACGTTGCTGAACAACGCACTTACTCTAGTCAAACAATTGACAATTGAGCGGAAAAGCCGACCATGAGGTTTTTCAAGTCTCTTCTTTCGGCGACCCTGCTCATTGCAGGCGCCCTCGCCGCGAAAAAGTCCCCGACCGAACGCTTCTCAGAATACCACACCAAGGCGCTAAGCTCGTCCCCTTTGAAGCTCTCTGAGACTTCGTACAAAAGCTTAACGTCTACGCCTCGTGACTACAGCGTTGTAGTGTTGCTGACAGCGCTCGAGAGCCGCTTCGGCTGCCAGCTCTGCCGCGATTTCCAGCCCGAATATGACCTCCTGGGCAAGGGGTGGGTGAAGGGGGACAAGAAGGCCGAGTCTCGCTTGCTGTTTGGTACTCTTGACTTTGTGGACGGACGTGATGTCTTTGTCTCGGTATTCTCGCAATCTCTGGCATATAAATGATCGAGATGCTAATTGCTGTTCTAGCTCGGCCTCCAGACCGCACCCGTACTGCTGCTGTTCCAGCCGACCGAGGGCCCCCACGCGGTGGCCTCGAAAGACCCGATTCGATATGATTTTACAACTGGGTTGGTTACGCTCGCCGATGGTTTCTCAGGTCGTTCTCGCTAACCAGCTGGCTACCAGGCCACCAACCGCCGAGCAGGTTCACGGCTGGCTGTCTAGGCACCTCACTGATCGCCCTCACCCCCCCGTTCAGAGGCCAATCAACTGGCAACGGTGGGCATCAGCGATCACTATCATCCTCGGCGGCATTACACTGCTTGCAACAGCTTCTCCATACATTTTACCCGTCATCCAGAACCGGGCACTGTGGGCTACGGGTTCCATGTTCTTCGTCCTTCTCTTCACGAGCGGTTACATGTTCTGCCAGATCCGCAACGTTCCCTATGTGACGGGCAATGGGAAAGGAGGGGTGAGCTACTTCGCCGGGAGCTTCCAAAACCAGCATGGGCTCGAGACTCAGGTCGTTGGTGGACTCTGTAAGTATCCCTATCCTGTGCTGGTCTGCTGGCGCTGATTCTAACTTCACAGATGGCATCCTCGCGATCACTTTCACCGTGCTGGTCACCAAGGTGCCTGCCATTCCCAACCCACGTTACCAGCAAGTAGCCGCTGTTGCCTGTGGCGGAACCATTTTCCTCTTGCAAAGTGCATTGCTGAGCATCTTCCGTATCAAGAACGGTGGATACCCGTTCTCGCTGCCTCCGTTTATGTAATAGGGTGGCCATCAATAACTGGCCGAGCACGCCATGTCGTCTTTCAGGCCACAGATGTTCTTCTGGGGAAGTCAACGTCATAACACAGCAACCCTGTGTAAGTTGCAGGAATAAATCCCGAGCCTCCGCGAGGATCAGTGGGCAGACACTGAACATTACTCAGATCGAGAGCCGGGTATTACGCGGTGATCGCGCACAAACATAGAACGACAATAGACCACGTTCTCCATGTCTCTGAAACATTGACCCCTACCACGTCGTATCATGTGATGAGTGTTGTGGCCTTGGTAATTTTGGCAAAATCTACGTGTACAGTAACACGACCCATAAGGTCAGACAGCGGTGCGGCGGGCCTGCCTCCGAACGTGCGGAGCAATACTAATACAGCCTCAGGGTGAAAAAACACAAGATCGTTCACGAGGATGCGGGGAAGCAACAGGGGTGAGGATGGCAAAGCTGCAAATGACGGGGCCCCAGATGCTTCGGCTCGGAGTTAATCGATCAGAAGGAGTTATTCGACGAAGCACGGCAGCGGAGGGCTTGGGCTTTGTCGATGTTTCATCACGAATTACCTCCCGATGTAGATATTCTGTCCTCGACGACCAGAATGAACCAGGGGCTGAATCGTCCAAGACCCTGGACTACCCCAAAAGCTTCAAGACTCCACGCAAACACGACATGTACGTCGACAACAGCTCTAAATGGATACGCGTCGCCGATCTTGTCGGTGTCTAGCACGGTGGAGGTTATTTGAGGTCGTTGTGCTGACCGCATCCCGATATCCCAAATGGGACACGGGACTTGACTGCCGCTGCTGTCAATCCAGCAAGGCGCACCTCCAGCGCTGCCGCATTCAGGTACCATCGGCTTCCTCACCCTAGATGGTTTTGGACTCTTTGTCGTCGCCTCATTGCCGGTCTCCTGCTAGTGACCCACCTCGGGGGCACGCTGTCCGGCTGGTTGAATATCGCCCGGTGTCGCACGGCCGGGCCTTGTCCCTGATTGATGGAAGGCGACATTGCACTGAAAGGTGGTTGTTCTCAGAGCATTAGGGTAAAAATGTTCTATGGTAGCTTGGCTACAAGCTAGGATAAAAGGACACGACGGCTCGCCCACCCCATCTAGATGACCGACAACCTGTTCAACCTCAACTTCAGCACGGCCCAGGACAGTCCTCAAAATGGTCAGAATCACCTCTGCAACCCTCATTGCCTTCGCGGCGGGCGCCATTGGAGCGCCTCAAGGCACAGTCACCCCTCGCCAGTCACCTGGAGGTTGTGAATGCGCTGTCAAGCTTGATGCCTCGACCAACGTCTTCGAAAAGTACACGCTCCACGCCAACAGCTTCTACCGCTCTGAGGTCGAGGCTGCTGCTGCGCAGATGTCGGGCGAGGCAGCTGAGGCAGCGCTTCGTGTGGCTGACATTGGAACATTCCTATGGGCGTAAGTGGTGTCCTCCTCGACCCTCAACGCCGAAGCGTGCTAACAGGTTGTCCAGTGATACCATTGCCAACATTGACCGCATCGAGCCGGCTCTCCAAGATGTCCCTTGCGATGAGATCTTCGGTCTTGTGGTCTACGACTTGCCCGGCCGTGATTGTGCAGCCAAGGCATCCAACGGCGAGTTGCCTGTCGGTGCCATCGACCGTTACAAGACTGAGTTTATTGACGGTACGTTTGCTGCTCTCCGCCGGGTCAAATCTCGCTAACCGAGTGCTCAGAAATTGCTGCGCTCATCAAGAGGTACCCCAACCAGGCCTTCGCCTTGGTGATCGAGCCTGACTCTCTCCCTAACCTCATCACCAACATCGACCTCCAAAGCTGCCAGGATTCGGCCGCCGGGTACCGCGAGGGTGTCGCCTACGCCTTTGAGAAACTCAGCCTGCCCAACGTTGTCATGTACCTCGATGCCGGCCACGGTGGCTGGCTTGGCTGGCCTGACAACTTGGAGCCTGGCGCCAAGGAGCTCGCCAATGCCTACAAGGCGGCTGGCAGCCCTTCGCAGGTTCGCGGCATTGCCATCAACGTCTCTGGCTGGAACCAATGGTACGTCAACTCGCTTCTTCCCTCCTTCGTTGGTTTGTACATGCTCTGACATAGTGCAGGGATATGACTCCCGGAGAGTTCGCCAACGACCCCGACGGTCAATGGAACGAGGCCGAGAACGAGAAGGCTTTCCTTGAGCTCTTCAGCCCTCTGCTCGAGCAGAACGGCATGCCTGGCAATGCCATTGTCGACACTGGCCGCTCCGGCAACCCCGGTGGCCGTCTCGAATGGGGCGCCTGGTGCAACGTCGTCGATGCTGGCTTCGGTCCTCGTCCCACTTCCGATGTTGACTCGCAATGGGCCGATGCCTTTGTTTGGGTCAAGCCCGGAGGCGAATCAGATGGTACCAGCGACTCCAGTGCTGTGCGCTACGACTCATTCTGCGGTCGCCCTGACGCCTTCCAGCCTTCCCCTGAGGCTGGAACCTGGAACCAGGCGTACTTTGAGATGCTCATTGAGAACGCCAACCCTGCCATCTGAGGTCGTGCAGTTACGGCGGATGGACACTCGAGCTATCGAGAATAAATGACGAATGATGCCTAGCTTACTTTGTTAATATCAAAAAATACTAGTACACAATGCACATACCATTTTGCCAATGTAGATCGCGCCTCACAATCCATTTACAGTGCGAACTGTAAGTGTTGGAGTAGCTCACGTGAATCAGACGTCTGCCCAGGCGCCGTTGTTGTTTCACGTATGAGGAACCTCATTCTTTCATGAAACATGAGCTTTAATCACTGCGGTGCACATTTGGAGTTTTGAGGTTTGGATTTTTTTAAATTGTCATTGAAGCTGGCAAACAAAGTTCCCATTGTCTACCAGATCTTCCCCAGCGAGCCAATGTTCACGTCTTCATTGGAGTAAATGTCATCTCCCATGTCCGTGACTCATAACAGATCAAATGAGCAAGCCAACCGTTGGACGCCTCACCATGATCCACCGCTCACAAAACCAAGCGGTCCCAGCATCGTGTCTTGATGATTTTTTTGGTTCTTCCTTCACGTTCGTGCACTTTACGCGCGGGACATGACACCCCAGGCGCGAATGAGGTTGTCGGTGTAGCCAGCGAACAGGGTCTGGCCGTCAGCGGACCAGGCGAGGGAGACACACTCGGGCTCGCGGGCCTTCTTGCCGACAGCGGTGGACTCGGGCTTGAGCTCGTCGACCTTGCTCTTCTTCTCGAGGTCGAAGATGATGATGCTCGAGGCGGTGGCGGCGCAGAGCCAGTAGCGGTTGGGGGAGAAGACCAGGGCGTGGATCTCGTCACCGGCGTTCAGGGAGTACAGGTGCTTGGACTCGTTCAGATCCCAGAGCATGGTGGTTCCGTCCTTGCCACCGGAGGCGCAGAGAGAGCCATCGGGGGAGATGGTGACGGTGTTGATGTAGCCGGTGTGGCCGATGTGGTCGGTCTGGAGCTTGCAGGTGGAGAGCTCCCAAACCTGAGGATGATCAGCAAACTGAGCTACACAATGTCTTTTTGCCAACGCATCGGTTCTCGTCAGGACGACTGGGTCGCGGGGTGTTGAATCAGGGCAATTGGTGAATGTTTTGTCTCATGGCTGCAAAGAGCTCTGAAGTAGCAAATACTATAATGTTGCAATACATCATGTAGGGCCTGTTGTAGGGGAGGGAGAGGAAGTTCCTCGGACGCAGATGTACATACCTTGACCAGCTTGTCCCAGCCAGAGGAGACAATGACGGGGTTCTGGGGGTTGGGGCTAAAGCGGACGCAGGAAACCCACTCGGTGTGGCCCTTGTCGGAGATGGTGTACTTGCAGTCACCCAGGGTGTTCCACAGCTTGATGGTGCGGTCGCGCGAGCCGGAGACGATCTGGCGGTTGTCGGCCGAGAAGGAGACGGACAGGACGTCGTTGTTGTGGCCCACGAAGCGGCGGGTGGTGGTGCCGGTGGCGAGCTCCCAGAGGCGCAGAGTCTTGTCCCACGAGGCAGACAGAGCGTAGGCACCATCAGACGAGATAACCTGTCACCCAGAACATATCAGTAATGCTCTACTTCCTCCCGGTTTCCCGGGCAGTCAGTGACGTACACAGTCCGAGACAATGTGCGAGTGACCCTTGAGCGAGCGCTTAGGGTAACCGTACTGGGTCTCGTCGCGGGTCAAGTTCCAGATGATGAGGCTCTTGTCGCGCGAGGCGGAGAGCAGCATGTTGGGGCTATAGGTTCGAGTGTATTAGCATCGCGTTCGCGTCGTCGGGAAGATCGGCTCGGTTCGAACATACTTCTCCATGGAGGTAGCCAAGCTGGTGACCCAGCCGTTCTGTAGGAAGACAGTTAGCCAATGTCCTCGCTGGCCATCCCACACGGATGCGCAATTGCACATCGCAAAGTCGACTTACGTGGCCCTCGAGGGTGCCCTTGAGCATCAACTGTTCAGCCATGGTGAAAGGTGTGGTTGAGGAATGAAGACACAAAGGGTGAAATCTGGCGTTGCTGAGTGAAGAAGCAGAAATTGAGGCCGGGTGTCTACAGTACCAGTGGTCGGGGCCCGCAGCGCCGATGGTGTTGGGAATTTGGTGGGATTTTTTTCTGTGGGCGAGTCTTAGGGCCACCTCGAAACGGTACATGAGCAGCCCCACCCTTCGCCAGGTCTAGCTCCTATTGTGGCTTAGCGTTGCACGGTCCATGTCGCTATACAAGTCCCGAGCAGACCTCAACCACGCGGTTGTCTACGCAGGTACTACATTCGCAACCAGCTGGATGGAGACTAGTCGCTCGCGCAGAGCTCTGAGACAGCGTGTTATGTGTTTCATCAAGTTGGGTGAAGTGCGAACGCTACAAAACGCCGGCTCAACGTGCGGCCTAGTACGTGCCCATGATGCGGGCACTCTTGCCATTCTACTCAGTCCCTAAATCAGCTAACGCCCTCTATGCGTGGTACGTTGACCTTCTCTGACAGTGTCATCCTCGACACTCACGGGCAATGCTCCTCATTAAGTCTCACTCGACGTATGGGTTGCTCTCTTTCCCATCTTTGGCACCTCCTTGCGTGAGAACATCGCGTCACTGTTGACGATCATGCTGTGGTCTGCAATGTCGACCTGCTCAATGTTCTCGCCGCGGTTCTCCACGCCCATGAACCTTTTCATGGTCAGCTCCCACAGTCGGAATCTTTCTTTTCCTTGGCTGTCCTTTTCGACCAGAGACTTGACCTCCTTTTGTTTGCGCATCTTTGACGCGCGTACGAGCCTCCTGAGCGCGTCTTCACCCTGCTGGGCGTTTCTTGCCGCATCCTCGCGAACTCTTTGCGAATCTCGCGCGTTGGCGTCCTCTTGTGGTGTGAAACGGTAGGTGTGCTTGCTGGGGAACGCAGGGAATGTCGCTGGGATGTGCAGCATGGATTCCTTGTCGGGCTGGCCGCTCAGCTCGGGCCCAAGCAGGGGCAATGTTGCCCAGGCATCGTCGTCCAGGGCGATGGCCGCAGCATAGTCGGGCTGTCGCTGTGATTTCGGTATCGGCGGTCTGAGATGAGGTTTTAAAGACGCGACTGGGATATTGTGCCGGCTGAGCACCCTCTCGTAGTCGATGGGCACGGGAACACTGCGCCGTGAGGACTGCGCAATCCACTTTGCATCGCTCATCAACGACACAAGGTCTATGGCCTGTCAGTGAATGTGTTGATCAACGTGCCTATTGAAGCTCGTACATGTTTCTACCATGTGCGTAAAACTCTCCATGGCTTCGGGCGTGGCACCGTCGAAGCCATCGTAGCTAAGCACCTGGGCTATTGTCCGCTGGATGCTTTGGCGCGCCTGCCCATGCGGCGTGATGGCAGTCGAGATACGGAGGCCAGTATCGTCGTCGTCGTCCGTAGTCGCGTCGCCGATTTGACCTGATATCGCGTGGTTGATGCGCAGATCTGGATGTGCGCTTGAGTTGGTGCGCGATCGTTTGGGTTCGCGTCCGTCGTCCTCGCTCGCTGAACGGCTGCGCTTTGGAGTTGACATTGTGACACTCGTCCCGGCTAGTGAAGTCGGCGAATATTCTTGCCTCGAAGACGCTATACAGATCGCATGGCGTATTGGTTTTCTTAAGCTTCGGCGCGCTGTAGGTCGTGTTGTGGCCTGTTCGCGAACGATGATGATGATGGTTGATGCTGGGTGCAGACGCCGCGTCTCGGCATGCTGAAATGATGACTAAGCTGTTAGTGTCACTTGAACGCATGTCCCCAAATATCAACGCCACAAATTGTTTTCAGTTGAACTGATATTATTAATGCTGAATATATGTTCCCGATGGAATAGAAATATCGCTGCACCCAGTCCATCAGGAATTCGGAAAGTCTTGAATTGAGTGTTGATACAGTGACCCGATCACGCTGCCTCGAATGAAATTCAGCTGAGTGGCTACAGGGTTAGCACGTTGGGATGGCACTGGCACCTGGCATCTGAATGCCATGTGGAGGCTGCTTCGAGACCCCGGTCGATGCTGATAGCGGTGGGGTAAGGATGCGTCTGTTGCTGACGCTCCCACGAGGGCCACCTAACAGTACGGAGTAAGGCACCTCATTGATTAATAGAGCCCAGGCCACGAGATGACGGATGCGGGCTGCAGCGACGTCGATCCCAGCTGTCGCTACGTACACCAGGGATTGATACCCCGACGGCCGACCCATCTGTTCATGTTCTTTGACCACTACGCGCAAACTTGAACTTATTCCCTGCACTATCAGGCCATCCGCTCTGCCTACTCCGTACTCGAGTGTTGTTCATTCATCGTCACATCGTAATCTGCATCTGCAGCAAGGGCCATACCGCTCGTGGTCCAACGAAGCTCGCTCGGCCGCAAGGTTCTGGCTTGGACCGCCGACACCCTGCCGCGCGCCCAGCTCAACCCTTGTTGCTAATCTAGCCTGCGACGCAATCTTGAGCTCTGTGTAGACTGGCTGAAAACAATCATGTGTACTTGAAGGGCGCATCGAGACACCACTGCCTGCTGTCATGCAACTCTGTTCCCTCTGCAATCTGCGCATTATCAGGCCGGCACATCAAACAACATGTTCCCCTTTGATTCGGCTGATCTCCCGCAACTCACAGCGCGCAAAGCGTTCATCGGCGTCGATTTCCAATCTGATTTCACGGCAAAAGATGGCGCACTAGCATACCCCGAGCCCGAAGGCTATGTTGAGCGTGCTGCCAAATTGGCCACAATCTTTCGTCAATACGCCAAAACTACTGGTGGCGACGTGGTCTGGGTCAAGTCGCAGTTTGACGGCACCCGTGCTGTCGACGAAGAGTCGATCATTGTCTCAGACGAGCCGTCGCCGCCACCGGAACCCAAGGCTAGATCAGCAGTACCCCAAGCGCTGCGGGCCTCAAGGCGCAGGCTCTCTCCCACCCTTGAAGATGCAGTTGAAGCAGCTGGTCCACCAGATGATGAAGCTTTCCTCAGTCAGAATGAACCCAAGTGCCTCCACACGCCCGCGGCCAGCGACTGGGCGCCGGAGATCAAGGCTGCCATGGACACGACAGACATGTCCCTGGCGAAATCACATTACTCGGCCTTCAAGGATACGCGCTTGCTGCACCTACTCAGAGCAAAGTTGGTGATGGAGGTCGTGATCTGCGGATCCATGGCCAACGTGGGTGTGTTGGCGACAGCCATGGATGCAGCCGGCCACGGCATGGCCATCACTGTGGTGGAAGACTGCTGCGGGTACAGGAGCGAAGCACGGCAAAGTCAAGCAATCAGGGACCTCATTGAGTTCACTGGCTGTGAGATCGCGTCGTATGAGGAGATGCTGGAGACCATTGATCCCAAGCTTGCCAGGCCCAAGCAAGTCGCCAAGCCCATGGCAGCCACCAAGGAGGCCGCTCGTCTCAGCAGCTCGCCAGACATCGTCAACCCCATGACTGGCTTGCGACTTAAATCACGGTCGCCACTGGACGCAGAAGGCAACGCAGCGGATGCCTCTGCGTCAACAGCACCTGAGACGGAGTCACCTGTAAGTATCAAAGCATACCGCCACAGCTCTTGAACACAGGTTGATGTTTCAGAAGGCAAAGACACGAGAAGACGCCACTGGACTCCAAGCAGGAACTAAGCCAGAGATACCTTCACCTGATGCGACTCAGACTTCTAGCAGCCAAATTGGTATATTACGCGCAACAGATGTCAGCCTTCGAGATGGTGGTGCTGTCGCCGAAGATGACCAAGCGACTTGCCGGCAGAAGAAACTCTGCGAAGGCGATACTGATATCATCGAGAAACTCTTGCCGAAGGACCTTGAGGCTGGTATATTCGACAAGGTCCGTGAAGAGGTTGAATGGCAGCGCATGTCGCATCAAGGCGGCGAAGTACCGCGGCTCGTCGCTGTTCAAAGAGAGGTCGCAGAAGATGGAAGCATACCAGTGTACCGCCACCCCTCGGATCAGTCACCGCCTTCTTTGCCATTCTCACCAACAGTACTCGCCATCAAAAAAGCAACGGAGAAGCATCTCGGCCACAAGCTGAACCATGCCCTGATACAGTACTATCGCGATGGCTTGGACCACATCTCCGAGCATAGCGACAAGACTCTTGACATTGTCCCGGGATCTTACATTGCGAATGTCAGTCTGGGCGCGGAGAGGACCATGGTTTTCAGGTCAAAGAGGGCTGAAAAGGACCATACTGCCTCTTCTGACTCCCCCAAGCAGGGCGCACCAAGACAAACTCAACGCGCGCAGCTCCCCCACAACTCCCTGTGTCGGATGGGCCTCAAAACGAACATGAAATGGACGCACTCGATCCGACAGGACAAGCGCGCCGAGCGTGAAAAGACCGAAGCCGAGCTCGCCTATTCTGGTCGCCGCATCTCGCTGACGTTCCGTCAAATAGGCACTTTTCTCGACAAGGACGAGACGGTTATCTGGGGACAGGGGGCCACAGGGAAGACTCGCGCCGAAGCGAAGCCCATTGCTAATGGCCGGGGCGCTGAAGCTGTCGACATGATCAAAGCTTTTGGCGCCGAAAACAACAGCACCACTTTTGACTGGAGCGCACGGTACGGAAGTGGGTTTGACGTTTTGCATATGAGCAACTCGCCTCGTTTCTTTACCTCGTCGGACTCGCATGTCAACTTGCGCATTGCACTGATGCTGGCGGAACTGAACATTACGTATGCAAAGGGCAGCGTTGATCCCGGTTCCTCAGAAAGCTCTCGGGTGGACAGAGCGCATGCGCCACCTGTCAAGTTTGTCGACGTTGACGAGGCTAAGTCCACAGTCTCGGGTGGTCTGGCAGTGATGATGTATCTCGACAAGACTCACTCTACAATGACGCCGGACAAGGCTTTCACAAGGCTCGAGGAGGCGTTGGACTTGGTGACGGCAGTTGGCAGGATGTCGGCGGATGCACAAATGTCTAGTGAAATCGGATCGCTTCTCAGCCCCTGGGATGCATATGCGGCCGAAGGTGACTTTCTCGCTGGGAAAAGACCCTCTTTGCCCGACTTTGTGGTCTGGCCCGTCATTCATGAGTTGCACAAGGAACACAGTGGGAGCGAGTTCCTCAAAGGCCTAGATCATCTGGAGAAATACTACAAAACGGTCAAGGAGCGGGAGCAAACAAAGATTGCCCTCGAGAAGACTGCACCTCCCATCAACGATAAGTAGTAGCTCATCGTGGCTTTATACAATCTAGGGTTCAGGAGTCCCTCAAGTACTATCGACCCAAGCCAATCACGTATGGAATGGAGAGATGTGCACCATGTGATAGCACATGCTGACAATTGTTCGTCTAAAGCTTGCAAAAGAGGATGCTATACTATCAGATTCGACCTTGGTTAAAACAGGCCATGCCAAACGCACCCAAAAATAGTCCTCCGCGGATGTACAAGGAAAGTTAAGCTCGTATGTACCACCGAAAGATCGCCAGAACTCCACCAAAAGTAGTCAATGCGCATTATGCTCGTACAAGGGAGTGAGGGATGGATCACTTCTCCACCGCCCATGGAAGGGGGTAGGTGCCAACCCAATCCTCAACCTCACTTCGCAGCTGCACGATCTCGGGATCATTCTCGCCGTTGCCTAGATGATCCATGAAATGCTTGACCCTCTTGACATTCTTCTCGCCACGCTCTTCGGCAGCCTTCTTGGCAGCCTTGTCGATGCGGATGGCGATGCTCACGGCGCGGTCCACAACATCAGCAACGCGCTCAAAGTCAGCCTCGTTGAAGCCGCGGGTGGTCATGGCAGGCGTGCCCATTCGCAAGCCTCCTGGCACCAAGGCCGACTTGTCCCCGGGTACGGTGTTCTTGTTGGAAGCCACTCCCACGAGCTCGAGAACACGCTCGACGCGGCTTCCGTCAATGCCGTGGGGCTTCAGATCGATGAGGACGAGGTGGTTATCCGTGCCGCCACTCACCACGCTGTAACCGAGACCACCCTTCTCCTTAGACTCACTTAGGCGCGCTGCAAAGGCCTTCGCGTTGGCAAGCACCTGTGTTTGGTAGGCGTGGAAGTCAGGAGACTGAGCCTGCTTCAAGGCCACAGCAAGAGACGTGATGGTGTGGTTGTGAGGGCCTCCTTGGTGACCAGGGAAGACGGACTGGTTGATTGGGTTCTCGAGATTGTACATCTCATCCTCCTTGGTCTTGGGGTTCTGCCTACGTACTCCCCGACGGAAGAAGATCATGGCTCCACGTGGCCCACGCAAGCTCTTGTGTGTAGTCGTGGTGACCACATCGGCGTAACCGAATGGACTTGGTAGTACCTTAGCGGCAACCAGACCGGAAATGTGAGCCATATCGGCAACCATGTACGCATTGACCTTGTCGCAGATCTCGCGCATGCGCTTATAGTCGATCAGCCGACTGTAAGCGCTTGTGCCAGCAACGATAACTTTGGGCCTGTAAATAAGGGCCATCTCTTCCAACTTGTCGTAGTCAATGTAACCAGTCTCCTCATTCAAGCGATATGGCACGGTCTCAAAGTATTTCGAGATGGCAGAGATCTTCTTCGTCGGGGTCTGGTAGCCATGCGACAGGTGACCGCCGTGAGGAAGATCCAATCCCATCAGGCGATCGTGGGTGTTCATCAAGGCTGAGTAGACGTAGAGGTTCGCAGGCGCACCGGAGAGTGCTTGGGAAACGTTAGCCAGATGGAACAACTCCACCAAGAGAGATACGTACGTTGCACATTGACACCCCATGATTTCGAATCGAGGCCAAAGGTCTCGAGGGCGCGGTTCTGACAGAGCGTCTCGGCCTGATCGATGAATTCGTTACCGCCGTAGTATCTCGCTCCAGGGTACCCCTCGGAGTATTTGTCTAGAATGCGATCAGTGTCGGTCAGCTTCTAACCATGCCACCTTGACCTACTTTGCATAACACTGCCTAACGCATCTAGGACAGCCTGTGATGTAAAGTTCTCGGAGGGAATCAAGTTGATAAAGTGTTTTTGGCGCTTTTTCTCCTAAGAAATGTGAGTAGTGTATCCTGTAGGGGCAGCGCGACACGGACCTGCTCAATGATGTTGAAGACTGCTGGGTCAGCCTTCTCGAGGTGCGCGGAGAGAAGTTGCTGTTGGCCATCCGTAGCGATAGAAGAGGCAGCTCTTGTGGCTGCGCATGGTCTCGCGAAGCGGTTCAGTGTCATCGTCCGGGCAATGCCTCGTAGGGCTAGCGAGGAGCCTCGCAGGCTCGTTCGTAGTGCCATGATGGAAGGTGGACGTGCCGTGGGGTGCGATAAGGTCCTCGTCTGGAGGCAGTTTAACGTCAGAAATAGAAACCTTGTTGACTGAGGGTACAATGCCTCTATCAGCAGTTACCCGTTCCGCAATATTGACAGAAAATAAAGAAGAATCGTACGGTGGGCTGATCAGAAGTCGTGGGAGCTTCGGTCGGAGCAGGACCGAGACGAGTTGACGTTGAGCTCTCGCGTGCAGACGGCGAGCATACGGTGGCGGGCGGCAGGCGTCATAGGCGCCTACTAGTGATCCGGGGAAGTATCTCAGCGCACTAATTCGGCGTGGAGTTACTTGCCCGCCGCACAGTGTGCAATGACGGTTCTGCATCCCCCGGCTGTATTCCGATCAAGGTGTGAGCTTGTATCCCCAGCGTCACTCGAGCTATGCGGATCAAAAGCCGGGCGCTGGACATACAGTACAGTGTCTCAAGTATGCACGGTGCTCTCCACCGCCCGCTTACCTAAAATTCCCATGAGGGTATATCCCGCGACGGGAGACTGCGAGTTAGTTCTTGACCTTTTTTTTCTCTTCACAACTAAAATTGGATGTGATGAGACGTTCTGCTAGCAGATTGGATTTCCGCTTCGCGCGGGAGCATGCTGAAGTGCCTCTGGCGCACCTCACCACCTTAGAAGAGGCATATACGTTTTCTGATCCAACTTTTAGTCGTTTGTTTTCCATTGTTCACGATATTGGCTAGGCAGTAAATGATAAATCAGCTTGCCGCTTGGGGTTGAATCGTGGCACAGTCGGAAGTAGCGTGGTGTCCCGAATTGTCGAACAACCCGCCGCATGTTCCTGGCCATATTGAGGTCATACTCATCTAACTTCACGGCATCGAGCGAGGTCTTGGTCAATCTTGTACTCCTACATGGTTTGCTAATTGTTCTGGCACGATGAAATGTGTATGTCGTGTGTATTGCCATGAAAGACGTCCGGCTCAAAGCATCGTGAATATCATTTTCAATGCTACATGCCAGAAAACCCGCCGCCGGTCCAACTGTATGTGTAGAACCCCGAAGGAGGTAAAAAAAGACCCAACCCGTAGACTCCGAATGCAGCCTCCTCAAGACCGAAATGTCGTTGTCGTAATTTTGGTTTACTCTTCGGCCATCAAGGCGTTCCTCTTTGCCGCAACCCTCTCCTGCTTGCGCTCGCGAGCAGCCTTGTTCTTCGCACGCTTGGCGTCCATCTCCTCCTGGAGCTTGTGCTCACGGGCCTTCTCAGCCTTGGCACGGTGAATCTAGGAATTGTCAGTATACTCATGCCCAAGATCTCCTGACATCGTCCGGGTACACATACGTGCTCAACAAGCGCGCGCTTGTGCTTGAAGGTGTTACCCTTGCTCAGGTGGTAGAGCTCGTGGTAGAGGTGCTTGTCGATCTTTCCAGAGGCACGGTACTTGACGAGAAGACGGCGGAGGACACGGAGACGGCGCATCCACAGGACCTGGCTGGGCATACGGGCGTCGGCAGTACCCTTGCGCTTACCGTAGCCACGGTGGCGGCCTTCGCGGCGGGCGAGGTTAAGCTCACGGGCACGGGAGCGCGAGTGCTGGGTGATGGGCTTGCGGATAATCAGGCCATCGGAGACCAACTTGCGGATGGTCTGGCGGGAGTTGGCGTTGGAGATCTCGTTCTGCTCGTTGGGGTCGAGCCAGATCTTGCGCTTGCCACAGCCGATGACCGAAGAGGCCAGGCGCTTCTGAGTGCGGAGGTTGACCCTGGGAATCACTTGTCAGCCCCCATGTCTCCCAATTGTTGATCCCAGGCCCCGGTCAGGCAGTCGGTGCTTCGCGTGTTGATGCCGGTGAGTACTGGATCGTTCCATAGCACCCATCAATTCCATGTCGAATTCCATCGGAAAGATTGCAGAAACCCAAAGAAGAGATGCTGTCATGCGTATAGATAGTGTTTGGCTGTACTCACATCTTGAATTGTCCCTGTTGGTGATCGACCGTCCTTGGGTGCTTGAAGGTTTGAGGTTCTGAGGAGGGGGCTTTTGCGTCGTAGTCACCAAGAATTTCACGGGCGGCACACACAAGAATCGCTAATCGGGGTTTGTGGGTTTCACGTGCACCTTGCCCCACCCCAGGAGGGCTTCGAGGAATCATGAGTCATCGGTGCTATCTAGTCACGTGATGCACTACAGCGACTACTCGCGTGTTGGACATTGGATTCCGAAAAGTCCAGACCTGTACGAATTGATCGAAACACTGATCAATGGTTTGTTCAGGTCGCAGAGTCCTCGTGTCCATGTTTTCTCAAAATAATGAATTAGTGGCTTGTCAAGATGTCTGGTTGCAACTGAGCTTTGCGTGAAACAGCAATGACACTCTGCGGTGTTGCACATGTCAAGGTGTATTCCATACGAAAATTACCACAGTAACTCATTGAGATGTGAACTAGTCGAAGTTATCTTCGCCCAGATCAACCTTCCCGACACTCCAAATCTCCTTTTCGTCTTCTTGCTCGTCGTTGGAGAGGCCAAGACCACCCTGGCCACCCTCAGCCTCTCTCCTCTCCCGGGCTTGGTTCCCAAGCCTCAGGGCAACTCTTTTGAAGTAGTCACCCATGCTCCTCTTCGTGTTTGGCGGCAGTTCCACACCAGGTCCAGCCATGTACTTGTCAAACACCCGGCTCTCTTCATCAGCGACGCTGAAAAGCTCCACGAAAGCAGCTTCAGCGGACAGTTTGACTGGGATCACAGGATCCCTGACACTGGCAAAGATTGGAGGCGCGAGAATAGGCAGGTGCGGTCGTACCAAGTCTGTATCTGCCCGACTGACAGTCCGTGTCACAACAAGAGCCAGCCGCCGGGAGTCTGTAGCGTTGCCGGGCTCAATGACAGATGCCAACGTGCTGAACAATCCTTTGGCAAGCTCGTAGCTCGGCGGTGACGAGAGCAGGAGCTTGCCCGTGGCGAGT